GAGAACCGGTCGATGACTGGTCGCTGACCGTCCTCGAGGTCACGATGCGTCACGGGGGAATAAAATGTCTTCTGGTACTATTTGACTGTACCAGCTGGCAGGGGCATGCTGGTACATCTCGACCCATGTGTACGGCATTTTGGTACAGCGCTATCCCCATACAGAAGCTCCTCATGGTACAAATGTACGCTATAAATAGCACCCATGTAGCCCTCAACCGCAATTTATAACTCCCCTGACTGGCGATGACCTTCTAGACCAGCGGTAGTAAAAAACCGTCCCCTTCTCCCTGACCTTCCCCTTCCCTCGTCTATATATCCCTCCTCCTCGACCGGTTCTCCTTCACTTCCCGCTCCGTATCTCACCAGCAACCCTCTTCCCTCCTCTTCTCTCTAGAGCTACCAAGCGCCCCTCTACCTACCTACCCTCACACCTCCACACCAACCACCATGTGCAGAAAGGTCACCTGTACCAAGTGCAACAAGCCCTCCTGGGCCGGCTGCGGCATGCACGTCGAGTCAGTGCTGGGCGACGTGCCGAGAGAGCTGCGATGCAAGTGCAAATGAGCAGACTAGCAGAGCGCGGCGTCAGAGCTTGAAGGCGGAAGCGACTGGGACGCCGAGGCTCGGATAGAACAGATAGACAAAACAAAGTAATACAACGATTATAGGAAACGATAAGAACCCACTAGGGATGAATAAAGCACAAGGATGACTGACGCGGAAAACGGGCGTGTACGGGGACATGCGCGTGTACGGGGACGTGCGAAGGAGGTTCGGGGGGTAGGGGGGTTAGGGTACGGTAGGGGAACAAACTAGGGAGCTGGGACACTGGTGACCTTCAGAGAAGGCAGAGGAGCAGTCTCAGGTGCTGTGTGTATAGTAGATTGCAGCAGTGGCACAAAGCGGCAATGGAAGAAATCAATCCAGTCCACTCAGTAGTGTGTCAGTTGTATTCCAGGGTCAGAGAGACTTTGTCATTCCGGGAGTCCGGTCGATGAAGTCGTGGAATGTATCGGCGGTGTGATAATCTAATCTCGGCAGACAGGATGAAGGATTGCAGGTTGCCACGGTTGTCTAAACTTTCGATTTCCCTGGCCATGTCAGAGTTGGCAAGGTTTCTGATTTGATCCTTATGGTCAGTGTTTGGTCTAAGTCTTGATCGAGGGAATCAGCAGGAATGACTGGTGGCATTCTGATTCAATGAGCATGACTGGTGGCATGACCCGGACTGGTGGCAGATCAGTGTTGATGACAGTTTGCGGTTCGCTGGTGATCTGTGTGAGTGAGATTGAACTTGATATCATTCACAGAGGTTGAAGAAGGGGAACTTGAAACCTTCTTGAAACTGAAATGAGTGACTCTGTGATCCGGGGGCGTCACACTGTGACAGTAAACTTGCCGCAGTGCCGCAGGCCCGGGCCGCTGAGGCTTGAAAGAGGCTTCTAGTTCCAACGCGGAGGCGGGCCCGGTCACTCGGAGTCCGATCAGTCCCGGAACGGTCACCGACGCCGTCCCGGGTCACGTGTGGGCCTCCGACGTCCGAGTCACGCGGCGGCGAGTCCGATCGCGAGTCGGGCGGGCCGCGGCCGGTGAATGCTGCAAACGGTTACAATGTATGCCTGAAGCGTTACAAAACGGGGTGAAGAGCCGCCATGGCCTGCTGGTAAGACAATGATGCGCACAGAGGCGATGCTGCTAATCGAGTGTACCTACATCCTCCCTTGTTGTCTTCTGGCTCTTAAATACACTCTCCCCGCTTACCCTGACGCTCCTCGCTCATGCTGTTCCTTTTCTTTTGCCACGTTCTGTTGCTAGGCGAAAAACTGTCACCCCTCCTGTTTGGACTTTGTATACGTCAAAGCACACCATAATGGCCTGCTAGTTGTTCTCAGGTGGCAGAAAGACGATTAAACTCACTCACCACGCAGATTGGGTCTTGTCAACGTGTCGACTGGTTGTTAACACGATGCTGACGATGAATCGACTTCGAATGGGGCAGCGATCATCGCTTACGAGCTTAGTTGCAGGCGTTCTGATGGTTTCGTGTCTTCTTCTTGCAACCTTGCCTCGCCAGATTCGCCAGCGCACCGTTCTCGAGTCTCAATCTTTCATTCTACCGACTGACCAGCAGATAGTACTTCCCGATCCTGGTTATCAGTCTGAATTTCCCATGGTGAATGCAGCCAATACTGCCTCATATTTGCTGACCTTTATGAACAGACTTACTTCAGCTCCTCTCCAAACCCCACATCCGAATACACATGGGTTTGTCCGGGACCGAGCCGGTTGGATGATCGTAACAGTGGGGCCTGTCCCATGTCAAGCAGCGGCGGGTACAGATGTTGCGTCCATGCAGGAACTGGAGTTGCAGTCGTGGACAACCTTTGTTGCCCGAGCAAGGAGGAGCAGCAAAGGGTGTCTGCACTCGTGCCTTCACGAACAGAGCTCGAGAAGAAGTTGGAGACTGTCCTTGCAAAGGAAGTGATGAAGTTGGAGAAGGAGCAGCATCCCGACCCTGCTCCCAGCAGCATCGCCTCTTACATCTCATCAAGAGAGTCGCGCGATGATCTCAACAGCTACTTCAACAGCCTGTCAGACAAGGTCAAGAGCAAGAGATCGATGAAGGACGGTGAGTCGCGCAACGATCTTCAGAGCTTCTTCTCCCTGCTGGAGAAAGGGGATCTCGCAGGCCTGCTGTTCCATCGCAAACCCGCGCCGCCAGTCCGATACCCAGACCCCACGGAGGACATCGAGAAAGTGGCAGATCGATACGCGGAGAAGGTGCATAAGAAGCTGGAGCAGCAAGGAGCAGAGAATCAGCGCGTCGAATATGAGATGTGGAGAGACAGGTCCACAGGTGTGTGTCTTGCAGATGTCTTTGCTTTCCGCTGGCGCTCTGTGACGTCTTTACAGCAAAGGAGCCAAGAGAGACATTCTTTGAGCGAGCAAGGAGACAGCAAAAGAGGCAGCAAGAGATAGCCGCAAGGTACACTGGTCGCGTCGGATGCGTGTTGTCTGATAATGATGGCAGGAGCGGGAATGAGGCTGCCGAGCAGTGGCAGAGGAAGAAGATTCATTTCTACACTGCGAAGCTCGCACCTGGTATGTTGGATGAAAGTTTGAATACGACTACTGAGTCTGATGCGGCAGAGGGTAGAGTAAGGCAGGAGCACGGCAAATTGGTGTTGCCGTTCGCCGATGTCAACAACATGAATTAAATGGAGGCACTCCATGCTAGAGTTAACGAATGAATCATTTGGCGTTCTCAGTTTCTGCTTTCACAACTCGTCACCTTTGACTCAGACTTCCTCCTTCCTCAGCATCCCTCCCTCGCATGGCTGCTCTTCACTGCCCCAAACTGCTCTCCCCTCCCCTCCCTCATTGTCTCTCTTTGACTTCCCTTCTCTTGTCCTCTGTCTCTTCCCTTCCTACCAAGTCCTTCCCTGTCTCTACCTCCCTCCCTCCGTTCCCCTCCATGGCGTTGTTCTCCCATTTTATATCCACTTGTCAACCTGAAATGACAAGTAATCACCCCTACCCCTTCATTCAGCGTCAAAGATACCCCTAGGGTACGCTATCTGCTACCTTGAAACCTCGTTTCCGTTGCCATATGGGAACTGAACCAGGACACGAGAAGCGAGGAGGAGGAGCAAGAGGGAGGAGGGGAGGATGCCAGGACAGAAGTAACAGGTAGAGGAAGAGACCCGGGGCGAGAGGAGTGGCAGGACGATGAAGGATCAGGTGAGCCTGACGACCCGCTAGTCTCCACCTCAGGATGACAGGGCTCCTACTAGGTCGATCCTTTCTCCAAGGCGCTGGAGATTTTCGAGACGGGAGTAAGTTTCGAGCTCGTCCCCGTGCATGCTCAAGGGTTGCTAGGTCCCTGTCTTCAGTACATGCGCCAGGAGGATAGGAAACAACATAAAGGTAGGCTGGTGGAGTAGAGTCGATAAACCTTGCTGAGCTTCGTGTAGAAGCCGATGAACGCACCAGGATCAAAGAAGAAGAAGATCGAAGTCAGAGACGAGTTCGCCCTCGGTGTTGCGTTCCTCGGAACCACCCTGCGCAAGAACGGGCTCAAGTGCGGTACCATGCCGGCTCGTCCCGCCACTCACAGGAGGCGGTCGCAGGAGGGAGAAGGACATCCCGTACATCGCGCTGTATGATGAGATGGGGGTCCCCAAGAGTTTCGCGCAGTGGGCGAACTCTCTCTTCGAAGTGGAGGAGAGGTCGGTAAGGATTGCTGCCTGCTAGCCGATGACCTTCCGGCAGCTCCATGGCAGACAATCTCCGGCAGAGAATCCACAAGGAGCATCTTTGGAGAGGAAAGCCAGAGACTCTACAGACACCCAGGAAAGCTCCTGTCTGTATCCTTGCAGTGTCGTTGACTTGTTGCCACAGAAACAAAGAAGCGTCCGACAGGACCAGGAGAAGCTCGAGCTGGTTTGAGAAACAGCCCAAGGAAGGGGACCAGGAGGAGAGGGCGGAGCAGGCAGGAGGCCAAGGAGAGAACCTTGCGGAGGCGAGCGGGCGAAGGGAGAGCATCCAGATGGAGTCGAGCGTGATGCTTGCATCTACCATGGCAGGTGAGGAGCAGCAGCAGGGCTCTTCCCGTCGCCTACACCTCGACATGTCGAGGGTGAACTCGGAGTCGAATGTGATGACAGAACGGACGTTTGACCTGAGGAGACCTGAGAAGGATGACTTGAGGCCCAGCACGGCACGAGAGCACAGCAGCAGACATATCCAGCTGAGCAGCAGGCCGTTCTCAGCTCGATTTCCACCCCGTGATCACGTCCGAGAGAACATCCTGAGCGCTCGAAGACAGCGAGGAACGGAGGAGCGACCGCTCTCCTGGAGGCGGCAGCAGCAGGCGATTGCCACGGTGCAGACGAGGAGGCAAGAGATCGAGGAGGGGAAGGTGAGGAGGATCAAGGACACGATAGAGAGGTGATGCGAGGTTGTTCTGGCGGCCTGCTGCTGAGCGACGTTGCGAACAGGCGAGACAGGAGGCTCGCTATGATACAGAACGACCTGATCAAGGAGGAGAGCGAGAGGAGGCAGAAGCTCCTTCTGATCTCCGTCGTCTGCAGCAGCTTTTTCAACCTCCTCTACAAGGAGTTCCGCAAGCGCCGAGAAGCCTTGAAGTCGGACTTTCAGGTTCGATCTCCTGCATCCCCCCCCCTCCTGACCTGTTGCTCCTTCCAAAGATCGTTCGGGAGGACACGGAGCGAGGGCTTCGCATCTCCACAGTCTTCCTGGCCTTTATCGGGGTGCAGATCAAGAAGGGAAACCTGCTCAAGGTCTTTCCTGCCTGCGCGCGAGTGCACAAGTGGCTGCGGCAGATCCTGTATCAGTGTTTCTCATGCATTCGATCGTCATCGTCCTCTCACAAGATCAAGGTAAGGATCTCGTCCTCCCTCTTCCCTCCTCTTCCTCTGTCCTCTTCCTCTTCTCTCCTCCTTGTTCTCACCACCTCCTCTGCCTCCTCTACCTCCTCCCTGTCCCTCATCGTCCGCCTTCGCTGCTTCCTTCCCTCTCTTCCTCACTCGCAACATCCTCCCTCTCCACCTCCTCCTCCTCTGTTACCGTCTCTTTCTCATCTTTGTCTTCACTACTTGCTCACAACAAGTCTCAGAAACCTCTGCATCACTTTCCCGAGTTTGGCATCGTCGATGAGCGTCAAGCTGCAAGTTTCTTCATGGTTGCAAGCAAGCTAGACAGGTGATGAGCAGCTGGGAGGAGGAAGTGGCAAGGGCTGGAGAAGAGAGTGACAGGATACCCTCAGGCTGGTGAAGAAGCGGCAAGCAGAGATCATTCAGCACGCGGGCAACGTCATCCGCTCGTTCCTGCAGGAGGCCAACAGAGGCAAAGTGGTGGTCAACATGATCCGGCTGCTGGCGACCAAGGTCAACAGGATCCAGCGCTGGTGGAGGAAGAGACTACAGGCGCACGTGCGGAGGTTCGCAGCCCTGCGGCATGCCTGGACATCCGTAGAGAGAGCGATCGTGACTCGCTCGCTGATGGCTGAGGTTGCGACGCGTCTGATAGCTGCTGGTGAGCGACCCGCGTGCCTCGAGCTCTTCCCCGCTGCCCTCCAGGCGCAGCTGCTGAACATGGCGCCCTCCAAGGTCGACCTGAAGGGGCAGCAGCGGGAGAGGAGGAGGAGGTCGAGGCAGAGCCTTGTGACAGAGATGTCGACCTTCCTCCAAGACCTTCACGCCCTCCTCGAACTCTCGCACGTGGAGCCATCGGAGATGTCGGAGGTCAGCGAGGAGAGCGAGGCTGCAACTCATGTGAGCACGGAGGTGGAGAAGAACGTGGCTGCGAGCCGAGCATCGCTCCGTCGGTTGTCGATCAAACCGCAGGACGTGGAGGGGATAGTGCAGCAGTACATCCGAAACCTCCAGGTCTCTCCCGCCATGCAGTTCAAAGTCTTGATCGAGAAGCTTCAATCGCTGCAGGAGAAGTTCGCCTACCTCAGGAGGCGGTACCAGCATCAGCTTGACCAGTACCGCAGCACGATAGAGTTCCAGCAACAGTGCTCCGAGACCCAAAGGAAGCTGCGGACGGGACGATGGCTGGAGGACAAGAGGCCGAAGGAGGAGGAGGAGGAGGAGGAAAGAAACGTTTCTTTGATGGACCCGCCCGAGGATGCTGGTGGAGAGACGGCCGAATGCTTCAGTATCTCTGCTCCTAAGTTCCCGTCCTTTCCCATCTCCACGCAAGACAGTGCAAAGGTGCGCTCATACTTTGATCGTCTTGTCCTCAACTCGCCTGCTCTCCGCATGCTGTCCTCTTCGCTGCTGCTGTGATGAAGTGGAAGAGCAGCTCGAGGGTGTTGTTGATGGTGCTTGTGATGCTGCTGCTATGATGATGATGGAGGATCATGAAGGTGGAGGAGAGGTGGAGGAAGAGGAAAGGGAGAGGAGGCGGAGGAAGTTATTTGACAGATGAGCAGATTTCCTTCTGGATCGTCAGCACCCATGAGAAAGTTGGGGCCTTTCAGGCTGTGAGTGAAGAGGACGCGAGGGAGCGAGGGAGCGAGGGAGCGAGGGGGGGAGGGGGAGAGAGAGAGAGCAGTGGCAGGTCATGACGGGGATGCAGGCGGAGGGAGAGAACATCAACCCGTTCTTCCAGTCGAAGGATAACTCGATGGAGGAGGAGCCGTGGGAAGTGAAGTCGAGAGATTTTCTCTGCAGGATGGGAGACGCGCTGTAAGGCTGCTCGAATCGCTCCCATCCTGTCTCATGCTACGCAGGTTCCCGAGCTCGGACACGATGATGGTATCGAGCCTGCCCAAAGAAGTCCCTCTCTTCTCCCTCAGCAAGGAGGTAAGAGGAGGGAACGGAACGAGGAGAGGAGGAGGAGAGCGAGGAAAGAATCGGAGGAGACAGATCGAAGAATGCTCATGTTTCCCGCAGAGGCTCGTCGCCAACGTGGACGCGATGCTGGCTGAGATCGAGCAGGCGGAGATGTCGAGGAGGACAGACGTCTTCCGATCCAGCGCTGGGCTGAGTCACTTGAACGCCAGAGCCAGGAGATCCTCGTTGCTCGGCAAGTGAGCGAGAGAGGAGGAGATGGTGGTGGTGCTTGAAGTAGATCTCTTGCCAAGCGTGTACAGAGTAGGAAACAACGGACGAGGCCGGGGGAAGGGAGAGAAACGGGAGGTAGAGGGAGGGGGGAACAAATCATAACGAGGAGGAGGAGAAAGAAAAAGATGACAGACGTGAGTGTTCCCCCTCACACCATCGGCATGTTATCCCGTTGAAAGAACTTGAAGGTCTTGGTCAGTGACTCCACCCTGCCGCCGCATGCTCACTCCCCTCCCCTCCGAGAGTCTCCCGGGCCTCACCATGAAGGCACTTGATACTGCTCGAGCACGAGCGAGATGCGCTTCTTCTGGATCTGCGTCCGGTAGCCCATCACCTGCCTTGGCTCACTGGAAGGTAGCGGGAGAGGTGCAAGTACCCGGTGGTAGGCGTCGCCTCGGAAGGCGACCATGGTGTTCTCCTGCGGGAAGACTTCCTGGACCAAGAGACATGAGATCGAGATGTTTGACGAGCGACTCTACGTGAAGGAAGGAGCGAGAGAAGCAGAGGGAGAGAGGAGATGAAGTGAAGACGCTCACAGAGGCCTGACGGACTCTGGCTGACTATCTCACTCACTCACTCACTCACTCACTCACTCACTCACTCCCTCACTCACTCACTCACTCCCTCACTCACTCACTCACTCACTCACTCCCTCACTCACTCCCTCACTCACTCACTCACTCACTCCCTCACTCACTCACTCACTCACTCACTCACTCACTCACTCACTCACTCACTCACTCACTCACTCACTCACTCACTCACTCACTCACTCACTCACTCACAGCCAGACAGACAAGCATCACGACCAATGACGAGACTTACTGACTTACTGACTTACTGACCTACTGACCTACTGACCTACTGGCTTGCTTGCTGACTAGGAGCAGAGGTAGGACAGAGTCATAACGGTCTCGCACCTCGTCCGGAGGAGGAGGATTGGCGATTTCAGGCACCGTCTTGCTGTACTTGAAGACCTTGAGAGACACCGACATGAGAACCAACCTTCACAAGCTCATGACCATGACCATGACCATGATCATCATCATCATCATCATCATCATCATCATCATCATCATCATCATCATCATCATCATCATCATCATCATCATCATCATCATCATCATCATGACCATGAGCATCATCATGAGCATCATCATGATCATTATCATCATCATTATCATCATTCTGATCTTTTTCATGATCATCATCGTGCCTGAAGCTGCCCTCCTTTCATGTCTTCTGGTACCGAGATGTAGAGCACATTCACCTATACCCCGTCAGTCTCGCACGCTTCTTCTGCTTGCTATCAGCTCAGAACCTGATGGGCAAAGATCTCTCCGACCCACCATGACTGAATGGTGTTGTCGATATGCAAATTGACGACAACATCGCTCTCATTCGTCGGGGTATGGCAGACTAGCTGCTTCAAAGTCAGCCTCCCTCCCCTCTCGCTCTCTCACTCCACACACACCAGGTTCATGACGAAGGCGTTGGCTCCAGCGTAGAGTGCTCTGTCGAAGTAAGGCTGGCTCGATCGCATGTCAGCCTCCGGCACTCACACATCACAGTCACGACATGCAGGCACTCGAAGCGCACGTCCTTCTTGAACCGGTCGATCCCCTTCCTGCTCCGACCATAACCCTCACATTTTGCTGCGGCAAAGACTCTTCGCACCTGTTGAAGGCGATGACGAAGCCTTTGGTGGCTGAGAACGCGTTCTGATCCAGCACCGATGGGCCAGTGAGCGGGTGGTTCTCCAAGCACTGCTGCATCCATGCAAACTCCTTCGCACGTCACCGAATGAGCCAACACGACATGCGGCAACGAAGCTGCCACCTCCTCCGGCATGAAGCCCTCTACCTTCCTGACGAGCTTCTGATGGCTGTTATGATCGTACGATTCACCTTGCACTCAGACCATCTCATTGTCGTCACCTCAGACAAGAAATCATCGGGGTGAAGATCAGCCTGGCCTGCAGAGGAGAGTATCAGGCTTGCACAAGCTGCGATTGCGTGACCAGAAGAAACGCTAACAGCGTGGTCACAATCAGCCCGATCACCAGGACCTTGTAGGCTGTCTCTGTGCTCATCTTCCGCTTCACCATCGTCTTGACACGCCACCACGCGCAGACCTGGACCATGAGGTCAAACAGGCAGGATGTGCTTGATGTGCTGCTGAGACATGAAGGACAAGAAGAGCAGCAAGTGTATGTGGGATGAGAGAACCGGAACGTTCAAGAAAGTTTTCCAGGGACCCGCCAAGAGGGGAGGCATGATGCAGGGAGTGAGAGCAGCATGAGGAGGATCGACTCTGACTGGTGAAAGCAGCGGGGGGCGGGTCAGAGGAGCGGGGGGGGACGAGCGGGTCCCAGAGCCATAGAGGAGGAGCAGATAGAGAGAGGTGGCGCGGGTTCAAATCTGACACTTTTTTTTAGTGTCACTTATTATTTTAAGCCCTCACTGTGTGCCTGGCCCGGAACGCCGTGCCACTCTGAGCTCCGGGTGTCAGTTTACACCGGGCCGCCCCCCGGCTCAGGTCCGGAGCCCGGCCAGTGGGCCGCACTCAGCCGCAGATTGACTGAACCCACCGGCAGCCGCGGCGCGGCCGCTACGGGTGACTCGCTCCGAGCGCCGGAAACACTCGGGGTGACCGAGGCTGCGGAGACTCCCGAGTCCGGCGCGGCCAGACTCACTGGGCTGAGTCCGAGTCAAGAAGTCTGTCCGGGCCGGGCGGCCGGGCCGGCGTGTACTAACTTGGGCCTGACCGTTCAGACATCCGAGCCGATTCCGCGGCGCCGGTGACCGTCCGACTCTGAGGCTGGCCTGAGGCTGCCAGCCGGCCGCCGCGGGTGCCCTCATGCCAGGCGGAATGACTAGACTCACAGCGGCCCGGTTTCACTGCACCGCCGGCCTCGGAGTTCGCACCTCCGACTGAGTCACTGACTCAGTGAGTCCGGTCCGACTGGCAGATGTACGGTACCGTGCTCTATTTCAAATGCTTCTTCAGTTAGTGTCTTGTCTCACTCCCTATGTATGTACTCCGGCGTGGGCTCGCTTTGATCCTTTTTTGGCCGGCTTTGCCATGGCAGATGCGTGCGTCGGATGCGGCGTCGGCAGCGAAGCAGGAGCGGGAACAGGCGCATCAGGAAGTTTGATGGGAAGATGCAGGCGGTGCCAGGGAAGGATCTGCTCAAGCGCATGCTACAAGAGTCACAACGAGGGCAGATGTGCCGAGATGTTCTTCAAGGGCGAGGTCGGCAGTGCTTGTTGCTTCCTTGGTTGAGCTCGCTCTACAGGTGATGAACGAGATCAAAGGGCGCGAGGGAGTCGATGACAACGAGAAGAAGAAAATGATGGATATCTTGTAAACGCTGCATCATGCCTTGCTTCCTCCTTACACATGCCTGTAGGAAGAGAATGCACAGCGAGCAAGCGGAAGAGGAGAGCGACAAGGTACGCCGCGCTGCTTCCCTTCAAGGGATCTTGTTGTCCGACAGTCTGTGATGGTAATCCCTACCATGCAGGACGAGTGCGACGAAGACGATCTGGGAGAGGAGCTTGAAGGGGTACGATGAGCATGCTCAATGCTCGATCAGCGGCGGAAGAGATATGAGCTTTGATAGATGGCGGCAGTTGAAGCTGGATGAGAACACGCAATGGGAAGACTTGTCGGCAGCACAGCAGCAAGCGTTCATTAAGGTTGGTGAGGAGCCTTGCAGGGACTGTTGCTGATGGAAGTCGAGCAGGCCGTGAGGGAAGGGAAACTGGATGGACTGATGCAGCAGTGGGTGCCATGGTGGATGCAGAGTGGTTGCGCGATAGAGGTAGAGGAGGAGGAGGAGGAGGAGGAGGAGGAGGACGGAGAGATGTCCTCGAGAAGAATGCCGAGGATTCTCAAAGAAATTCCCAAGTTTAGTACTTTGAGTCGGAAAGAGCCCTCGCCGTTGCTTCCCTTCATCCTTGTGGGAATGCTGTGGAGTTATGTTCTGACCAAAAGGAGGTAGACGATTGCGAGGGGAGGGAATGCCGTCGAGGAATGACGCGCTGCTATCAGATGCAACGGAGACACAGATTCTGATCAAGAGATTCTGCTCGAGAGCGCGAGGATCTTATGCGAGTCCTCACCCTACATGCTCTCCCCGTCGGCGCGCCAGGAGGAATGTGTCCCTCCCAAGAACGTGAGGGTCACTCCCTAGCACTGCTTGCTCTCTTCATATGACACTCTGCCCATCTTCTCTCCTCCATCTCCGTGCCATGCTGTCCCTCCTCCACGTTTCCGAGTTGTGACCCTCCCCTCCGCCTGTTCCCCCAGGTTGCCGAGTCTCTCAACTCCTGCATGGAGCAGAGTATTGATCTGATCAGCTCCTCGTCCCTCAAACGTGCTCACATGCCTTTCGTCCTGGTACCTCGTCGCGATAACTATCATCTCTTGTAGCTCATGACATGTATAGGAGCTCGTAGACGACATTCATCGCCTCCTCCAGTTCAAGATGAGGGTTCTAGCTGCCCTCTCCGACACCCTTGCCATCCTGCAAAGAGCGAGCGCTGCATCGAGCATCCAAAAGTCATTCAAGAGCAGGCTGGACAGAACTTCGAAGAAGGTTGTCTTCTTCTGCAGCTGGATCAACGAAGTTGGCACAGGTATTGTTTGCCGGGCTAGTTGGTCGTTCTTCGTGTGTTCACTAACGCGATCCAGATGTTATCAATCTCTTGCAGGCACAAGTACTGATCGTAAAGGAGAGATTGGAGAAGGACTGGAAGGAGGAAGAAGCCCAGGGCCAGGCGGCTCATGACAAGCAAGAGGGGAAAAAGAAAGTGAAGATCGTTGAGCTTCCGCAAGAAACCTGACATCAGTCCATGTAAATGAAGAGCCTTAAAGATGTAAATCAATCATCACGTCTTAAGGTGTACTCCAAACCATTTAAAGCCCATCACTCATCATGGTTTATGTTGTAATTCAAACCATTTGTGATCCTCAAACATGTGAACATCTCCCTACATCTGTCACGTTCCTCTCAACGCCCCTAGATTTTCACCACCTGCCCTCAACAGCTCGTTTCAAGGTCCTCAAAGCCCCAAGTTAGTCTTAGCACGCTTGGCCGCGCGAGCTGACTTCGCTGCTTTGTCTGCGAACTCTAGCATCAGCGGCATTGCAAAGCTTTCAATAGCAAACCAACCAGTAGCCCACTTGTCATAATCGAAATAATGACTGGTCTGCCTTCGAGGATCATCGACAGGGAGTTTGTGGATCTGGCGTGACGTGTCAATGTCACGGTACATATCAATGGCGTATTCACACTTGTCCTGCCCCTTCGAACCTTCCAGACGTCTTGTTGAAGGTGGCATGAAAGAGATATTGCTCTTGCTTCGGAGTCTCTCCATTCATGGCCGCCCGAACTGCCACCTGATCCACGAGTCAACAGACGGAAAAGAAACCAGATCATGGTCTCTCCACCTCTCTCGTGTACTTCTCGGCTATACGCGTGTGTTTGGTGATATCCGTCCTGTGCATCGTGATGGGGCCTTTTTCGATCTGCTCCAACTTTCAATCTCAGGAGTTCCACGTCTGTTTTCTCACCTGGTCAAGAAGTCCTTCAGCTGCTGCGGCGATGTCCTCTGGAGTTATTTGAGGTCGCCCATCTTCGGTCTTCTTGGATGCCACAATGCCCTTGGACATGGCAGCTGCCTCCGCCAGCTTTTGTAGCTGCATGAGCACACCAGCAGGAACAGATTGCATGGACCTCGGGAGCAGTGAAGGTCTCGTTGGTCCCAAAGATCTTCTGCGCTTCTGTCAATCCATCCTCGTCAACGGCTGGCTCAGCATCGCCCACTTCCCCTTTTCGTAGCAGAGGGAGGACAAGGTCAGCAATCGTCTCAGAGTCGATGGGGCTCTTTACCTTCCGGCAGGTTTGCCAGCACTTGATTCAACCTGGAAGCTGAGTCCCCCTGCGAAGGCTCGTAGATGAAGCCTCCAAACGCTTGAGTCGTGCCCTTGTTCTCCGGTCCTTGAGGTTTCCCTGCAATGCTTCCGTAGTAGTACTTGTTGTACGCATCCTGCCCTGTTCGGAATCCGTACATCATTGCGTATGTGTCCCAGTCATAACCATCTGAAATCGATAGATTAAGCATTATCCCTCGAACGCCCATGCTCTTACCAGGAAATTTGGAGGAAGTCAAAGAATTGTTTTTCTGATTGCCTTGAGAACCAGGCTATGAAAGGCATTAGAGATGTTCTACACATATCCATTGCGTACTTGGACAGGTTTAATAGCAAGGGGCATGTTCCATGCTCCTGCTGGATATGCTCTTCCATCATACAAGTTCGTCCACTTTGTCTGTTTGTTGCTCAATCACGCAAAGACAACCACTCTCGAACTCACATTCATTTTAGACGCAGGAGGCTCATCCCATGAAGTCTCTCCCGTGTCTGTCACAGCTCGTTCACAAACCGAGCAGGCGAGAAGTTTGGAACTCACTAGGGTTGTGCCAGTAGTTTGCCTGTTCTCCTTCATCCCAGTACCTACCTTGAAGTCACTAGGAACTATCCGAGGCGGGCAGTGGACGACAAGCAACGGGCATTCACCTTATCCATCCACCTCCAAGAACGACACCTTGCTTCTTCCTCTCGTCTTCTTCCTTGTCGACTTCTTCCGATACAGCCTCCTCTTCCTCCTGCACGTCCTCGTCCTGCCCTTCCTTGGAAAGCGGATCCTCCCACTTTGTTTGTCCAGTTTCTGGAGCCCAACAGACTCACTCCATGACACAGGAAAGGAATGTCACCTGTGTTGTGCCAGTAGTTGGCAGACTCGACATCATCCCAGTACCTGATGTCATCATGAGTATCACTCAAACGTTTCGCGCTTTCCCCGCAGGCTGGGAGGGAAAGTAGAGGAGAGCAGCGCTTCAACATGCAACAACATCTCATCGCGCATGTTCATGTTGCGCACTCATGGGAGTGATCGGCATGTCTTACCTCTTCCAGCCTCCTCCAACGTCGACCCCCTGCTCCTTCCTCCCCTCGTCCTCCTCCTTCTCTTCTCCCATTCTTCAACCCCGTGACCTCCCCCACCCCCACCCCGGCCGCTTTGGAGCTCCCCACCCTACAGGTAGTACAAATGACCCCTGGATCTTCTTATCTGTGAGGTAAAATACTACCCCCACCCATAATAAATCACGATTATACCCACCTGCAGATTGATGATAATTTCATTGATCCATCCCCTACCCCCTCATTCGAACCACTTTTCAATGGAAGGTATTTTAGTATGGGTGGGGTATATAACCCTACCCGTGAAATGAATGAACCTGAATTCCTATGGACCCCACCGTCTCCAACCTCCAAAGCTGTACAAACATGGCGTGAGGTCTCCAGGCGCTCTGACGATGAAGAAGAAGAGAAAGACGAGACGAGAGGAGCGAAGGAGAGAGAAGATAAGAGCACAGAAGGAGGTCTGGAGAGGGACAAGGGACAAGGGACAAGGGACAAGGGACGAGAATGGAAACAAAGAGTACTTCACAACCAAGGTGTTGAATCAATTGTTTTGCAGATAAGGCAGGACAGGAGACACTTTGGATTCTTACGACGCCTCCTTCGATAGAAATTTCTCTCTTTCTGCATTGAATGCTGACAGAAGTATTTGCTCCAACGAAAGCGGCAGAGAGACTCTATCTTCAAGCTGCGGGTATTCCAACGTCGATTTCTTTGTTCATATTCAAGTTGCACTTTGACAGAGTTGCCGCATGAAAGCAAAGCTCGCAATCATCTCAAGTATGACAAAGAGACTACAAAGGTAGAGAGAAACGTTGCTATCAACCGTTTGGTGTTTCATTTGACTCATGTTCAGGCTTTCGAGAGGGAACTGATCGCGAGGAGGGCGGCTCTAGAGAACAAACTCAGCGAATCCTCTAAATCGAGTCATGACAAGATGTCTAAGAGTAAGCTCAAGCTAACTCCAATCATACAACTGACCTGGATGTAGAGCATATGAACCCGATCGAACGGGCAGCGTGGGAAAGATTTCAGCGTCAGAACACTTTGGCAGCAGAGGTGCTTGACTTGAATTGTTTCTGCTGAGCGTGATAGCTCGAGCAGACGCATGATCCGAAGAGATCTGCTGGTCCCCAGGGTATCGTGCAGAGCTCAAGGATCGATCGTCCAATTCACATCAGTTCCGACATCGCACATACCAACGACACCGCTGCGTCGGTGCAAAATATGATTGGATTTTGAACCTTTCTCACTCTAAGCAGAGACTGCGTACGTCTGAAGGGAGGAATTCCAAAACTGACACCACCCCCTTCTTTCACAGTACCATGTTGCGCGCATTAGCGCACAGTCACACGTGACATACAAGAGTATTTTAACTAAAGCTGCAAAACCTCTGATCGTGAGAAAAAATACCATCACAGCGGGAATCTTTATTCTAAGAACAAAAATCGCCCCCACATTCGCATCTTACCTGAAACTTGGGAAACAGTGATGCAAGATCAACTGCTGCCACGTTAACATGCCGGCTGTGCTTGTCTGAGGTCATCAAATTATCCCCAGGCATACTCCTTATACTTGTTCTTCTTGTCCTTGTCGCCGCCTTTCTTCGCTCGTTTCTTTGCCTGCTCTTCAAAGACCTCGCTGACATCTTCACGATGTTGCTTGTTCCCAGAAACTTTTTCATCGTACTTGTCCTTCAACATGCGCTCATCCATGTTTTCAAGCTCTGAGGCATCAATGGTGACTTCCACTCCAGCAGATGCCTGGCTCTTCATCAAGTCGACATGACGCTTGTCTTTGCGAGCAGCGGCTGAATCGGATGAATCTGAGATGTTATACTTGAAGGATGAACCAATGAGGTCCGATCCTACCTTGGAGTCCTCCTGTGAGATGACCTTGTAAAGTGATTTGTCCTTCCTCAAGTTGAAGTCTGTTGACGCAATCGAGGAATCAGGAGTGTCCAATCCTCCAGACATAGCATTCTTGCGCAGTTCGATAGATTCGATGCCGGTAGAGGATGGGGTCTCAAGGCCAGAGGTTACTGAACTGATACCAGACTGCACAGCTTCCTCGTCGACGGCCTCTTCCTCCTCTTCTTCCTCCTCCTCCTCTTCCTCCTCAACTTCCTCGATTTCACCCCATCTTCTCTTGTCTATCGGCGCTTCATTCATAGCAGCTCCACCGGTATCGTTCGTCCCGAAAACGTCACCATAAATCGGACGTCCGAACTCGTCAACTGGTGGCTTACCCCACCCTCCCGGATGATAACCAAACTGGGCCCCAGAGGGTATAGGTGCATTCAAACCAGGAATTTTCAGATTTGGGTACGAAGGTGGTGGTCCATATCTTTGCATGTTGATGAGCCAGGGAGGTGGAACCGGAACGCCTTCGGAAGGCATACCCAAAGCGTGTTTCAATTCTTCCGACAATACACCTGCTCTCTTTTCCTTGTACTTGACCTCGAACTCCTTGCCTTCATAATAAACATCTCCATGACCCGTCAGCCTCGGTTTTGTTTGGTATCGAAAGAAGGCATCGTGGAGCACTTGATAATCAATGTCCATCTTACTTACTTTTGGTCTTGACATGGCTCGTGCTTTCTGCTTTGCATTCTTCTCATTTTCTTTTTCCTCATAGGCTGCTCTCAACTTTGCAATACCAGTAGCTTCAATGAAGTGTGGAAGCTGGAATGGGGGCTTCTCAATACCACGTTTCCCCTGAAGGTACTTCCTCTTGTTGCACCAGTGGCGAGGAACAGCGACAGTATTTCTGTAGCTCTTCAAGTACACAAGCAATCGAGGATCCGACGAAGTAACATCCCACACTTCAACGACATCTGGCCTCTTCACAAGCTGCTTCAACTCAGCAATCGACAGCCTGTGCAACTGTTTATACTTCTTCTTACTCAGCTTTTGCTTCGACGTTTGATTGTCTTCGTCATCACTATCAAAATTCTTCTCCTTCTTGACTTCGGTCACTTTGGGCTGAACTGCTTCTTCACCATCGAGACCAGCACCCATAGCCTCGTCGTCCAGCTCTTTCTTCTGGGGTCCTTTCTGAAATTTATGAAAGATCTTTGCCCATTCGTCAAAATTGGGATCATTCTCGTCCAACATCATATCAGTGACATACTCGATCTCCAGACCCTCAAGACCATTCATATCTGTGCCATTGGCTTCCACTTTCACAACTCCCTCAGCATTTTCAGTTGACTCTTCTGGGTTCTGCTTTTTCTTCTCCTTCTTCTTCATTTTCTTCTTCTGATTCTTTGTCATCTTGTCCTTGGTGTCCGCTCCATCGAGCTGAGGCAGCGCTAGAACCTGATACTCGAGAGGAGAAGGCATATTGGCAGTCTCTAACGCGGTGAAACCTGGAATTATTTCAGAACTTAAAAATTCGGCTTTTGGGCTTTGCAGGACCTGCACGGCCCTTCCAACGACAAAGCAAAAGAGTTACTCCTGAACGAAATATCAGTATGAAGTTTGATCTTGAGACAATGATAGATAGGCCGAAGAGATTGTGTGCAAGTACTGTTATTGCAGAGATATATTCTTTAAGGTGTCAAACACTCAAACAAAACCGTATCAAGACGAAGTCCATAAGGAGTTTTTAGTGAGGGTGGAATGCAAGAGCAGGAGCAGGGTATTAAACTAATGAATGTATGAGTGTTGACAATAAGGTTTTAGCGTGAGCTGCATGCTCGAGTTCTTGCTTGCATGTCGAAGATTGAAAGGATGAAGGAACAAACAGTCGGAGGGTGAGCTGGTCGAGAGGAAGACGCGGAAGGACCAATCAAAAGGACCAGGAAGGAAGAGTTAGACTTAGATGAGAGAAGACGAGTGAGACGAGATATGAGAGCGCGAGAGGGCTCTTGAGGAGACTGCGAGGTGAAGCGAGCGGCAGGGAGTGGCATAGCAGAGGAAAGGCGGCGGCATGAGGTAAAAAAAACGTAACCACAAATAACGCCTTCTAACGGAAATAACCGGAGAGCCCGCCGGTCGCCACCGGCCGGCCGGCCGGCAATTTTGTACGGTACTCCGACGTAAGACTCGTACCATGCCAAAGTACTATCATGCAAAAGTGCCCGGTGAGTCGGGCCCGGCGGCACAGCGGCTTAAAAGATAGGGCCGGCCTGCTCTTGGACACGACTTTACCCCTGGCGCTTCACCGAAATGCACTTCCTCCCGAGTCCCCCTCTCCTCCGAGTCAGAGTCAGAGCCGCTCTTGCAGTCCCTCCTCTCCTCTCAGAGCCTCTTCATGTCGTTCACTTATGATGTTGAGTTCTCGACCCGGCTGCCTCCCCCCGGATGTCACTGATTGCTTCCGCGTGTTGTCCTGCTGCAACGTGACTTAAGGATTTGCTGGGTTGCTTCAAGCCTGTGTGGCGTGAGTGCTTGTGTACACTCAGTTGTTCTCTTGCTGCATCCTGTGTCAGCTGACTTCTGCACATTCTCTCACGATCATTCCTGTACATTTCACACATAATTCTGTGCACGTTTCGACTTCAGTCAAAGGGTTAAAGCTTTCTTGTCAGGAAGATGCTGGTTGCACTTGAAAAGACGGCACGAAACTTGCGCGAGCTTCCAACCATGCGCAAGGGATATGCTGATCTAGCTTTCTTCATACTATTTCTTGTACTTTATGTTTATGTTCTTGTAATTCAGCTACAGGTAACGATTTGAGTTGTTGCGTACTTGAAAAGTTTGACACAAGGTCACAGGTAGACAAGGTATACTCCATAGATGAAGCTCTGAGGCAAACGGTGGTGGATGAGTCAAACTCGCTTCAGGGCATTAATACTCATGCTGATTTCTTTGGCTAGTGAGTCTTGCTAATTCACGTTGGGTGCATCTTAATGCTTGTTCCAGTCTTCAAGGTACAATTATGCCAAATGTGTTTCCGAGCTCTTGGTACAACGGCAGAGCTTTTCAGACGAACGAGTCCGGATATATTCTTCATTATAACAAACTCGTTGGGGGTCTACTAATTGTACAACAGCGAGGTCAAGTGAAGGTCTGCGTGTGATATGAAGTGTGTAGCTCCTCTCACTATCTTTTTAGGTTCCATGTCAAACGCCCATGTTCAACTGTACAAAGATGCGGAATGGTGTTCTCTTCGACAACTGCTCCAGCGCTTACGACAAGTTCTATCCTGTGTGCTATGATACTACCCCGATCGAAAACATACTTCCAAAAGAGCACAGAACTGACTGGACCAAAGTGCCTTGGACAGTCAAGGCTGACGAATTTGACAACGTTGTTCCAGATCAGATGGCGCCGCCAACATCTCCGCATGACGTGAATGCGACGCGAAATGATCCGACGAAACCAGGTTTCTGGAAGGCGTTTACCTACCGCGTTCCCAACGGGACAGCACCTCCAAACTCCATTGGCTATTGGTCGCCCTATTCTTCAAAGATAGAACCTCAATATGGCGCTGGCGGTTTCCAAGTGTTTCTTTCTCTAGCAGATGGCCCGGCTCGAAATCAAGAGAAAGTTCAATTCTTGATCGACAATCGATGGCTCGATAGGTGACGGGAGTCTTCAAACAAATGCTTCTCACTTGCTGACTCCTGTGCAAAGGTTCACAAGAAAAATCGAAATCAAATTCGCTGTTTACAACGGAATGCTTCACCGGTTTACATTTGTGAAGATCAAGTTTGGCTACTCCACGACTGGAACCTACAAGCCTTTCAACACCAAGGGCGGTACCATTGTCAAGATAGAGGTTAGCTTTGTATACCTAGAGAAAGAAGTGCTGATTTGTTCACGATGTCAGTCCATCGATATGGAACCCTATCGGATTCAACAAGTTGGAGGATGTGTCAACAGCGAGCAAGAGAGGCTACAATGCTTAAACAGCACTGCCCTCTCCGACCAATCTAAATGCTCTATTTGCACCCCTGGCGTTACTTCCGACGCGATCAGAATGGTGCTCTTGTCCCCACAGCTCCAAATTCCAATCTAATTGTTGTTGAATGCCAGAGCCTGGAAATCATTCTTATGGTTTTTATCTTCTACAACATCTCAGGGTTGATCCGGTGATTTTTGAAGTCTTATCGATTTCTTGTGGTAATCTACGATCCAGACAAGGTCTCCAGTGCTTCATGGTAGGAGGATGGGATGGAAAAGATCTGAAAGGGGAAAAGAACGTCGAAGCAAGTCACAACGGACTCAAGTCATTCTTTTTGGACAAGTGGACACTCATAGATATTCTCAATTACCTGCTATTTATCTACTACATCATCCTTCGTATTTCGCTTACACAGATGATCACATCCAAAAATAATATCATCCAGGTCAAATAAGTCCTTGAAGCTGAGATATATTTTTGATTTCATGATCTGCAAATAGGTCCCCACGAATCAATATGAAATCATTCTAGAAAGAGCGTCGTCCATCATTCAGAATCAGCTCCTCGGAAACTTTTTCAACGTGCTCTTGTAATTGCTCCGAGAGGCATGCAGCATATGATATTGTGCTTGACATGTCGCAGGTGCCTCCTGAAATGCTTCAAGTATTATCGTTTCCAGCCGCGACTTGCCATTGTCAACAATACACTGGAGAAATCTATTCCTGATCTTTACCATTTTGCTCTGATGTTCATGACATTCCTGTATGGATTCTCTGCTATATCGCATGTTCTCTTTGGTCCCGAAATGCACATGTTCTCAACATTACCTATCGCACTTTCGTCGGGATGGATGATGTGAGTTGAGCATCGAATCCCAAAGGTGTTGACATCTGTTCAGGATGCTTGGAGCTGGTTTGGATCATTTCGCTTCGATGGCGAGGGTAGACGGGAAGATGGCTGTGGTCTTCTATACAACATTCATTTTTCTAGTCAACATTGTGCTGCTCAACATTCTTCTTGCTATTTTGGTCCGTCCATTTGACAAATACGTCGAGAATCAAACATCTCTGACTATTTTTCGTCAGGTCGATTCATACATGGAAGCAAAGGAGGATATGGCAAAACAATATGGAGATGATGAAGAACAAATCCCGTCATTGGCGTCAGATTTGTCTCTGTTGACTCAATACTCCTTCTCATTTGGAATTCCAAAAAGCGAAATCCTCCTGAAGGTGATCGCTATGATTTTCATTTTGGAGTTTCTCACAAGGAGAACAGGCAGTAGAGTTGCTTCTCAAAAGGAAACAATTTGCCACCTTTGAGCAAATTCTGCATAGTATTCCAGCAGAGATTCGAGCTACGTTGAACATCACCGAAGAATCCATTGGTCGTCACCCTGCACTGGTGAGGTACGATTCGCAGCTGTCTCTGTTGACTGCTGGTTTCTAGCACCTTGTTGAAGAGGATGAAGCTGAAGATGGCGAAGACCATGCTGCTCAAAAGGTTCTGATAAGTGCAAGACTTTGAGGTTTCTGCTTAGCCTATTGTCCAGGATGCCAGTTCTGATTCTGATTCGGCGAATCTGTTGGTGAACGAGCTCAGGAGTCTTCTTGAAATTAACAAGAGATTGAATATGGAATACGACAAGATGCTGCAAGACTCTCAGCATAAGGATTGAACTTGCTGGTTAGAATTTGGCTTTGCTGCTGCGAGCTTGCAAAACTGGTGTAGAATTGGTGTTAGAATAAAGTATCCCCTGCAAAAACAACATGTCTGACGAACTCAAGTATTCTCTGACTGTATTCTTGGGGATAGAGCCGCAAGATACCACAGTGCTCTGCATCCTCCCACTGCTCCTTTTCCACCGGCAGCCCAGCACTGCTCAAACTGACCTCGTAAGCAGCTATGAACCTCTCGATCTCGTCCGGTGGCACCACAGCATCACTGCGGCTAATGACCTGGTCAGTTGCGCATGCCAGGAGCGATACCCTTCCCTCACCTGTACAAAAACAAGGCCGGAGCTCGGGGGAATGCCGTCCTCCATGTCTCCCATATGAGGGTTTGTCTCCGGTTCATCAAGGCGACCAGGGGCGAGCACACAACCCTTAGAGGTTCCCACCACCCTTTTCTCCGAGCCTCCTCTGCATTCACTCGCGCAATCGCCGACAGCAACCCAGTTGCTGCCACCTCGTCCGTGATGGGACAGGGACAGGAATCGAAAACGATGGCAGAAATCAAGTTTCCGAGGGACGGGTTAAGCACCAAGGAGCTTCCAAAGAAAATGAAACCATTGTTCGAAAAGAGATGAAGCACGATTTTGGTGTCATGACGTGCCTTGAGCCTCTTCAAAGAAGTCAGGAAGATGGCCAGCAGCAGAATACCATCAGCTCACCGTGACGATCTCGTTAAACTCCCGCACATCTTTACTGCCTTTGCCACGGAATCCGAGATGCGCCAAGAGCATCGAGCGAGTCGACGGGAGGATGCAAATCGTTGGCATCCCAACACTCTGATAAATACTTGCATACTTGTCCAAAATGTTAAGTCGACAGCCGAGAAATCCGACAAGAACAGCTACTGTCCTGTTCTGTTCAGACTCTGCCGCGCTCTCAAACTCTTCGACGATGGTTGATGCTTCTCTGGACACACTGCTCAAGATGCATGGACTGGGTCTACGTTGGATGCAAGAAGTCGGCAATGTGCTGATGTGAGGATGGTGAGATATACCAATGTTGGAAGAAAGCGAAAGTGATCGATGAGTACATCTGTAGCTACTGTGATGATGAAAGAAGTTGTGCGGCAGCTTCGAGGGTTGGAGAAACGCGGGAATGACGGATCCTTGAGAGAGGGGGGAAAGAAAAGCTGTGGCAGGAGAAGGAGAGAAGAAGGTAGGACAAGGAGAGAAGAAGGTAGGACAAGGAGAGAAGAAGGTAGGACAAGGAGAGAAGAAGGTAGGAGAAGGAGAGCTTGCGAAGGGCGGTGGGCAAGCGGATGTGAAGCTCCCCAGGAGCTGCAGTAGTAGCAGGAGAACCAGCATCAGCATGCTCGGCGGAATCCCGTTCCGAGCTCACCTCAAAGATCTCCTATACTCCGAGAAAAGTCACTCATTGTATGAATCTGATATGCATTCTATTGTTTTACTAACCTTCCTTTTAAACACTGAGGCGCACGGCAAACTGTCATCGCTCCTCCCCAGCATGGTAGTTCGCCCGCTCCTCCCCACCACCGTCCCTCCCCATCTCAGGTGACTACACCCTCCAGTTTGATCTGATCCAGCGGTCAGACGGACATCAGCGGAGAGAGCATGTCTTGCAGCAGCATCAGCTCAAGGTATACCCGCATCTTGATCCCGCTCCTTGCGGCGCTAGCAGGCGCTGTCTTGCATCATAGCTTGCTACAAAGAGATCCGTCCCTTCGTGCTCATGACCAGAGTGCTTTGAGAAAAGAAGCGCACAACGAGGCCAAGAGCCTGCGGTTGCTTCACCAGTTGAGCTCCTTAGAGCATCGCAAACCCTTCAATGTCCGCGCGACCAACCCTGATGCTCAAATCCTGTACCCCGACCGAAACGCGACGTTTGAACATTTCAGCCAAAACGTCCCTACCACTTCCCTGAGAAAAGGAGACAACGAGCAGACAGTCGTCAAGAGGCTCGGATCGCTTGTTTACCGGACGCTGCACAGCCGTGGCAAGATGTTCGTTTCTTCAGGACTCGGAGACTCCAAAGCGCAAGAAGGAGTAGAGCAACCCTTACAAGCAGCCAAACGTCTTTCCGATGCTCACCTACCACAGCAATCACTGCCATCGAATAATGGAAGATTCTTTGCAAGAGATGTGTATGTATTCTGGGCCGGCCTTGAGGGAACGGGCCACCACCTGATACAAGAAGCAAGTGTTCAGCATCCTCACGTGAGGAAGACTGAGCAGAGCATGCAGCTGGTTTGCGCGTTATGGAATGAAGAGAGTCAGAATGGGTTGTTCAATATCAGGTGGGCGTCAAGCCCCAAAAAGGCAAGCCTCTACTTGCTGCAGCAGCTAAAATCAATCCCATCCGACTTATCACAAAAACCAGCCATGACATTCCTGAATATAATGGATGAAACAAGACTGTGCCATTCAGGAATGATGTCATATCCAAACTCTGGCGGAGATTCTGAACGAGACCCAGACGTCTCAAAACTCGCCGACATCATGAAGGAGGCTGGCAAGACTCTCAAGGTGGTCGTGCTGCTCCGAGACGCTCTCAGCATCCTATGCTCTTGCACCATCAAGCGTCGCTTCCGCCCCTGGAACGTGCAGGCCAAGACCCTCCGCACGAGCGCGCTCGACTTAGCAGCGCAGCTCCGACGCCTAGACAAGAGGAGCTACGTGTGCCTCGACTACAACGAGATCGCGACCGGCAAGGGGGTCGAGGCGCTGGACGAGCTGCTCTACGACGGGCATGCGCCGGCGTCGGGCAGTCTCGGGCGGTCTATACAGGGAGCGCTGAGGCGGCCGAGACAAGCGCCGTCGCCCAGGACGTGCGCGAGCTTCGTGTGCGAGGCGCCGTCAGAGGGACGGAGGTACAGGATGTCGGAGAGGCATTGCGCGGACGCCAAGGAGCTACACGACGCGCTAGAGGAGCTGAGACGGGCTTGCCCGAACAAGGTCGAAGCAGACCTGACGAGGTATGGTGGGGAGGGGCAGGGCTAGACGGGAGGGGAGAAGGAGGAAACGGAGCAGGTCGTACGGGACGACGACGGATCGGGAGCAAAAGGGTTTGCGGAGGCCCCCGCAGGGAGGGACAAGGGGAGGCGGAGGAGCCAGGAGGAGGAGCCCGGTCGTATAGGGGGAGGTACCTCAGGCCCCAGGAGGACATGGCTGCAGGATGGCGACGTCGAGATGAGCCCCAGCATGCCATCGCCGCCGCTGAGAGGACCTCTCGCGGGCCGCCGGGGAGGCTCCCTGTGGACGCCGGAGTGCTCTCGATGTAGGGAGGAGGGCGCGGGCCCAGATAGAGAGGGAGGCATGCGTCGGGCGTCAGGGACAGGCAGGCGTAGACGTAGACTCTGAGTGAAAGGCTGACGGACGCCTTCACTTGCCCTCTGCTATAAACTGCCCCTCTTCCTTCCGCGTGCAATGCTCCAGCGCCTCCTCCATCAGGTCCTCAAGGCTGCCGTCCCATCGAGCCCTGCCTGCCTGCTCCTGCTCCGCCCCAGCGCCTGGGCCCGTCGTGACCCGCCGGTCGCGCCTCCTCCCACGCGCCCCGCCGGCCTCCTGGTCTGGGTCTGTCATGGCGGTCTGGGCGGAAGCAGCCGCCTTCTGTCGCATGTACGGCCACCTCTGGATGCCGAGCTTCCTGCATGCGGCCTTGATGTCAGCGAGATCCCGAACGCCGCCGCCGCCTCGCTCTGGCGCATGTGGAAGTAGCTGGTGACGGTCGTGCTGTCGAGCATGACGCTGTCTCTGGTGCGGAGGTCCTCATGATGCTTTCGTCTGAGGGTGACATGGGCGAAGAGCTCGCTGTTGCCGTCGTCGTACTCGTATTGCTGGGGCTCAGCATCGCTCTGGCTCTCCGTCCCCACGCCCACCCCCTCGTCCGACGACAGAGCGCTTCCGTACGCCGAGTCTTCTGAGCCCGAGCTCGATGCCGAGGAGTCGAAGCCTTCGCTCAAGGTCAGGGAAAGGGGCTTGGTGATGGGGCTAGGCTCTGATGGCTGATCGGCGATGTTTGTCTGCAGCTTGTCGGGGAGCGATGGCATGTTTCCTGAAGTTGCACATTGGTGTGGAGAGGAGCCTACTGCTTGGTACTCGTACATTCGGCAACTCTTGCTTGTGGCCCCGTGTCTGAGTGCAGATGTCATGATGATACTACCTCGGGCGTTGTACTGGTCAGCTAGCACCTGTTTCAGTCTGCTTTGTCTTTGCACTGCTACGCGGTTTGATCCGGTTTGGTCCAAAGTCTTATGCTCCTCTGAGGGACAGGTACAGGTGGCCCTGAGCCTAGATTGATGTACATGCCTGTCTTGCTCATGCTCGTCGTGTCTTGTTTCTGTCTCATCGACTTCAGATTGCTTCCTTTCGCATCGCTTGTTTTGCTGCCATGTTCCTGAGTGTTAACCATCCATCAACAAACTGAGCCCCCTGTACCCCTACCCCTGATACCTCCGATCAGTACCCCCACGCCTCCGTGATGGTCTTGGTATTCCCCTACCCTACCCCCTAGTCTCCGGTCCTTCCCTGTCTGGCGAAATCATGCAGTCAGCGATGATGATGTAGCTCTGCGGCCTCCTCTTCTTCTGCATGACGTCTGGCTCCTACCTGCATGCTATGGGAGACTCTGCCGTCACACGGCTCCGTCCTTGGAGCTCTCTTGCTATCAGCTCATAGTCTTGTGTTCTCATACTTGTTGTCTTCCCCGCAATGAGGTGAAGTGCGGGCACTCGTCGCGCCTTGTATCATGGCGTGCTTGGCGGCTCTCTGTAGATGCGTGTATCAATCTAGACCACTTACATGTTGCCACATACCGACAGGCTCCGTGCACGGACACAGGATCGAGTCACAGCGTACGGGCAGAGGGATGGACTGGAGTGAGAGAGACCAAAAGCAGCAACAACGACTGCCATGCCAAAACAAGGACTGGCAGATCATCTGGACACACGCTCCTGCTCAGATGGACGGAGACTTCGATAAGCTTGGTCACGTCCTCTACCTGGCTGGCAAGACTCTCGAGGTGGTCGTGCTGTTCCGAGACGCTCTCAGCATCCTATGCTCTTGCACCATCAAGCGTCGCTTCCGCCCCTGGAACGTGCAGGCCAAGACCCTCCGCACGAGCGCGCTCGACTTAGCAGCGCAGCTCCGACGCCTAGACAAGAGGAGCTACGTGTGCCTCGACTACAACGAGATCGCGACCGGCAAGGGGGTCGAGGCGCTGGACGAGCTGCTCTACGACGGGCATGCGCCGGCGTCGGGCAGTCTCGGGCGGTCTATACAGGGAGCGCTGAGGCGGCCGAGACAAGCGCCGTCGCCCAGGACGTGCGCGAGCTTCGTGTGCGAGGCGCCGTCAGAGGGACGGAGGTACAGGATGTCGGAGAGGCATTGCGCGGACGCCAAGGAGCTACACGACGCGCTAGAGGAGCTGAGACGGGCTTGCCCGAACAAGGTCGAAGCAGACCTGACGAGGTATGGTGGGGAGGGGCAGGGCTAGACGGGAGGGAGAGGGAGGAAACGAGCAGGTCGTACGGGACGACGACGGATCGGGAGCAAAAGGGTTTGCGGAGGCCCCCGCAGGGAGGGACAAGGGGAGGCGGAGGAGCCAGGAGGAGGAGCCCGGTCGTATAGGGGGAGGTACCTCAGGCCCCAGGAGGACATGGCTGCAGGATGGCGACGTCGAGATGAGCCCCAGCATGCCATCGCCGCGCTGAGAGGACCTCTCGCGGGCCGCCGGGGAGGCTCCCTGTGGACGCCGGAGTGCTCTCGATGTAGGGAGGAGCGCGCGGGCCCAGATAGAGAGGGAGGCATGCGTCGGGCGTCAGGGACAGGCAGGCGTAGACGTAGACTCTGAGTGAAAGGCTGACGGACGCCTTCACTTGCCCTCTGCTATAAACTGCCCCTCTTCCTTCCGCGTGCAATGCTCCAGCGCCTCCTCCATCAGGTCCTCAAGGCTGCCGTCCCATCGAGCCCTGCCTGCCTGCTCCTGCTCCGCCCCAGCGCCTGGGCCCGTCGTGACCCGCCGGTCGCGCCTCCTCCCACGCGCCCCGCCGGCCTCCTGGTCTGGGTCTGTCATGGCGGTCTGGGCGGAAGCAGCCGCCTTCTGTCGCATGTACGGCCACCTCTGGATGCCGAGCTTCCTGCATGCGGCCTTGATGTCAGCGAGATCCCGAACGCCGCCGCCGCCTCGCTCTGGCGCATGTGGAAGTAGCTGGTGACGGTCGTGCTGTCGAGCATGACGCTGTCTCTGGTGCGGAGGTCCTCATGATGCTTTCGTCTGAGGGTGACATGGGCGAAGAGCTCGCTGTTGCCGTCGTCGTACTCGTATGGCTGGGGCTCAGCATCGCTCTGGCTCTCCGTCCCCACGCCCACCCCCTCGTCCGACGACAGAGCGCTTCCGTACGCCGAGTCTTCTGAGCCCGAGCTCGATGCCGAGGAGTCGAAGCCTTCGCTCAAGGTCAGGGAAAGGGGCTTGGTGATGGGGCTAGGCTCTGATGGCTGATCGTCGGCACAAGGCAAGGCGACATGAGAGAGAGAGCTTTGCTCGTCTGTCTGCAGCTTGTCGGGGAGCGATGGCATGAGTCTCACATCGGTGTTTAGTTGTGTTGTCATTGTCGGTGGATGGCAGCGTCTTGAGTGGTTGAAGCAGCTTTCTGAAATTCCCTGAAGTTTGGTTTGTGCTTGGTGTTCTGAAAGCTCCTTTGGGCTGCTCTTCTCTACCTGTTTGCTGTTGTTAGCTTGCTTGCATTCGCTCTTGTGTCTCTCTGACGGCAAAGTTTGCCATGGCGTCAGCTCCACCACCCCCACCCCCTGTCCTGACAGTCGCTTTGGCTTTCAACACAGTCAGTTCACGCCCAGCAACCTGCGAAGGGCGAGGATCGATCTTGAGGCGGGAGAGCAGCCAGGGCGGGGAGGGTGGGAGGATCGATGTTGAGGGAGGCCAGCACCAGGGCGGGGAAAGAGGCTCTGCCAGTGATCGTATCGCTGGTTGAGCCCGAAAGGAGGTAGGAAATTGAGTACAAGGATACAGCTGCTGCCTACTACAGGACGGTGCAAGGTGAGCTAAGTGAATGGAGCCAGTACAGATGGTTTTATTTGTATGCTTTCTATGCGTTTAATCTGCACCTTCGTTGTGGGTTGTCAATTGGGATGCTTTATTGGTTCTGTTTTATCCAGCATCATTTGTTTTGATTCGTTTATCAATTGCTTTTGTGATTATGCAAACTCTCTGCAAGGTTGAATCCATTGAGAATTCACCGCTTTGCAGTTTTATTGATCACTTGGTATATGTAGACTTCTGGACAGCAAAAGTTGCTTACAAGATATATTTACCTGATACGGAATGAAATTGCATGTGCAACGCACTGAATTGTAATCCAAAAATGTGTTATCTGCTCCAATGTGAGGACTTGAAATCCAGCTTAGAGGCACCTTTCTGCAATGTTCTGTCATGGCTAGCGGGCGCGCCTGTCGCCTCATGCTTGGATGAGCGAGTCTCTCTCCCTCGGCTCGAGACGTCGCCCTCGCTCCTCAAGGCCTGTTGCTCGTCATGTGCGCCGGAAGGTTGCCCAAACCAAGTCGAAGCAGACCTGACGAGGTATGGTGGGGTGGGGCAGGGCTAGACGGGAGGGGAGAGGGAGGAAACGGAGCAGGTCGTACGGGACGACGACGGATCGGAAGCAAAAGGGAATGCGGAGGCCCCCGCAGGGAGGGACAAGGGGAGGCGGAGGAGCCAGGACAAGGAGCCCGGTCGTATAGGGGGAGGTACCTCAGGCCCCAGGAGGACATGGCTGCAGGATGGCCACGTCGAGATGAGCCCCAGCATGCCATCTCCGCTATGAGAGGACCTCTCGCGGGCCGCCGGGGAGGCTCCCTGTGGACGCCGGAGTGCTCTCGATGTAGGCGGACGAGGAGGGCGCGGGCCCAGATAGAGAGGGAGGCATGCGTCGGGCGTCAGGGACAGGCAGGCGTAGACGTAGACTCTGAGTGAAAGGCTGACGGACGCCTTCACTTGCCCTCTGCTATAAACTGCCCCTCTTCCTTCCGCGTGCAATGCTCCAGCGCCTCCTCCATCAGGTCCTCAAGGCTGCCGTCCCATCGAGCCCTGCCTGCCTGCTCCTGCTCCGCCCCAGCGCCTGGGCCCGTCGTGACCCGCCGGTCGCGCCTCCTCCCACGCGCCCCGCCGGCCTCCTGGTCTGGGTCTGTCATGGCGGTCTGGGCGGAAGCAGCCGCCTTCTGTCGCATGTACGGCCACCTCTGGATGCCGAGCTTCCTGCATGCGGCCTTGAAGGCTGTCAGCGAGATCCCGAACGCCGCCGCCGCCTCGCTCTGGCGCATGTGGAAGTAGCTGGTGACGGTCGTGCTGTCGAGCATGACGCTGTCTCTGGTGCGGAGGTCCTCATGATGCTTTCGTCTGAGGGTGACATGGGCGAAGAGCTCGCTGTTGCCGTCGTCGTACTCGTATGGCTGGGGCTCATCATCGCTTTCATTTTCCATGCTGAATCTGTTTTCGTCCGTATCGTTCTCTGCGTATTGTTTTGCCTGATTTATTGTTTTTACCTGTGTTGATTCGAGTTTTGTTGTTTGTTCTTGAACTTGATTTGTTTGATTTTGATTTCGATGAATATTTCGTCTCGCAGCTTTGAATGTTGAACGTGCATAGCCTGTGAACGTTTGTGCTTGGTGGAGTTGAGGAGCTGATGTTGAACTTGGTTCAAGTTTTGACTGGTTGTCTGTGTCATCAAGGGTTGGAGGACTGAAGTATTGCGCATTCGTGAGACTACCAGTGACTTTATATTCCTGCTGCTCGTTGTACGAACTTCTGCTTATAGTGCAGTCGAGAAATCTTTTCCCTGATGCTCCCATGCTGCGTTGTGAAACTGTTCCGAGCATTTGTACATCGTGTGCATCGCAAGCACAGGACCACCCCACCCCACCCCCTGGACTTCCAGTCGCTTCAGTTGGGTGCTGTTGGCGAGTAGTGGTAAGTAAAGATCTGATTATAAAAAACTGAGAGCCCCCTCCACCCCGTTCCTTTTATATGACCCCCACCTCCTAGTCAGCCCTTCCTTCCTCTCGCATCCAACCTCTCATGTTCTCCGGTCCGCGCTTGCACTCACATACCTGGAATGTCCACCTGCACAGAGATGGGCCGAGTCACAGACGACTGTCGAGTCTTTCACGGAAACAAGTTTGATTCTGATTCTTTGCTGCCCTGCATTTCCAAAGGAAAACAACGAAATTGCACAGAATCCTTCGAAACAAAGATCAGATGCAATGTGACTCTCCGACTCATTTCAAAGTCACAAAGAAGGAACAAAATCATACTGCTTTTTTGACTCTCGATTGCTGACAAACGGCATTTAAACTTTTCTTTTCACATCTTGGACAATACGAACAAAATCAATCGTCCCAAGAAGTGTATGAGACGTCTACGAGGGTACGCGAGCTTGACGAGATGGGACGGAGAGCATGTACACAGACAAGGTATGAAATCAGTACATTTCAGCCTTGAACTTTTATGGATGTTTAGCAAAAAAATGCGCGCTGCAAAAAGATACCGTCAAATCCATAAAGAGCACAAACATCACAATATAACATCTCGGAACAAATCCAAAATGTGCATGGTTCATCAGCAAGCTTTGTTAAAGCTCATCCTCACAGTCTCCCCTTTGATGAAATGTGTAAAGAAACCTAGAGGCCCCTGGTCCTCCACGTCTAAACCTACCAGCCCACCGTCTTGTTAGTGTCCCTCCTTAGCGCAGGAAGGGAAAGCCATCAAACAATCCGATCGGTCCAAAAGAACTGGCAGTGTGTGAGGCCGAAAGGGAGCTGACCAGGCAAACGCGAGGGAATCAACCCCATTGTCGAAATCCTACATATCATGCAGATGTCAATACAAAGCGCAAGTGCCATCAAATTAGGGGACGGCACAGAAGGCTCGGCTTGGCCAATCGTTAATATACAACGACTCGATGTACTTGGAAAGCTGAAACCTGGTGCTAGAAAACAGTCTTCCAAGTGACGTCACTTTGATGAAATCCAACGTCGCTTGAGTGAAAGGCTGACGGACACCTTCACTTGCCCTCTGCTATAAACTGCCCCTCTTCCTTCCGCGTGCAATGCTCCAGCGCCTCCTCCATCAGGTCCTCAAGGCTGCCGTCCCATCGAGCCCTGCCTGCCTGCTCCTGCTCCGCCCCAGCGCCTGGGCCCGTCGTGACCCGCCGGTCGCGCCTCCTCCCACGCGCCCCGCCGGCCTCCTGGTCTGGGTCTGTCTTGGCGGTCTGGGCGGAAGCAGCCGCCTTCTGTCGCATGTACGGCCACCTCTGGATGCCGAGCTTCCTGCATGCGGCCTTGAAGGCCGTCAGCGAGATCCCGAACGCCGCCGCCGCCTCGCTCTGGCGCATGTGGAAGTAGCTGGTGACGGTCGTGCTGTCGAGCATGACGCTGTCTCTGGTGCGGAGGTCCTCATGATGCTTTCGTCTGAGGGTGACATGGGCGAAGAGCTCGCTGTTGCCGTCGTCGTACTCGTATTGCTGGGGCTCAGCATCGCTCTGGCTCTCCGTCCCCACGCCCACCCCCTCGTCCGACGACAGAGCGCTTCCGTACGCCGAGTCTTCTGAGCCCGAGCTCGATAACTTGTTTACGACATCTTGAGATCGATCAGATGGGGAGGGGCTGCTGGAGGATAGCAGCTTGCGCAAGGGTTCTGGATGTCTTGCGATGCTTTCCTTGTGCGGGGATGCGGCGGTCTCTTGCATCTCAAGGAGACGCTGTACCACTTGGCTCGAGTGAGCTTGAAACGGGTTCAACGGAAGGGCTATCGATGCGGGATGGCAAGAGCGTGCATCTCTCTGACTTGTCTCGTCGGTCTGATAGTCCCAGTCCAACATCACTTCATCTCCAGGCTTGCTGGGTGCGTATGAAGCCACGCCGGGGACAAACCAAACCGCTGGAAGGATGTTGAGAGCGTGTGGGCACAGCTCAGGGCCGGTAGTGCCGGTGTTGGGGAGCTGTTGGTGCTCGCCTTGGGCAACTACTCGCGTCGCTCGCCTGATATCAGCCGTGGGAGGGCTCGGAACGCACTTAGGCTTCATGGATGGACGATGTGTGATTGATTTTGTTCGACCATCGATCTTTGGCCTGGAAATCCAGTAGGTAAAAGCACTTGTTGTCTCATGGGTCAGGCAATGTGGGAGCTTTTGGCGACTACTTAGCTCTTCTGTTCTCGTCTTGTCTTGGCTTTGTTCGTGTTTCACGCCTTTCTTCACTGTTGCTGGCATAGCTTCAAAACTGGCGCATAGATCGAAATTTTGCAACCCCCACCCCTCCTTGAACCCTTTTTTTTAACACCAAAAAAAGAAGAAATTTTTTTTTCCTTCCCTGGCCAACACTCGTTGCGACCAGGCAGCCTCATGCAACAAAGTGAGACCATCGAGTCAAGTATGCAGTAAAACCCTCATCTTGCCTTGTAGTCTGTAAAGGTGGCCAAAATCTCTCTTGTTGACTTGCTGGACAACCTCAGGTGCACCCGAAGTCTCGAAAACGAATCTTCGTTGCTACTTGAGCACTATAATAATCCTAATCCTCGATAACACTGAAGTGCCCAGAGCATATCAGGATCATCCAATTAGAAACATCATGGGCAGTATTCAGCACTGTGCCATGAATCAAAATGTCAATATTGTAATGAAACAACAAATCGATTGTGTTTAACAAGAATTCGAATTGCAAAAGTTGAAAACAAGACAAGATGAAAATCAGCCACTGTCATCATCCTATGCTCTTGCACCATCAAGCGTCGCTTCCGCCCCTGGAACGTGCAGGCCAAGACCCTCCGCACGAGCGCGCTCGACTTAGCAGCGCAGCTCCGACGCCTAGACAAGAGGAGCTACGTGTGCCTCGACTACAACGAGATCGCGACCGGCAAGGGGGTCGAGGCGCTGGACGAGCTGCTCTACGACGGGCATGCGCCGGCGTCGGGCAGTCTCGGGCGGTCTATACAGGGAGCGCTGAGGCGGCCGAGACAAGCGCCGTCGCCCAGGACGTGCGCGAGCTTCGTGTGCGAGGCGCCGTCAGAGGGACGGAGGTACAGGATGTCGGAGAGGCATTGCGCGGACGCCAAGGAGCTACACGACGCGCTAGAGGAGCTGAGACGGGCTTGCCCGAACAAGGTCGAAGCAGACCTGACGAGGTATGGTGGGGTGGGGCAGGGCTAGACGGGAGGGGGGAGGGAGGAAACGGAGCAGGTCGTACGGGACGACGACGGATCGGAAGCAAAAGGGTATGCGGAGGCCCCCGCAGGGAGGGACAAGGGGAGGCGGAGGAGCCAGGACAAGCAGCCCGGTCGTATAGGGGGAGGTACCTCAGGCCCCAGGAGGACATGGCTGCAGGATGGCCACGTCGAGATGAGCCCCAGCATGCCATCGCCGCGCTGAGAGGACCTCTCGCGGGCCGCCGGGGAGGCTCCCTGTGGACTCCGGAGTGCTCTCGATGTAGGCGGACGAGGAGGGCGCGGGCCCAGATAGAGAGGGAGGCATGCGTCGGGCGTCAGGGACAGGCAGGCGTAGACGTAGACTCTGAGTGAAAGGCTGACGGACGCCTTCACTTGCCCTCTGCTATAAACTGCCCCTCTTCCTTCCGCGTGCAATGCTCCAGCGCCTCCTCCATCAGGTCCTCAAGGCTGCCGTCCCATCGAGCCCTGCCTGCCTGCTCCTGCTCCGCCCCAGCGCCTGGGCCCGTCGTGACCCGCCGGTCGCGCCTCCTCCCACGCGCCCCGCCGGCCTCCTGGTCTGGGTCTGTCATGGCGGTCTGGGCGGAAGCAGCCGCCTTCTGTCGCATGTACGGCCACCTCTGGATGCCGAGCTTCCTGCATGCGGCCTTGAAGGCCGTCAGCGAGATCCCGAACGCCGCCGCCGCCTCGCTCTGGCGCATGTGGAAGTAGCTGGTGACGGTCGTGCTGTCGAGCATGACGCTGTCTCTGGTGCGGAGGTCCTCATGATGCTTTCGTCTGAGGGTGACATGGGCGAAGAGCTCGCTGTTGCCGTCGTCGTACTCGTATGGCTGGGGCTCAGCATCGCTCTGGCTCTCCGTCCCCACGCCCACCCCCTCGTCCGACGACAGAGCGCTTCCGTACGCCGAGTCTTCTGAGCCCGAGCTCGATGCCGAGGAGTCGAAGCCTTCGCTCAAGGTCAGGGAAAGGGGCTTGGTGAATGAGAGAGAGAGCTGTCCTCGTCTGTCTGCAGCTTGTCGGGGAGCGATGGCATGAGTCGCACATCGGTGGCTAGTTGTGTTGTCATTGTCGGTGGATGGCAGCGTCTTGAGTGGTTGAAGCAGCTTTCTGAAATTCCCTGAAGTTTGGTTTGTGCTTGGTGTTCTGAAAGCTCCTTTGGGCTGCTCTTCTCTACCTGTTTGCTGTTGTTAGCTTGCTTGCATTCGCTCTTGTGTCTCTCTGACGGCAAAGTTTGCCATGGCGTCAGCTCCACCACCCCCACCCCCTGTCCTGACAGTCGCTTTGGCTTTCAACACAGTCAGTTCACGCCCAGCAACCTGCGAAGGGCGAGGATCGATCTTGAGGCGGGAGAGCAGCCAGGGCGGGGAGGGTGGGAGGATCGATGTTGAGGGAGGCCAGCACCAGGGCGGGGAAAGAGGCTCTGCCAGTGATCGTATCGCTGGTTGAGCCCGAAAGGAGGTAGGAAATTGAGTACAAGGATACAGCTGCTGCCTACTACAGGACGGTGCAAGGTGAGCTAAGTGAATGGAGCCAGTACAGATGGTTTTATTTGTATGCTTTCTATGCGTTTAATCTGCACCTTCGTTGTGGGTTGTCAATTGGGATGCTTTATTGGTTCTGTTTTATCCAGCATCATTTGTTTTGATTCGTTTATCAATTGCTTTTGTGATTATGCAAACTCTCTGCAAGGTTGAATCCATTGAGAATTCACCGCTTTGCAGTTTTATTGATCACTTGGTATATGTAGACTTCTGGACAGCAAAAGTTGCTTACAAGATATATTTACCTGATACGGAATGAAATTGCATGTGCAACGCACTGAATTGTAATCCAAAAATGTGTTATCTGCTCCAATGTGAGGACTTGAAATCCAGCTTAGAGGCACCTTTCTGCAATGTTCTGTCATGGCTAGCGGGCGCGCCTGTCGCCTCATGCTTGGATGAGCGAGTCTCTCTCTCTCGGCTCGAGACGTCGCGCTCGCTCCTCAAGGCCTGTTGCTCGTCATGTGCGCCGGAGGGAGGATAGATGAAGCGCTGGATGAAGCAGCTGCGGGGACATGTGGGAGGCTGCGAGTCTTGGGTCATCAACGAGTCCATGTCACACGGGTCATCAGAAGGCCGAAGGAGAGAGAGAGGAACAGGACAGGAGGATAGTATGTCAGAGGGACAAGAGGAAATCTTCTTCAATCGCTTCTCTGCATACGACCGTAGCTTTTACCCTGAAAAATATCCTACTCCCAGGTTCGCAGGATTTATGCAAACTTTTGAAATAGCCCTCTCGGGACGACGGCAGCAAGCAGTCATCAGCCGGCATGGAGAGCGTGGAGGAGAAGCATCAAGGACGCAACTATGCGCTTCAAGCGGAAGGCTAGAGGGAGACATCAAAGGCAGACATGGAGAAGCAAGAGGCTGAGCAGACAGGACGAGAGAGCTGCGTGCTGACGAGATGCGAGGTCATGCTCGCAATGAATGATGAAGGGAGAGAGTGCCGACGAGTACGCTATGGTGATAGGTTTCTACAAGAAGTGTACGAGACGTCTACGAGGGTACGCGAGCTTGACGAGATGGGACGGAGAGCATGTACACAGGAATTCAGAAAAAGTTGTATGTTGCTAGGAGCAAAGGTAGCAAGTGGGTTTGGGAGGCAGGTGGCAAGTACGATTTTCTTCTTGTTGCCAGTTGAGAGCTGTAGAACGCAAAGTCAAGTAGACCGAGCGAATAATAATGGCATCTTGTATGTCTTTCTTCTCGTCATGACCACCCTCACTGTGTTCTTGCATCCCTTCCTCCTCCTGCTTGCGGGCGACTCCCGTATCTCATCGGCGCAATGCCCCCTGCACCCTTTGGAGCGACTACCCTTGCTTTCGGGGGATTACCACCCCTCGTGTTTATTCCCACTGCCAGGCTGAACGCCCACTTGCTGTCCTCCTTCCCCTGTGGAACCATCACCTCTACACAGCAAGCAGTCCATGTCAACCCTCTGTCCTTCTACTTCCCCTTCGCAGCTCTAGGGTAACCAACGGACCGAATCCTTCCAAGTACCATTTCCCTCTTGGATGATATATATCATACATTACAACAAGAAAGAGAAAGAATACTATCCTAGGGAGAAAGGATAGAATGTCGAAAAAAACAAAACGATTGGATATACCAAGGATAGAAGATTCTCCGAAGAAAATACTGGCAGTTGTCATGATTTCTCAAACCCCAAACCAAAGATAAAAACAGGAACAACAGTTTGATATCCTGCAGCAAAAAATCTTCGACGCAGCAACAACGACTGCCATGCCAAGACAAGGACTGGCAGATCATCTGGACACACGCTCCTGCTCAGATGGACGGAGACTTCGATAAGCTTGGTCACGTCCTCTACCTGGCTGGCAAAGACTCTCGAGGTGGTCGTGCTGTTCCGAGACGCTCTCAGCATCCTATGCTCTTGCACCATCAAGCGTCGCTTCCGCCCCTGGAACGTGCAGGCCAAGACCCTCCGCACGAGCGCGCTCGACTTAGCAGCGCAGCTCCGACGCCTAGACAAGAGGAGCTACGTGTGCCTCGACTACAACGAGATCGCGACCGGCAAGGGGGTCGAGGCGCTGGACGAGCTGCTTTACGACGGGCATGCGCCGGCGTCGGGCAGTCTCGGGCGGTCTATACAGGGAGCGCTGAGGCGGCCGAGACAAGCGCCGTCGCCCAGGACGTGCGCGAGCTTCGTGTGCGAGGCGCCGTCAGAGGGACGGAGGTACAGGATGTCGGAGAGGCATTGCGCGGACGCCAAGGAGCTACACGACGCGCTAGAGGAGCTGAGACGGGCTTGCCCGAACAAGGTCGAAGCAGACCTGACGAGGTATGGTGGGGAGGGGCAGGGCTAGACGGGAGGGGGGAGGGAGGAAACGGAGCAGGTCGTACGGGACGACGACGGATCGGAAGCAAAAGGGTATGCGGAGGCCCCCGCAGGGAGGGACAAGGGGAGGCGGAGGAGCCAGGACAAGCAGCCCGGTCGTATAGGGGGAGGTACCTCAGGCCCCAGGAGGACATGGCTGCAGGATGGCCACGTCGAGATGAGCCCCAGCATGCCATCGCCGCGCTGAGAGGACCTCTCGCGGGCCGCCGGGGAGGCTCCCTGTGGACTCCGGAGTGCTCTCGATGTAGGCGGACGAGGAGGGCGCGGGCCCAGATAGAGAGGGAGGCATGCGTCGGGCGTCAGGGACAGGCAGGCGTAGACGTAGACTCTGAGTGAAAGGCTGACGGACGCCTTCACTTGCCCTCTGCTATAAACTGCCCCTCTTCCTTCCGGGTGCAATGCTCCAGCGCCTCCTCCATCAGGTCCTCAAGGCTGCCGTCCCATCGAGCCCTGCCTGCCTGCTCCTGCTCCGCCCCAGCGCCTGGGCCCGTCGTGACCCGCCGGTCGCGCCTCCTCCCACGCGCCCCGCCGGCCTCCTGGTCTGGGTCTGTCATGGCGGTCTGGGCGGAAGCAGCCGCCTTCTGTCGCATGTACGGCCACCTCTGGATGCCGAGCTTCCTGCATGCGGCCTTGAAGGCCGTCAGCGAGATCCCGAACGCCGCCGCCGCCTCGCTCTGGCGCATGTGGAAGTAGCTGGTGACGGTCGTGCTGTCGAGCATGACGCTGTCTCTGGTGCGGAGGTCCTCATGATGCTTTCGTCTGAGGGTGACATGGGCGAAGAGCTCGCTGTTGCCGTCGTCGTACTCGTATGGCTGGGGCTCAGCATCGCTCTGGCTCTCCGTCCCCACGCCCACCCCCTCGTCCGACGACAGAGCGCTTCCGTACGCCGAGTCTTCTGAGCCCGAGCTCGATAACTTGTTTACGACATCTTGAGATCGATCAGATGGGGAGGGGCTGCTGGAGGATAGCAGCTTGCGCAAGGGTTCTGGATGTCTTGCGATGCTTTCCTTGTGCGGGGATGTGGCTGTCTCTTGCATCTCAAGGAGACGCTGTACCACTTGGCTCGAGTGAGCTTGAAACGGGTTCAACGGAAGGGCTATCGATGCGGGATGGCAAGAGCGTGCATCTCTCTGACTTGTCTCGTCGGTCTGATAGTCCCAGTCCAACATCACTTCATCTCCAGGCTTGCTGGGTGCGTATGAAGCCACGCCGGGGACAAACCAAACCGCTGGAAGGATGTTGAGAGCGTGTGGGCACAGCTCAGGGCCGGTAGTGCCGGTGTTGGGGAGCTGTTGGTGCTCGCCTTGGGCAACTACTCGCGTCGCTCGCCTGATATCAGGTCTCCTTGTCTTCGCTCTTTGGCTTTTTCCCTCCTTGGTCTTCCTCCATGCCATTATTGCTTGCTGTTCAGTTAAAAAGATGGAAAGCCCCCACCACCCCTGTCAGCGCCAACCTCTAGTACCCCTACTTCCCCCACCCGACCCAATTAATCAGGCGCATCTCGATGTGTAAAAGAAAGAAAGAAAAAAGGGCCAACAAGGCCTGGCTTATGCCGGAGAAAGTCGGCCTCATGCCTCTCACGCTGCTGCTGGTCATCGTGTGAGGCCTTCAACATGTGACATCAGCTTCAACATGTGACATCAGCTTCAACATGTGACATCAGCTTCAACATGTGACATCAGCTTCAACATGTGACATCAGCTTCAACATGTGACATCAGCTTCAACATGTGACATCAGCTTCAACATGTGACATCAGCTTCAACATGTGACATCAGCTTCAACATGTGACATCAGCTTCAACATGTGACATCAGCTTCAACATGTGACATCAGCTTCAACATGTGACATCAGCTTCAACATGTGACATCAGCTTCAACATGTGACATCAGCTTCAACATGTGGCATCAGCTTTGAAGCTCCGAGATCCCTTCTTGGGATCATCGGGACCAGCTTTCTGCTCGCCCTGACAAGTAGCTCACTGGCCGGTCACGGAGGCTTAATGGAGCCAACAGCATGCTGTATATCCTCAAACGAACTGAATAGAGACCCTTCTAGGAGTCTTGCCTTCTACAGGACGGTAATCCAAATAATCAGTCCGCATGCATCGATTTGTACTTCTACGATCAGAATCATTGTAATGCTGCAACTTCAAGATGGAAGGATCGGTTGAAAACATAATTGACTCTGATGCGTCTGTGCAATTAATTTGAACCAACAGAAGGAAAAAGTAGAGAAAAAAGTGGAGAACTGAGCGAGATTCGTGTAGGGAAAATGACTGGGATGGAAGATAATGAGAAAGTCAGGGGAAGAGAAAGATTGTAAAGCGATAGAGTTGCGGAGTGAAAGAGAAGTCACGGAAGGCAAAGAACAGGAAGGGGTTGAACAATGGATTGAGAGTAGATGATGCGAAAAGATAAGAGTAATTGGTGGTTGGAGGATTTGGAGGTGATGGAGGTAATCCAGGAAGGAGGGAACGAGGTTGGAGACTAGGAAAATGGAGAAGAAATATCAAACAGAGCAACAACAGGGTGGAGAAACACAGAGATAGAAAGGGAAATCTAGAGCAAGAGAAAGGACAGAGAGAATGAGAGAACAGGGAAAGGGGAGAGTGAGGAGAGTAGAAGAGAAGGACAGGTGACCGAGGTGCTGACAGGAGGCAGCAGGGGAGAAAAAGTTTCTCGAAGCATGAAGCAGCAAGGGATTCGGGACTTTGTGAGCAGAGGGAGGAGGCAAACAAAAGAGTCAAGAGAGAAAGAGAGTTAGAGACGAAGAGAGGGAGGGAGGGAGGAAGGGAGGGAGAGAGGGAGGGAGGAAGGGAGGGAGAGAGGGAGGGAGGAAGGGAGGGAGAGAGGGAGGGAGGAAGGGAGGGAGAGAGGGAGGGAAGGAAGGAGGGAGAGAGGGAGGGAAGGAGGGAGGGAAGGAGGGAGCGAGGGAGTCAGAAAGAGAGAGGGAGACGAGCATGCGAGCGAGGGTGAGAGAGGGAGGGAGCGAGGGAGTGAGGGAGAGAAAGAGAGGGTGAGAGGGAGCAAGGGTGTTAGGGAGAGATAGAAAGAAAACATTGGCAGTCAGTCAGTCAGTCAGTCAGTCAGTCAGTCAGTCAGGCAGTCAGTCAGTCAGTCAGTCAGTCAGGCAGTCAGTCAGTCAGTCAGTCAGGCAGAGAGGGTGAATTCAGTGTATGCTAGATCCCGAAAGACTTGAGAGACTTGCGGTGATCGGACTGTGAGTCTATCAAGATCTCGAGGCTTTGTATTGCTGTTTATCGACACGATGGACAACCTTGTCTGTCATTCTCACTTTCCGAAGGCAAAACTGACTTTACGATTGTGAAGCGCCGTGCTGACAAAATCCCAACAGAAACGTTTCATGGAACAATTGTCGAAAAAACACGTTGTGACGACAACGAACTTTCTGGATTGTTTGATTTCCCCCGTCCAATACAGTTACTTCAAGGTTTTGTTTTTTGTTGTTACATTGCAATGCAACTTTTTGATGGCTGGTCGACACAAATTGAGATGCACGTACGTACATATGCCATCATGTGTGTGTTCCCCTTGCCCCTTTTTTGCGATTGTGGGGGCTTACTTTCTGTTCTAGTCTGACATCTGACAGCCTCGCTTGTTTGATCAGACTCTGACAAGCTTGCAAAAGCATTTCTGCCTCTGAACTGAAAGGTTCTACACTCTCGGTGCATGAATTGCAAAGCGCCATGTCAGAGTTTCCTCTGATGCGCGCAAGGGACGAGGGGGAAGAGAACATAGATAGCTGACCCAGACTGATAGACAGAGAACATAGATAGCTGACCCAGACTGATAGACAGAGACTGCTAGGCAGAGACGGATAGTGACAGGAGAGACTGATAGTGACAGGAGAGACTGATACATAGTATCAGACCAGATTGCGGTATGCGAGGAAACCTTGACCGCGAGTAGGTGAGAGACTCCTCTAGCCTCCTCTACTCTCCTGAGCTGAGAGACTATGTCTTGTCTTCCTCTGAGTTTTAAAGTTGAGTAAATTGCACTAGGGGGCAGGGCCTTCAACCTGCCATATTGCTGCCCTACCCTCATTCCCTTGCCCTCCCCTCTCCTCCTCCTTTCCCTCCAAGTGAGGAGTCCGAAGCAAGGCAGGAGAGTCCAGAAGACTTGATGCATACATCTGCTTCTGCTCCATGCTCCCTCCCCTCTCCGCTCTGATTGAGGTTACTACCGTCAGAACTATCCAACGCCCTCCAGGATGATGTTGATGGTGAGTTTGTAGACCGATGGAGCAGCAGCAGAGAATCCGAACTAGGCTGCAAGAGCTTGCTGGCACCTTGACAAGAGTCGACAACGACGTTGTCGGCAGATCGTCACATGCTGTGATCAAATTTCAACCAGACATTGCGACGAATTTCTGGGACAAGAAACATGTACATGAGCAGCAGCGGTCGATGAGGGAGGTTGGCGAAAGGAAAGTTACAGTTGGTTGGGTTAGGAGTAGGTCAACCCTCGACCAGGCAGCGAGCGTGATCGAAGCAGCTTTCCGTGGGATGAGAGAGAGAAGAAGCCTCAGGAACGACAAGCTGGTGACTTGATCTCTCAGTGATATAACTCCCTTACTTGCATTTGCAGCGAAATCAACATGTTGTCAGGTCTCAGGCTGCTAGAAGCGTACAAACCTGGTGGAGGAAGAAGATTTCTGCTAGGATGCTTGTCGAAACAGATTCCATAAAACGACTGAATGCGATGAGCTTAGTTGGAGAATTCTTGAAGAGGTTCAGCTTGAGAAGAGCCTTTTTGAAAGACTTCCTTGCGCGAGAGCAAGCTGCCATACGCGTGCAAACAATCTTCAGATCAAATAGAATAAGAAAACTTGCACATCTTTTCCAGACTAAGAAGAAAAGTGAAGCATGCATCAAGATTCAACGAACATGGAGAGAATATAGACTGTGGATCGAACTGATGCAAGAAGAGGAAGAGAATGTGGTCAAGCAAGCCCTTCTTTTTAAGAGGCGATATATGAAAGATCTTGTAACGAATTTCTCAAAGCGCAAGCTCGTTGCAGAGATAAGAAGTAGTCTACTGGAGGAGTTTCATGAGTCAACGACAGTCATGGGGCGAAAAAGGATACTCGAAAACGAGAGGTTGACACGACAACGAGGCAAAAGTGATCTCACATTTACTGAATCTGAAGTCCTCAACATGCATGCGGAAAAACAAGATTCCAATGAGGTGGATCTTAAACTGCAAGAGTTTGTGCTGCGAAAGCACCAGACTCTTGATTTCTCAGGTCTAACCTTTGATTCTTGTGTTGCACATTGACGTTGCACTTAGATTTGAAAGTGAAACTCTCAAAGCTCCCTCATGGTCTCCAGACAAAAATTGATGAATTCACTTCTGTCACAAGCCTTAACATTTCGTGCAATCAGATTTCTGGTCTTCCGTTACAATTCTTCAACCTGACCAATCTTACAGTGCTCAAGTCTCATCAAAACCAACTCAAAAATCTCTTGCCTGAAATATACAAGCTCAGGCAGTTGGAGATTCTTTGGCTTCATCAGAACAAGTTGCGCTCTCTCCCTTCAACTATCGGTCAGCTTGATCGTGTTCGACAAATGACTCTAGAAGATAATATGTTGGAGGCACTGCCAACCCACTTCATTTTCTTGACTTCTTTGAAAGAAATCCGACTGCAGAATAATCCTTATCTATCCCCTCCCAGTGAAATTATGAGCGAATGTTACAAGAGGGGTTCTGATGGACTAGCATATTTGTTGTCATTTCTTGCAAGTTTGCATAGCATTCATTCTAATCAACTCCGATTGTGCGGCTTCAATGTACGCGAGTTCCCACATTCAGTTCTGCAGAAAAAATTCATCAAGTCAATAGATTTGTCAGACAATAAGGTAGAAGAGATACCGGACTCCATCTTTGACTTGATTGGTCTGGACGCTCTTGTACTCGATCGAAATTTGTTGAGCAGAATCCCAAAGTCCATCAAGAATGCGAGGTGGCTGAAACAAGTGTCTTTCACAGAGAACAAGATTACAGACGACGGTCTTCCCATCCAAGTCTTATGTGCTTTGTCTTCACTCCAGGAGTTGAGGCTCACCGGTAACCACATCAAGAATCCTCCACCAGAGATCTTGAAGCAGAGCTTCGAAGTGATCAAGTCTTACTTGCTGACGGTGAATGCTGTTTGGAAGAGATCTCGAGTGTTGCACCTTCGATCCCTGGGGTTGAAGAGTCTGCCGCGCGCCAAGGGGTTCGGAAAACTGCTCGAGTTGATTCTTGACGACAACTTGTTGAGGGATGTACCCGAATGCATACTGTCGATGCGATTGACGTCGCTTTCACTTTCGAACAACATGATCAGGTCGATCCCAGAAGACATTGCCAAGTTGTCATCCCTCCGCAGGCTCGACCTCTCAGTGAACAATCTTGAGTTTGTGCCAGCAACGATGGGTAGGCTTATCGATCTATCAAGTTTGAACCTCAGACAGAACAACATCCAAAGCCTCCCTGACACTTTCTCGGACCTGATGAACTTGCGAATTTTAGTCCTGACGTACAATCAGATATCTCAGCTTCCTCAATCATTTTCAAAAGTCTCGTCGCTTTGGGAGCTTGAACTCTCGTATAACAATCTCAGAGACGTCTCAGATTCATTTCGATCCATGGCGAGGCTCAAGAGAATTAATTTGAACTCGAATCGCTTACTAACCATTCCTAAGACATTGTCACTGTGCCTCGAACTTGAAACTCTGACTGCAACTTCAAACCAACTGAAGATCATCCCCTCAAACTTGTTGAAATTTCCTGCCATGAAGGAAATCAACTTGAGCCAGAACTTATTAGAAACGGTGCCTCCTTCTATTCAAGCCATGGTTTCCTTGAGAGTCTTGAATTTGGAGAGCAACAACCTCAAGGTCTTCGATGAGAAGATCTGCTTTCTGAACATGCTTGAAAGTGTAAATCTGTCTAGAAACTTTATACGTTGCATCCCCTCAGAAGTTCAAAGTTTGACCAACTTGACCATGCTTGACATATCTCAGAACCATCTCTCTGCAATCGCGCCTGAAATCAGATTCTTAACAAGGCTTCGACATCTACTGCTTGCAGACAATTCGCTGAAGTTTTTCCCGCCGTTTCCCCCCTGTTTTTCACCTGTTCTTGGACTCATGGAGAATCTGCGAGAGCTTGACCTTGGACGCAACCAGCTGTCAGCGCTGCCGTTGGACCTGTCGAGATGCTCCAACCTGCAGTCGATCAAGTTGCAGTCGAACCCTTGGGACCTCCATCGCGCCATGAAGAATGTCGTCGACCCGGAGCCTGGCGAGATTTCAGGAACCCTCTTCGTAAAGCTCATCAGGGGTGAAGACCTAGCGCGCATGGATGGCCTCCGAGGGCTGAGCGACCCTTTCGTGACCATTGAGATCTCCGACAAAACTTTCCGCACGCATGTGGCCCGAGGCACGTTGAATCCAGTATGGAAGCAAACCTACCTCATCGAGGTTGACCATCGCCTAGCTCATCAAGATATGCGTTTCTCCGTGTATGACTGGGACCTTGACGGCACGGATGATTTCATGGGATCTTTCCGCATCCAACTCTCCCCGCAGCAACTCGATCAGTGGAGTGTTACGGATCCGTCAGCAGAAGCCTCTTCGTGGCATGCCCTACAAGGCACTGACGACAACGGGATGCAAGCGCAGGGCAGAGTGCAGGTGGAGTTTCGGTACGTCGCGAATGACGGAGCAGTCGATACGATCCTGACATATCTCAAGAGAATTCAGCAGGGAGGTTGGTCAAGGGAAACACTGGCTAGCTCCTGAGAAGCAGAGTGACATCCACTCTTCACTGAGACTGCGCAGCCTCAGACAGTCAAGCTTCACTTTCCGAACAAACGACAAGCAAGGAAGTTAAACCTTGAACCTGCTTGTGTCTCACTGTCCTCGCATTCCTGTCTTCACTGAGACTGTACAGCCTCAGACAGTCAAGCTTCACTTTCCGAACAAACGACAAGCAAGGAAGTTAAACCTTGAACCTGCTTGTGTCTCACTGTCCTCGCATTCCTGTCTCTGTCTCTGTCTCTGTCTCTCTTCTCTGTCTCCGTCTCTCTTCTCTGCCCTCCTTTTTTCTCTCTCCTCCCCTCCCCTTCTCTTCTTCGCTGTCTCTCACACGCACTCTCCCTATCGGCTTTTAATAAAACAAAAATTCGGGTCCGAGGCCCGTTGAAGCTTCTCAACGTCTTTCCCTCTTCAGTTCATCATCGGCCCAGTCTGAGTGCTGGACCTGCTGCAGGGTCAGGCAGGAGATGAAGGCAGACGAACAAGACCTGTAGCCAGCCCAGTGGAAGTCAGATGCACTTGTAGGGATGACCGGCGTCCAAGAGCACGGTTCAGTGGTAGCCTCCGACCAGGTGGGAGCATAGCACTGTTGCAATTCAGAGACAACACGTGGAGACGAAAAAAACTTACAGGTTGAACGTACTTGTTCACATACTCCCAATTCTCCTCTGCTCCGATGTAACCCTCATCAGCAGGATGCACATAAGTAGCCTCCAGTGATTGTCTCAGGTGATGGAAGGATTGGATCAACTGGAACATTTCCTGAGAGGAAATCATCAGGCCCAGAGCAGTCAAGAAAAGTGATCATGATTTAAATCGGAAGGTTGTCTCCTCCTTGTTATGACATTAGACAAGCAGCTTAGGCAGATTCAAACACAACGCAAACTCCTTTCTTGACTTCCAGCAAACTGTCCTGCAGCAGAATGATCTTTTTGCTAAGGTCTCACATCCCTTCTCAAAAGTGAAACAAAAATATGCCTTCGTTAAGCCTACATCAAATGTAATGTTTTAGGCAGCTCAACAGTCTTCCTGTAGATCGAAGTTGTGAGTTTGGACCGCAGACTCACGGAGCACCCGTGTGTTCTCTCACTATCATGCTGCTGTCAACTAGTTATGAGATGATCGTATCTGCTGCGTCTTTAGCTCATCTCGACTTCCCTTGACCTCTGGTGTTGTGTTAGGGGTAGTGTCCAACCTTCGCTTTCTTCTCCACAACACCATCTCTGCTACTCAAGTGCTAACTGTAGAAGCAGAATCTTCTCATCCCATCTAGTTCCTGCCTTCAACCTCTTCTGCTTCACCTGTAACTTCTTTCTCACTCCGTCTCAACCGCTCATCGCACCGGTGCGCCATCCCCCCAAAATAGAGGTTGCTACCCACCCCCTACTTTTACTGCAATTTACCCCCTGGAGTAGCAGTTGAGTTTTGCAATGGCGGAAATGTTCAAGTGCGTAGTAACAGACGCAGTCGCAGGTCAGAGTTGTGGTGCAATCACAGCCAAAGAAAGAAATTCAGACCAATCCAAGTAAATTTTTTTTGTATTTGTCGTGATGCTAATCTAAAATAAATACCTTGCAAATCATACAAGCCTTTGTAATGCTTCGAAATATCATCCAATCCATCACCGCCGGGCAAGTTTTCTGGGCCATAACTGTGGAAGTTGTTGGCTCAGGGTTTCATCAAATTCAAGATCATCATCAATGCGACGTTTTCTTTGGAATTCAGCTGGTATTTCATCCACTGCCCTTCTCAAGATTGTCTCCCGAGGTTCTTCGTTGGATTCATCAAAATCAGGATCATCAGCTGAAAGTAGGTTGCTGTTAACTTGTTCAGAATCAAACACTTTGCTTGAATAGAGTGCAATCTGCTGCTTGAGCAAGTGCGTCATCTGCGAACTATCGATGTACGGCCCCTGTCTCATCACCCATTCCAAACATTCACGCAAGCTGTCCCTTGCCCTACCGAGAAATCAGATTATTATGCTGCAAGTCAAATTGTGATCTACGTACCCTCTGTTGTACGATCGGTTCATTTCCATTTCACCTTCACGGTACAAGGCAGTTACGGCATTCGCTGCAAGGGCAAAATGCGAGCGATCGGGGGAACGATACAGTCTTGTGACGGAAGAAGCCGCATGAGTAAAGAGTTCTTTAGCGTGTCCGCCTTGATTGTTCGGTGTCTGCAAGGGAGAATGTGGTGTAAACTGCCCTGTTCTGACATTGTTGTTGTTCATTTCCTTTCGCTGATGTAATCTGTTTCAAGAGTCTTGGAAGGTCTTGTGAGTGTCTCAGACCTGCACATTGAATCAACTTCATGCTTCTTGCTTAGACCATCATGGCATCATTCCCTATAAACAAACTCCATCTGTTGTACTTGTGATGGACTACAACATATCAAAACAATTTCACAAGTACGAGCCCACTAAATTCACACAATATCGCACAGAATAACATATCTAAGGTTTCAATCGTTTGTGTTATAGGTGTGCTGTCTAATTTGTCAAGTTGAACGCTATCATAACAATTATGCAACAGCTGGATGTTTGGAACAAATCTCAAATCATGGAGTGTTCCTGGACATGACTGTGCGAACATAACAGACAGATGTCAGAGACCCCTGCAGGAAAAGCACATATCTCAAACCAAATGAGAAGGAGTAAAAGAATGAGCTCATCTGATCCACCGCGTTCACTACATGCCTAAGCAGCTACTTTCATGTGAGAGCATTGATGATGGCAACTTCGCTTCCCCGTGCCAAGCCATTGAATGTGAGGGGAGAGATGCTGTGGGAAGGGTAGGTGGTACCTTTCTCATAGAACGGGAGGGGTAGATAAAATGAAACAAGAAGTCGAAATGGGGGGTAGGACGATAATGATATGCAATGGGGGGTAGTGTCTCGCTGAGAAATCACATGCAGAAGGGGTGGGTTTACCATTGTTCCTGGAGGGAAACCACGGTAGGGTAGGAGCCAAGAAAATGATGTAGGGTGGTAGACTCAATTACTACCGGTGGTCCCATTGAACTCATATAGTAAAAAGGGTAGGGTGGTACACACCGAGAAACTGCCGGTGGAGAAAGAAAGGAGTTCGAAAGGTTTCTGGGGGGTGGGTCGCGTGCGTGGGTGTTGTTGGAAGGTAGGGTGGTGTCATCCGACGTCCATTGGGCTAGAGGCTGCTAGGGGTGATGGGGTAGCATAGTATAGTAGTGGTAGTATTACAACAAGGTCCATGTACCCCCCATATCCAGCGCATATCCTTTCTCTCGATACCACCCCACCTTGTTCACCCCTGTTTCCGTAAAGTACTGAGTTTTAACTTAACTTTGAGTAAAGATGTGACGGTCAAGTCTTGGATATCTTTACTCAAAGTTAAGTTAAAACTCAGTACGAGGACAATCAGGACTCCCCGCCGCGAGAGCCGGGCCGGCCGGCCCTCGGGGCCGCCCGCCAGGCCGTCTTTGCCTCAGTGGCAAGGCGCCCCCCCCGATCAGTACTGTGTCGGACTCCCGGGCCCCGGGGACGGAGTCCTGCGGCGGGCCGCAGTGCCAGTGCGCGCGGCTCCGACGCCGCAGTGGCACGGCCCGGTGATCACTGCGACTCCCGGTGACCCGCCGGGCGGCCCGGCCGCCGGCCCGGCACTGCGAGTCTCCGATCCGATGATCCGAATGTCGGACTGAAGACTTCGAAGTTCAGAGAGTCGTGCAGAAACTGACGGGGTGGGTACTACTACCCACCTAGTCTTTGATCAAATGTTTTCAATATGCAAAGTGGGTAGTTCAGCGTGAGGGTGCGGATCCGAAGGTAAGTGGGGTGGGCGTGTGCGGAAGGGCTTCGATGCAGCATGCCAAGCGCAGGGTATAGAGCATAAGAGAGGAGAGGAGAGGAGAGGAGAGGAGAGGAGAGGAGAGGAGAGGAGAGGAGAGGAGAGGAGAGGAGAGGAGGAGAATACAAGATCAAGAAAACGAGATAAGAGCGAATGCTTGCAAGCCTGCAAGTATCTCCAAGTCGTCACTGAAGAGGGGAACGGTCAACAGGAAACGAGCATTCCCTTGAAACATAGAGGGTGGCAACGGCGAGCCTACTACACATACAAGTCAGACTTCAAATTTGACTGGCAAAGCGAAGTTGCACCAACCATGTCGATGTTTATGCTCTAGAGTATTGTTTTTGGCTGGTGAGACGGTTGTGTTGGCTAGATTATTCGTGAAGTTGAACGAGCACCTGAGGCATTTCCAGTCTCTGCTGCCTGTGTCTGCTCATTTTTACGTTCCATTGAGCTCCAAAACTTCAACGAGTTTGCTTTCACTGCTTAGGATGGGCAACTCGGTTTCTTCTGACCCTGGCTGTGTACAATGCTGCGAATCTCGGACGGGAGATCGCGATAGCGTCCCGGTGATGACGGTGGTTGGTAGAAATGAAAACAATAGGGATGAAAGGACAAGCAATCTGCATGGTGTGGGTCTTGTATTTCGAACCACTCGGGATGGCAAGATGATTGTTTCTAGCTTTGTCAAGGACAGCAGCGCATATGAGTGCGGGCTAGTGCGAGATGGAGGTAGGTGTTGCCCAATGTCATGTTGTTTGCTGAGCCGATTGCTTGCAAGATATTCTCTCTTCAGTTCAGGGGCAGAGCGTAGAAAGCTTGCCACTGGAAGAAATACACAAGCTGCTCCTTGGTGAGAAAGACAGCTGGGTAAGAGACATACTCTCGTCCATCCTGGTGATTTGAACTTGCAGGTGCAGATGAGATTTCTGCGACAGACAGACGCCAAGACCGCGAGGATGCGGAACTCGGGAAGCAGCGACATGTCAGAGCGCATGTTGGGACAGGGACCAGGAGATACTGTGTGGGCGAGCAGCAAGATGCGGTCCTTTGCCCCTACCTACGACACCATTCTGGTGGACCTCTGCCGAAAGACTCCTTCAAACATCCTTTCGGAAGCAGCTTCCCAAGCGCAGGAGGAGGCGATGAGCCTGAAAAACAAGTATCGATAGCGTGGGAGAGCAAGGAGACGTCGAGAACAGATCTTAATCCGTGGGTGTTAGCTGGCACATGGACATGGTTGAAGTTGATCAATCAAGAATATCAAAAAGCTTTAACAACATCTTTAATCACATATGCGAGTCTCTCACATCCCATCTAACATGTATCAGAGGTCATCGACGGTCACAACTTTCCAGGTTTAAGAAGATCGACTGCTCGAGATGGTCTCGATATCCCTACATCAACAAGCGATCAACCCTCAACAGTTTAGTTCGTGCGCATCATTGGCAAATTTCTTCTCATCAAATGCAAACCATCCACATCATCACCATCCCCTCTTTACATGGCAAACATCACCTCCAGATTCGCGCATTTTGTACGCAAGTGACCCAAATCCTCCAGTAGCATCTCTCTGTCCGACAAGAGCTCCTGCAGTGCAACTCAAAGCTGATCCTCCCCCTTCTCGCGTCTCACTCTAATCTTCTTCTGCTGTTCAAGCTCACGCACAAGCGCTGTCAAGGCCGTCTGCAGCGAGTCAGCGAGTTTCCACTTCGCCATCCACACTCTCTCTTTCACCGCCCCCATCTCCTCCCTGCTTCTGCTCCTCACCTTGCTCGCACTTTCTGCTGTTCTCTGCAAGAGAGCTTGCAGCGCTCGCACGCGACCTTCCGGCGACTTGTAAGGCTGCTCGTCGTAGCTGAGGCGGCTGCTGGGTATGTCCAGCTGACGGGTCAGCTGGTCCATGGTGAAAGCGATGGTGTGGGAGATGTCTTCGAGGACCGCGCACCTTGCAGGGGAGTGAGAGAGGAGGAGAGCGAGAGAAGAGGGGAGGGAGAGAGGTGGGGAGGGGTAGAGGATGAGAGGGGTAGAGGAGGGGAGTGAGAGAGGAGGAAGGGAGCGAGAAAGGAGGAAGAGAGCGAGAGAGGAGGGGATGGTGGCAGGATGGAGGGTCAGGCCAGCAGGCCAGCATCACCTGCTTGCAAGCTGTGCTGTGCAGACCAGCTCGTGTTCCTTGGCGACTTGCTTCCACTTGTTTCTCTCTTGCAGACAAGACTGCAGTGAAGGACGAGAACGTAGCTCTCGCAGGAGAGCGTCAGAGAGGAGGCAAGCGATGCTCGAGACCTCCGTCAAGTCCTGCAGCCCATCAGCAGCTTCCCTGCTGCCTCCGACCTCACCTGTACGAGGGATCGAGCGAACAGAGACAGCTTCTCTTTGAGCATGCTCATCTCCCTCAGTCTCACCATCAAGACTTGAAAGTTCTCTCCGTCTCCCTTGACATCTCCCTTGCGGTCGTTGAGCTTCGTTGATCTCCTTCTTGCGATCGTCGAGCTGGGAGATGCCCACTTGGAGTCCTGCTGGGCAGGAGCAGAAGGTGGTGGTGGTGGAGGAGGAACAACGGCAGGGTCTCTTAGTTCCTCCAAGTCTGTCGAGGTCGAACTCTTTCTGATCTTCAACGCCTGCAAGTGAGCGAGGAGGTCACGAGAAAGGAGAGCGTGAAAGAGCACACCTGCTGGAGCTCAGCAACAACAAGCGAGTAGGAGGAGACGACGTGTGAAGGGGCAGCGTTAAGTCGGATGGGCTGAAAAGAGGATCTTTCAATGGTGGGAACAACAAGACAAGAGAAGCGCACGGGCCGCTTGAATTGTTTCATTTGCTCTGTCGAGTTTTCCTGCTGGTGGACATTCTGGCATGTCAATCTTGTTTGACCTGTCAGCAACGACAGGTCGATCTTGTCCAGGACAAGCTCAAGCATCTTCAGCCCATGATTCACGTCCTCAGCATGAGAAAACCTTCGTCAACCCATCATCTCCTGCTTCCGCTCCATTATCTCCTCATACCATTGTTCCCTCTCCTTCTCGTGCTCGCTTCTCATCTCTCGATAGCTCGCACTTGCACGCTCAAGGTCTTGTTGCAGGTCCTCTGCCCTGTACGACCAGTCACGATACCTCGCTCCCATCCCCTCCTCCCTCCCCCGCCCAGCCTTCCATCCCTCCGCCTGTTGTTCCACCTCTGCACGTAGTTATCAACTTCTGCCTCCAGCTGCTGCAGAGCTTCTTCTGCGATTTGTCTTCTCAGCCTCTCATGCATCACGAAATCCTCCAGCTCCAGCTGCAGGTTGCTCATGGCTAATTCGCAGAACGACAACTGGCACTCTGAGTAGTGGAGCTGTTCCTCCACCATCACCATCATCAGCTCTTCCCTTGCTGCCCCTCCCCCCCCTGTCGATCCTCCTACCTCCTTCCCTGCTCCTGCCCCTGCTGCTCCTGTGCTCAGCTCTTCTCCTGTCATAGCCTGGGTGATGTGGGCGGCACTTCGTTGGTTGAAGTCCATAGGACGCGAGGAGAGGAGCAGCGACTCTCCGGTGCTCTTTCCCAGCTTCAAGAGGCCAGGAGGAGTGGAGGGGAGGGTCCAGGAAGGGTCCCAGGAGGGGTCCCAGCAGCTCTGATCCGCATCCTGTGACTCGAACTTGAGGTCCAAGCTCGTGTCCCCCGCGGCCTCGCACGCGATGGCCCGATGACTCAAAGTTCTTGTCGCTCCTCTGCCTTGACTCGCAGGCACTTGCTGCCTGACACTACCTGACACAAGCAAGATCGTTGTCAGCAGAACCGCAGGCAGCGTGGGAGGGGATGCAAGACCGGTCCTTTGCAGGTGCTCATCACCGGTGCGCTCCTGCTCCTGCAAAGCCTATCAGACAGTTGGAGATCGAAACTTGTTGCATTGCCGCCACTTTCTCCATGGCATCAAAGAGTCTTTGGCGGAGACTTCGATTTTCTTCTTCCAAGTGAGAGTACATTTCATCTTTAAGTTTGCATGCGGCCTCCAACTCCTGCCTTCTAGGTCATTCCACCCATTCCCTCCTCTCCACTCTCCCCCCTCTCCTCATCCTCCTCCCCTTCCTTCCAGTCTCTTCAATCACCACTTTTCTCTTGGCATCTTGCATAACATTTCTGTTCAGCTCTTCTACTTGCTCATTGTACACATCGATATCGCCCTGCATGTCCTCCGTGTCACGTTGCAACCTCTTCATCTGCTCACCCTGACATGCTCAAGTCAGGCAAGGAAGGGAGAGGAGGAGCCATCATAGATCTGAGGCCACGAGCTTACAATCGTCCACATCTCCTCAACGACGCAGGTCACGTCCGATCGCACGCCCTCCAAGAGCTGCTCGTGTTCCCGATGGAGAAGCTGCAAGAGCTCCGCAACCTCTGACAAGTCTCCCTGCGACGAGATCGTCTCGTCAAGGATCCTCTGCGCACACTCTCTTATCCTCTTCTCAGCATCGCTCATCCTGGCAAGAGCCTCACGGAGTTCGTCTCCCTCCTTCACAACCCTCCGCATCTCCTCCCTGCTCTCTTGCTCTTGCTTCATCGACATTTTCATCCGCTCCCACGCAGCTTCCAGCTCGCCCGTCATCGTCTGCAGCTGATCGCGGAGCTCCTGACATTCCATCCGTGAAGCCCTCGCGTTCTCCTTGAGAGCCTCCTGCACATGCTGCATTCATCCTCCACACCGGTCATCCTTCTCCTGTTCACCTGTGAAGCGCTGCAAGTCTTGAGCGCAGCTTCTAAGCACTCCTCCTTCTCTGCCATCACACTCTCAAGGAACTCGATCTTAGCTGCTGCATCCTCCAGCTGCAGCACAAGGTCTGCTTGCTCGCTTTCCCGTTCCACCCTCTGCCTTCCACTCTCCTCCTCCTGTACCTTCAACGTCTCTAACTGCAATTCCATCATCTTGATCTGCTCGCCAAGTTTCTTCTTCTCAAGTCCCTTGGCCGCGATCTCTTGATACAGCGAAGCATTCGTGGCCTCGAGCTCGCACACGTCTTCCCGCAGCCGCATCCTCTCCTCGTTCCATCCGGCGCAGCCTGCTTCATAGCGGTCAACCTTGTCCTGCATCATGTCACATCGCTGTTTCGCCAGGAAGGTGGTCTGAAGGAGACTGTCCACTCTCGCTTCAACAAGTGATATGACGTCATCATACTGCACATGAGAAGCAGAAATCTCTTCCAAAGACTCTCTCTTCATCCTCTTCTTGAGAGCATCGATCTGAGCACGCAAAAGGTCGATCTCTTCATCTTTCTGTGCACTCTGCTCCCTCCACGACTCGATCGTGTCCATGTTTGATATCAGCAATCTTCGTCAAGATGTCAGAGAACGAGATGTCGAACATGAAGGCTGACTTACTTCTTGGACTTGTTCAGCTCCAGAGTCAGAGCATCTACTTTCCTGCTGGCATAGGAGGCTTCTTCCAGCTCGTGCTTGAGGCGTCTCGAGTCATTGAGAGTGGCCAAGTAGAGCTTGTTCGCTTCCTCCAGTGCGCTTGTCAGACCATCCACCTGCCCTGCTAGAATAGCCTTCTCCTGCTCGCACACCCGTAGCGATCTCTTCAATGCCTGCCAACTTTCATCATGCTGGCTGCCGTTGAAGACTCCTGGCGAGCTGCTGCTGGGGCTGTTGGCACAGAGTCTGTCACCGATGGCGGCAGTTGTCGCGCTGGGATCAGCATGATCCATCGCTCGTGTTTGCATCTTCCGAGGCCAGGGCTTCTGTGGGGTGACATCCGGGACCAGGTCAGTCCCCCCTGATGTCTCTTGGTTGCTCCCGCCTCTCCTTCCTCCTCCTCCCTCACCTCCTCCCTCCACTTCCCTCCCTCGGCCTCGCACGCCTTGTCGCATGGTGCAGTGCGCAGGACTGAAGAGTTCGGCGATCAATCAATCGGGACCGTTGATTTTCCGTTATAGATCTGTTGAGAGGGTTGATGGGGGGATGGGGGCTATAGAGTAGGTAGGGTGGGTGTCCCGCTGGTGGAGGCTGACATACTACGAAAGGGGGGGTACTTTTGAGGGTATAATAAGGGGTACTATGTACATCCGTTGGTTGGTAGGTAACAAAAGTACCAAGCGATACGCCTCCAACATGAAAATACATTTTTGAAGATATATTTTGAAAAACATATCTCTATTTTGAAATTTTAAATACTTATTTACAAATATTTATCAAAATAGTTTGCAATGGCGGAAAAATCCTGTACTACACCCCTACCCTCTTCAAAGTTTCAACATCACCCCCACCTGTCATGGGGTAGGAAAACGACCCGTACCGCATCATCTTCGAACCTCTCCACCCCCCTTATTCCCCTAATATACCCCACCCTTTACAGTCGCTTCAGCGCCTCCTCATGCTCCGCCGCGTCTTTGCTAGCGCGCTGCCTGCAGCCCGAGGTCGAACAGAATTTCGTTTACCCTCCTCCTCCTCCTCCTCCTCCTCCTCCTACATTCCTTTATCCCATCGTTCCGTCCCTCTCTCCTCCTATCTCTTTGCTTTTTGCCTGAGGCCTACTTGGAATTATCCTCCTTTGTCGTCATGTCTTTTCCTGTCCACCCGTATCTCGCCCCTGCTCAAGGGTGGAATCCTGTATTTCTCAAGGTGGCGCAAACCGCATGGTAGATTAACTTCGTGCTTTTCTTTCAGTTGCGGCTGCCAGGGTGAAAGCACCTGCCATCCAGACTTTTCCACGCATCGCCCACCAGAGATTCTTCAGCTCTTCGTTTGATGTTTTGTTGAGGTCCAATGACGGGGAATGGGCTAGAGAAGACTGATGGAAACGTTCCAGACAAAGTGATGATGTCCTCAACGTCGTGAGGAAGATGGATACTACCATCATGGGCTGTGAGCTCGAAAACCTTAGAGAGCTGCTGAAGATGACATTTTTGCTGTGTGACAGTGCATTGGAAGAACATGGATGCTGATGACCTGGAGAAAATAGCAGAAGGCATTGGCAGGGGAAGAGACCTCGTGAATAGCCTGAATGACGAAGAGGCACAAGTTGCCGAGGTCAGAGCATGCGTGGAGAGACTGCTGCTCACTCTTTACTTAGCGCGAGAAGAAGCTTGTCTCCACTGTCGAGGCAGCAGAGCACAAGCTGTACGCTGCGATTGAGAGTGACAAGCTCGCGGCCGAGGCTCACGATTTGAGAATGGTAGGATGCTTTCAACTTCTACATTTTCGTTGACCTTCATGTGACCTCCTGATCCTCTTTTTCATGCAGCTCATGGAGGACCTTGGAACGACAGGAGATGGCGACAACAAGCCTGAGGCCTTCCAGCCTGTGAAGCCGAACCGCTCGAATGAAGTGACGGGCTGACGCGAATGCAGGCATGGGAGGCTCGTATCAAGAGCGCTTTCGAGAGCTACTCCGATCTTTTGGAGAAATGCGACGCGACGATCGCCGCCAAGGTCGAGAGGGTAGGCCGATGTGTGAGCTAACGATTCGGAAGCTGACGTACGCGGGCAGGAATGCGGCTATGAGATGCTGCTGTTGAAGCGAGTCTGCCACATCGATGGGTTCCGGTGAGTCCTGGGGCGTGCGAGATCGATCGCTGAGACCAGCTGCAGCTACCACCATCCCCGCGTGCACCCCTCTGGCTTTAGCGCCACGTGCGATTGAGCGGATACGCAGAAATCGAGAGGAAAACTGCTGACAGTCTTTGAACTAGTAAATAACCTCGTTGTGTGACATGCCCAGCCCCATGGCGGCGCGAGGGATCCGGTGTATCTTTCGCAGTTTCTCCTTGGCAGGCAGCGTCATGTGCTGTCCGAGGCTCAGCAGAATCTGCGCCTGGACGTAAGAATGTCGAGCCTGCGCCTGCTGCTCCTGGTTGCTGAAAGCTTTGAACATGAATGACACCAACAACGCCAAGAAGATGAGGCAGTTGAGGAAGATGAACAAGATGGCCAAGATGATGCCAATCCACCGTGTTCGTGTCTCAGCGATCAGGCTTGACTTTCCCAGAACATCAAAGTAGCCCAAAGAAACCTGGGACATGTCATTGTCAAGGATCATTGATGGGGCCTCTTACATAGAACAACGTGTAGACGATTTCCGAATAGGGCACGCTAGATTCAAACAAGTTGACGGAGAGGGCGAAAGAGGCCAAGGAGAAAGCGAGAGCGGAGAGGAGGAAGAGGGTGAGGCAGGGGGCGAGAGCGTCAAGGCAAACATCGCACACGACCAGCACGATCCTTCCAAGGTATCTGAAGGGAACCATCAAGAACACTGCGAGTGAGCCCAGGAGTACAGCTGAGCTTCTCAAGAAGTCGAGCTCCAGAGTCTCTCTCTCGCACAACCGCGAGATGAAAGCAGCAAGGAACGTCACGCCGCAACCCAGACCGAGGAAGGCGGGGAAGACGACGATGAAGGAGGATCTCCAGTCGAGGCTCCTCAAACAAAACTTCAAGTTGTTTCTCATGTAGGTCAGTAGGGCGAGGTAGAAGAAGGCAAAACACCAGAAGCTGCAGATTCCTGTAGCCAACAACTCATACACAAAGACGGCCGCCCCAAGTTTATCCACTGCCGATAGTGAGGAGAAATTCTTGGTCCAAGAGAGTCTGCCATATGTCTCGCTGTAGCTCTCCCTCGCACACTCCAGCCTGTACGTCACGTTGGCCGTGCAGTTGTTCGCCCATGCATTCAACCAGTTTCGTTGTACTTCGTGGGCTCGCAGCGCAAACAGGACATGGGCGAGAATCGTGACGAGAAGAAATGGCAGAAGAACAAGTTTGAGATATGCCTTGACTCCGTACTTTCTCCAGTTCTCCTTCACGAATTCTTGTACTAGCAAGTTGCCTTGATAGTTTTCTACTCCAGCTAACACGGAGCAGTCGAGCAAATTGATGGGTTGCTTTCCTTGGCCGCCTCGTCCTGACATAACCAGACGATCGCAGCAGATATCGACGTGAGACGCGAAGTCAAGGTTGATGCTTCGGCAGTACAAAGATGTTGTTAACATGCTATGAAGCACATCGTTGAATCCGAGGATTGCAGCAAGCGTCAAAGGCGTGAGCCCCTCATTGTTCTCCATCTCCCAACACCGTCTATCAGACACAACCGTGAGCAACCATCTCAGAACGTCATGCTTCCTGAACTGCACGACTTTGTGCAAGATTGTGTTGCCGGCGCAATCCTGCTGGCGAGCCATGTCGTCTAGAGTAACGTCCGGCATCGCAGCAGCAACCCTCTCACACAACACCTGATCTCCCCTGCACACGGCCAACGACATTGTTGTGTTTCCGAGGTCAAAAGAGGACATCAGATTCACTTGTATGTTGCTGTGACCCCATCGTCCTCTCAGCAGAGACCGCCATCCTCTCCATGTCTCTGCCTCCCCGCGTTTGATCCACCTGCATGGCTTGAACGCGACCCCCTCTAAACCCCTCAAAGCTAGTTCGGGAAACTTATCCAGAAGGGTGTGGGTCAAACGATTGTTCCCTTGGATGATAGCAATATGCAGGCACGTCATGCCTGTGTACAGCCCTACATCTCCTTCTCGCTCAAAGTTCATTCGACTTTCCCAAGGCGTCAAATCATCGGCCATGGCGGCACTGGCACCGAAAGCATCACAGAACTCTGAGCCCAGCAGGAAGTAGAAGATCTCTTCAGCCCCGGCAAACAGACAAAGGTGTGCAAGTCGATCGCCTGCAGCGCCGACAACCGGCATGAAGCTTCGAACTCGTTCGACGAACTCTCTCCCCCAGTTTTGTGTGGGTTCCTTTTCAGATCGTTCTCTGAAGCTCTTGATCACTTCCATGGCAGGAGAGGCATGCATGACTGCCATGTTGTAGCGATGCAGCAGCTCTCTCTTCCTCCTCATCGACGTCGCTCGATCCATCGCGACTCGGAGCTCATACTCCCCGCTCGCCATTTCTGCACTTGAGCCGTTGATGCTTGAAATTGCACCTGACGTTTTTTTTTGACCAATTGCACTCAGACCAGCCCGGTGGGCCCGGCCCGGCGGCTGCCAGGCTGCGCGGAGCTTTTCAAATTTTCAAATTTTTTATTACAAACAACATCTTGAACCTGATTGTTCCTGCCTACCAAGTAGCTCAGTTCTCCCATCCTTCATGCAAAAGCGCTTCCCACATCGCAGTTGGCGGACCGCTTGTCACTGCTGCCACTGTTGGGGGCAACTTAGATGACTAGTACCTTTCCTACTGCTGTCCACCTTTGCAAGTGTTGGCCTCTTTGCAATACTTGCAGCTCGATCGTCGTCGCTGATGCTCGCATACGCCTCTTCCCCCGCACTCCTTACAATGTGATCTCTGCCTTCCATGAGCGCACATGCTCCCTCCCCCACATTCCTTGCATGTCGTTCGTCGCCGTCCATGTTCGCAAATGCTTCCTCCCCCGCAATCTCTGCAAAGTGATCGACGTCGTCCATGTTCGCAGAGGCTCTTGCCCCCGCATTCCTTGCAAAGCGTTCGACGCTGACCATGTCGGCAGATCCCTTTCCCCTTGCAATCCTTACATATCCATTGTCTCCGTCCGTGCTGGCACAATGCCTGTCCACCGCACTCCGTACACGTTGACCGTCGCCTGTTATGCTCGCAGATCCCATTTCCCTTGCATTCTTTGCATATGCTTCGTTGCCGACTGTGTTCACATATGCTGCCCCCCTTGCAGTCTTTGCATGATGATCGCCGCCGCCCGTGCTCGCAACGTTTTCCTTTGCACACCATACAAATCGATCGCTGCTGCCCGTGTTCGCATATGCTCTTCCCCCAGCATTCCTTACATTGTATTCGCTCCAACTTGTGATCGCAGATGCTTCGAGCCCAGCACTTCTTACATCGATACCTTTGCAGCTTGTGATCGCACAAGCTCATTGCCCAGCATTCTCGGCAGATGGATCGCCGCCGATCATGTTCGCAAAGTCCGTGGCCTCCACATTCCTTGCAGAGCGCTTTCTTTCGCCCATGTGGACACTGCCAGGCTTTTCTTGCCTTGTTTGTAGCTGCCGCCGTTACAGCTGCTCCAGCTCGCGGTCCAGATGTTGTTTCTCCTGTCGCGTTATTCCCCGCCGCTCCGTTTGGTTCCCCAGCTCCTGTCGTGGCTGTCCCACCTTCTGAAGCAACCCTGGAATCTGACCCACCTGAAACTTCAGTTTCCTTTCCGCTCGATTCTGATCCATTTGCATTTGCCATTCCTGCTCCTTCCTTCGCTCTTGCTGCTGCTGCTGCTGCTACAGCTCCCTCTCCCGCTCCCGCCCTGCTTCCGGCTCCCTCACGCGAATCTACTACCCTTGGACCTGCTGCTTCGTCTTCTCGGCTTCCTCCATCGCTTGATCCTGACATAACTGATAATCCACTTGCCATGTAAGTTCTCATCACTGTTCCAGCTCCTCCCGTAGCATTTGAAAATCCCACAGCTGTCAGCAATGTTGCTCCTGCTTCTGCTGCGCCTACACCTCCTTGTCCCAAGACAGCAGCAAGTGCTGGAGCAGCTGACTCATACCCTCTGGTTCCTTCTCCTCCATCGCCCGAGGGCTCCAACCGCCTCCTCTTGAACGGCACTTTCCCTTCTACCATGGCCAGAGAAAGATGGAGACTTACTGTGGAGAAAATGCAGAGAAAATGGTTCTCCACAGTGGTCTGCCATATCCGTGGTTTCAAAATTCACAACGGCCAATGAAAAATGGTGCGAACGCTGCTGGGCAAGCGAGGCTCTGACATCAATCCTCTCCTCTCCGCCAGCCCTTGTCCACCTGATCTCCTTGTTTGTTTCCAGATCCCTGACTGATGCTTCACACATCCTCCTCCTTATCCTCCCCTCCCTTGTCTCCTCTGCCCATGGTTTGTTGCAGGAAAGACATGTGCTGCTGGTGTTCGTGACGATGGCAGCATATGATCCATGTGGCAGATGAGGAGTATTATTTCAAACTTGTGGCTGTGAATGAGCGAGGTAGTTATGTCTCAATATTCGACGGAAAGACGGAGTACAGGGTTGGGAGCGCGATGTCCCAGGAAGTAAAGGCTGGCCATGGCGGAGGTTTTTACGTTTGCGAATCCTTACTTGACCTCCTCAAACTCGGGCCACTACCCACACGATCTGCAATGCTACATGCGCCATGGGCGGTATGCTTGCTGTCAACCGGTCGTGTGCTGCTGATAATGGTCGTTTGACCTGCCCTCGTTGCAGATAGTGAAGCTAGTGGGTTGGGGCAAGAAGATCAAGTACAGCGAGCATGGCAGCAAGACGAAGGTGATGGGTGAGCATCATGGCATCGCTGACTAGCAAGGTCAAGGTGTCGATCTCCAACATTGTCCCGTGCGCCTTCTACCCGATGCCGGCGGATATGAAGAGGAGGTTGATGGATCGGCTAAGTCGCAAGTACGAGCTGGCGAAGTTGCGGCGGGAGGAAGGGATCCACGTGGAGGGGAGGGAGGGAGGATACACAGCGCAGGAAACAGCAGAGATCTTCAGCGACTGGCAGGAGATTGTGAATGTATTCAGTTGAGAATGGGAGAGTTAACGCCTTTGAACCTCTCAAACACTATCATGCGGCTCTGGTGCACGACCGTTTACAGGTGAGACGTGGGTATCTTCCCCTTGCCATCTCCCACCAAGTTGCCATTCCCAAACACATTCTTGGGATCCACTTGCGACTTGATCCTGTCCGGCACTCTTTCAGCATCCTCGGAGCTCGTTCTCTTCATCGCTTCCTTTCATGTCTCCCTTGCCCCCCCCAAACCCCCCGCCCTCTCTTCTCTTGTTACTCACCCTGCGAGGACGGAGACTCCAGCAGGAGACACCTGCGATTCGAGCCATTGCTGGCGATGCTTTCCGATACCTGGACGAAGAGCAGTTGAGCACTTTGATCGGGAAAGAAAGCAGGAGAGCAGAAAGAATGGTGAAGAGAGGAAATGAGTTGAGGAAACGTCAAGGGGATAGAGCAGGCTCAAGTGAAGGGATGACAATGAGACGGTGGAGAAGATTGAGGGAGGAGGAGGTGATGGTGGGGTAGTGATGGGTAGCTGGCGGGCTGGTGGGGAAGAGGAAGGCAGGGAGATCACCATGGTGATGCGAGAGGGAGCCGCCAAGGGCCAGGATCTCCTGCCTTGCCTCATCCTCAATCTGCGAGCTCCGTGATGAGGGTGAGGAGGAGATGGTGAGCCGAACCTGCGTGAAGAGAGCGGAAGGATCCTTGAAGCCCTTGGAGATGAAGCCGAAGTAGAAGTAGACACACGCGCCCGTATCATATGTCTGTGGGGATCTCAATTGAACGGCTTCAAGACGAGGGAGTGGGAAGGAGGGGAAAAAGGAGTGACAAGGGGAAGGACAGAGTTGGATGTCCGAGCGGCGGAGGATGAAGAACGAGGGAGAAAGGAGCAGCAGGAGGAAGAACGAGGGAGAAAGAGGCAGCAGGAGGAAGAACGAGGGAGAAAGGAGCAGCAGGAGGAAGAACGAGGGAGAAAGGAGCAGCAAGAGGAAGAACGAGGGAGAAAGGAGCAGCAGGAGGTGCCGTGGAACCTGAGTGACTCGGCAAGAAACGAATGGCTCTCGCTGAATGCCTCGAGCTTTGCATGCTCGCGATATCCGACGCTTCACGCCCTCGCAGAGAACAAGCACATTGCTCCATGGCACCTGAGAATTACGAGGTGACGGAGAGGAAGGAGGAGGAAAGAAGGGAAGAGAACGGGTGAAAGACAGAGGGAGCAAAGAAGGGAAACAGTGACGGATGACAAGAAGGCGTGCAGGAGGGAAGGGAGAAGGAGGGAAAGTGGAAGTGTAGGAAGAGGCAAAGAAAGGAGAGCAGGTGCCAAACCGAGAAAAAATATCAGGAAGGAACGAGAGGAAGTGTTGTAACATTAAGGCGGGAAAGAGCAAAGAGTAAGTATTACGGAGGTCTCGAAGGACTCCGCGATGAAGTGATATCCTATTCCAAAGTCTCGGAGGTAGGCGATCATAAATGTCAAGAAGTATCCTCTGAAGCCATTCTCCTCCCCTGCGTTCATCCCCCTACGAGGAGCGTGAGACAGGAGGAGGAGGTCGATCTCCCATCTCGCCTGTGCTTTGCGGCGATGGATGAAAGTTTCTTTTGCTGCTGCTCGATCTCCTCCTTCGTCCCTTCCATCAAGAGAGTCGCCGCGCACATCTGAGGCAACATGAGAAGGCAGACGATACACCAAAGTCGTCGAGCAAGGGGTGCGTGCGAGAGGAGGATCAAGGCTGGAGGGAAGATCGGGAGGAAGACGAAAAGGAAGAGAAGGTGGTGATGGAGTAGGAAGGGGAGGGGAATAGGAAAGGGAGAAGGTACCTCATGAGGATCGAAATTCTTCCACTTGGTCACGTACATCTTCTTGGCCGCGTCGAGCCAGCTGGTCAGGGGGTTCGTTTGCTTCGGCTTCAGCGCCAAGCCGAACTGAAATTGCTCGTTGTCGACCAGTCGGACTGATGCTGGAGCACATCGTTCACGCGCAACCTGATGTCAATGTTCAGAGAAATATTCTTGCTCCCCTGCTTCCTGGCTCCACTTCAACTTCCTCCCCCCATCTGATAGCCCCCCGTCCTTCTCTCTCACTGAGCTTGCACCACTCCTCCCCTCCTTACTCGATGCATCTCATTCTCACACTTGACATGCTCATAATTCATCTCTCACCTCCCACATGAAGTTGACGCCGCTCTCGAAGTTGGGGAACAAGATGGATCCGTACTCTACGTCAACGGTGAGGAGACTCAGAGGAGAAGAGGCGGGGCATCACTCCGAGCCGGCGGCAACTTTCTGATCCGGAGAACAGCCTCCGTGATCACACCCAGAGTTCCTTCAGACCCCAGGATGACCTGCGGCCGTCATGTCAAGAGAGGAGCGAGAGACTGACTGCACGAGCTGATCTCACTTGCTGCACATCCGGACCCATCGACAGCCTGGGCACTTCAACCTGCGGATGGGACGTCAGCCGCTCTCATGGCATGCAAAGGGGAGCAGAGGAACGGGGGGTTCAAACTCAGAGACTTACCGCTCTGTCGATCGTCCCGACAGACGTGACCATCTTCACGCGAACCAGCATGTCTTCAATGTTCCCTGCCAATCCCATCCATCATTGATCTTGATGCTGCACTCGCTGTCTAGCCTAACCCCCACCTCTCCTCTCTGCTTTCTCCACCATTCCCCTCTCACCATACACATTCTTCTTCATCCCTGAAGCTCTCGTTGCAATCCATCCGCCCACAGTAGAAAACTCGAGGGAATCCTTTGAAAATGTCAAGAGATTTTTCATGTTGCAAAATAATCAATCACAGGTTCATGTCCGATCGTGACATCATACTTCTCTAATCTCCTCTTGATGTCTTGGCCGACAAGTCCGGACTCCACACAAACCTGCACACAGACATCTCATAAATTCCAGATCTGATAAATTCCAGATCTAGAGAAGGATGAGGAGAACAGTAGAAGAGGAGAACGGGAAGGGCGAAGGAGGGAATGGAAGGCAAGGAAGTCAAGGAAAGGGGGAAACGTGATGTTGGGGGAAAACAAAAGGAGGAAGAATTGAGCAAGGATCAAGAGCGTCAGTGTGAGATCCTCACCAGCATGTTCTCCATGTCGATCCACTTGATCGAGTTCATCTCGTGCATGTCAAGGCTGACGATCATGCGAGTCTCTTCGCTGGGGCATATGAGAGCTCCTGAAACCGAGGTACCTCCTCCGAAGGGGATGATCACAACGTTGAACTGGTTGGCGAGACTGACGATCTTCTCGACATGCTCGTGTGACCCTGGCCAGATGACAACATCCGGTACTCGGGTGAGCTTGCCGTAGCGGAGAGCATACATCTCTTGGCACGTATGCCCGTGAGCATGGAACAGCCGGTCCTTGTCCGTCACAGACAACCTCTTGCAGCAACTCTTCACGCTCTCAAGGAAGCCCTCGTTGCGGACAGGAGGATGCGGCTTTGCCATAGGAACTGGAGTTGCCTGATCCTCGACATTCAGCCCTACCACCTTCTCGATCCACGGTCGGAAATTGGGGAAAACGAGCCCGCTGAAGGGGTACCTGCGAGAGAGCATGAGGAGAGGGGGAGAGCGAGTTTCGTCCTCATCGACCTGCTCCCCTTGAGTCCGATCTCTCCGTTGTCAGTGAGCTCGAACTGAGTGTCCTCATACCCCCACCCATCCACTCTCAGGGGCCAGTTCGGTGCATTTTCGGAGGGGATCTACGAGCATGTCAAGGAGGTACAGCAAGGGCTAGGCGTCTCTTGCCTCCATCTTCTTCGCCAGCGACTTGCTCGCCTGCATCTCAGCTGCAGACGCAACTTGCTGGGTCTGGCCGGTGGACATCTGATCGAGAAACTCCCTGTGCGAGCAGATCGAGTTAGCCCTTTCCTTGATTCTTGCCGTTCTGGGCAGCATCGTGTTCATCCTCATGGGATTCACTTGCAAGTCTCCTCCCTCCTCGGTAAATTCCTTCCTCGTGTTGTTCCCTCTGTTTGCAATCTTCACCTTTTCCTCTCTCCACTCTCTTGTACTTCTTTGCTCCGTCGTCATGCCCTCACAATCTACTTGTCCTCAACAAGACTATCTCCTCTCCCTCCAATCTTCGTATCCTCCTCCCGCTCCTTCCGCTCCTGCTCCTGCTCCTGCTCCTGCTCCTGCTCCTGCTCCTGCTCCTGCTCCTGCTCCTGCTCCTGCTCCTGCACCTGCACCTGCACCTGCACCTGCACCTGCACCTGCACCTGCACCTGCACCTGCTCCTGCTCCTGCTCCTGCTCCTGCACCTGCACCTGCACCTGCACCTGCACCTGCTTCGGCTCCTGCTCCTGCTCCTCTTCCTCTGTCCCTCCCTCTGCCTCTGCCTCCCCTCCCTCTTCCTTCTTCCCACACGCTTCCCACTCCGTCGCATCCTTTCATTTGTCGCATCGTTTGATGATTACAACCATACTACCCCCAACCCCATTCAGGATCTACCAGTGATAACCCTACCATACATTATTCCTAACTATTTACCTAAATAGTACCGGTATTCAATACCCCCTGCTTAAACTGAAAGTGTGTATTACTCGGTGGTAGTGTGACCAGGGATACAAGGGGACTGATGAGTGCAGGAGCAGGAGCAGGAGCAGGAGCAGGAGCAGGAGCAGGAGCAGGAGCAGGAGCAGGAGCAGGAGCAGGAGCAGGAGCAGGAGCAGGAGCAGGAGCAGGAGCAGGAGCAGGAGCAGGAGCAGGAGCAGGAGCAGGAGCAGGAGCAGGAGCAGGAGCAGGAGCAGGAGCAGGAGCAGGAGCAGGAGCAGGAGCAGGAGCAGATGCAGGAGCGGGAGCAGGAGCAGATGCAGGAGCGGGAGCGGGAGAGGGGGCAGGGCAGGGGCAGGAGCGGGAGAGGGGGCAGGGCAGGGGCAGGGGCAGGTTCCTGATGGTAGATGAGAGAACAGCGTCTGTCTTCACAACTCTCCTTGCGTTCATGGTCAAGTCTGACGCACATTTGATGTCAGTGAGAACAACATGAAGGCGTCCGATTACCATAGATCGTTGACTGTGATAGCAATCTTGGCCTTCGAAGCTCCGATCGCGCTGTGCTTCCAGTCATCGAGGTACGTTGTTGCTGACTCTATACTTTCTCCCCTTACTCCTTGTTTCCCAGAATCTCTTCTGCACTTCGCACCGCTCATGATCTGCGACGCGGAGTCTGTCAACGACCTGCTGTGTCGGGCACCAGGAGTTGCTCTCCGTCAAGCTCTCTCCGAGCGTGCATGTACGTCTCACGCGTCTGATCTCACATTCAGTCACACCCCGCAGGCCCTCTCATCGAGTCGTCATCCTGCCAGGGTTCGGCAATGCGCAAGAAGACTACATCGATCCTTTCGGGTGCGGGTTCGAGCAGAGCATCACGTGCGCCCTGGAGAAGCGAGGGCACCAAGTGCAAGTGATGCCTCTGAAGCGAGCCCAGTGGCTGAACGTCTTGTGGGGGATCTTCACCCTGTCCTTCTGGCTCGGCAAGAGCTCTCCCTACGAGCCCGGCTATGGTTGGTATGTGAACATGGCGAGAAGAGAAATCAGTCGCGCCTACGAGGCTTCAAACAAGACTCCAGTGGTAGTCATCGGCCATAGCGCTGGTGAGCCAACAACTGTCTTATTGCCTTGGTCAAAACTTTGAGCAGGAGGATGGCTTGGGAGAGCAGTTCTCGGAGATGGAACGTGGAGGGATGAGGATACGAAGACGAGGATAGTAGACATGATCAGCTGGTTTTGTCGTCCCGTGCTGTTCACTCCAGGTTTTGATTCTTCTTCCTTAGTTTCGTTTCTCTTGGAACCCCGCACTCTCCACCCTCCAGCAACGCGAAGGACATTATGGACATGACCCGAGGAGGTCTGACGCTCCTCCCCCTCCCCCCTTGCTCGACCTCACCATCATGACAGCCTTGACATGGACGCATGAGAACCTGCCCGGCGCCTTTTTGGCCCCGAGAGTTCCATACGTGACGGTAGGAAGCGACCTTATCCCGGGGGACAAGGAAGGAGCCAGAGGGAGTTTGGTGAGCCACCATCGTCATGATCGCTGATCAATCGCTGCACCAACTTAATACTTACTGGCGCAGGGGAGATCGGCCTATGAATCTTACCGCCTTGTGTGCGGAGAAGGGTCTGTGCTAGGGGATGGAGTTGTGCCCCTGCAGAGTTCACACCTGGAGGTGGGATGGAGAGATGGGGAGGAAGGTGGTGGGAAATGCGAGTGATCGTCTTGGCAGGGTTCGACGCAGGTGGACTTGAAATGCTATCACTCGATCAGCTCTCCTCGAATGCCCGAGTATGAAATCCGATCGACGTGGTACGGAAGCGATTCCCTCATAGACTCGTGGTTGAACGTAGTCGGCGATGCTGTTAGTGTCAGTGCAAAGGCTCCGGTGTTGGAGGAGCGAAATTGATAGAGAGCGGTCCAGAAGACATCCTTTGTATTGTTTGTACTGTGAAACTGTGCACTAAAAAGCAGAAAACGACTATCGAAGGTTCGAAAGATTGAAATGTTGATAAAAGAACAACATGATGCCAAAAGTGAACGTTTGGCCGGTCACCCATCCATGCTCATGCTACTTCAAACCCAAGATCATGATCAGGTTTGGGTTGAGGAGCCGTCAAGTCCGTGTCATCGTTGAGGAGGAAATGCGAGGGTTTCTCCTGCGACGCAATGCCCTTCTCGCGCCATCTCGGGGTGTCCTCAACAGGAACTAGCTGATCGAGCATGCCATCCACCTGGTTGTAGACGCGATCGGTAGTGTCAGTGGGCAGTCTGTTGACCTTGACGCCCGCATTCTGCAGAGGAGCGTTGGACTGCTGAGTCTCCTCGGCCACCTTGAGAGGATCGCGGTGGGGCATGCGGGGCTGCCTTGACTCATGATCGAACTGCGTCCTGTCCCAGCCCGGGTAGGGAAATCCTCTATAGATGTCTGCTGGCCACTCATCATAGCTGATTCCTGCCTTCTTCATGTTCTCATATCCCCTGTCCTCCTTGTACACAGTCCCCTTGCCCTCAAGACCTCCGATTCCCCACTCCACAGGAGGATGATAAGTGTCAGGTCTGAGCTCCTTGGCGAACTCGCCTTCCCTCTGGTTGATCGCGCGATTCCTCTCCGGGCTGGCATCCTGCAGCACAACGCATGAACAAATCACCGGACCAGCCAAGGGAGGGTTCTCCTACCGGGTCGAAGCCCATCCAAGGGACAGAGCTGTAGATGTCAGTCGGCCAGCGGTCGCTGACAACATTCGCATTGTCCAAGTTTTCGCAGTTGCCACCAGGGCAGTACCTGCAAGTTCGTCAACGGCATCTTCGAGCCAACACCCGGCACAGGGGAGCGGCACAACAGACGAGACACCGGGTCTTAACAGACTCGTCAGCTGGACTATAGCTCACCTCTTGTTGGGGCCATAGCGGAAGGGAGGCTCTCCTTCACGCCGCTGTACTCGGGGCGTGCGGGTGAACTCCATGTCAGGGTGTTCCAGGGCGAGCCCGCCGCGGCCGGAGAGCTGCGGGAACCTGTTGGAGAAGGCGGCCGCTCTAAGCTGCGCCTGCCTGTATCTGGGCATGTGCTTCTGCTGCATGATGCGCTGTAGAGTGTTCATGTCCCTTGCGACTCGTGCCTTGTCTCGGACAACACGCTCTTCAGCTCGCTCCAGGATGCTGTTGCGAGACAGGAGAGCACTGGTGGTGTGCCTTGTAGTATAGGCGACAGCTATCAGCACCAGCACAGCTGGAATGAGCAAGTTAGGGAGCGGCTTACAACATCCACATGCACAGACAGGCGTCTAAGACAGGTGGAGGTCTCATCAAAACCAACAACCATCATCATACACCATTCGTCTCCCGAACACGTAAGTGGAAGAGATGTTCCAAAATCACAAGGCAGAAGCAGCAATGAGCAAGAAAAGTTCAAGGACCGAGAGGCATTCAAGGGTGCAACCAGACAAGCATTTTGACGCAAGGGCTGATAATCTTAAGCACGTGATACACTCTATCGCCATACCTGCGATGCCACTCGCTGCCGCAGCTGCCTGCCATCGACGCTCGGCCATCATGGTGCTGCCTGTTGAGAGAATGCCGAGTGAGAACCGAGAGTACCCGTCCTATGCCAATTCTTCAGCCTACAAAGTAGGGGTGATAAATTGACATCGAATTTTATCACCGGGGTTCTGGAGTCATGTTGATTTTGAATTTCATCTGATCAAAAGAAAACTTCAATCTTGAAATATGAAGAGGTTTTGAATATTTACACTATTCTGTTGAAAAATATAGAAATAGAAAGAAGATCCTGTGCGGTCAGAACATGTTCCTCGTCGTACCCAGCATCGTTCAGCATATAACATACCTACATCCTCCTACCCAACACATTTCCTAGTTCTGGACATATCAAATTAGGCACACTACATCATATTGCCTATTGGACTACCCCCCACCCCTACACATTTTGAGTAGAAATATTTAACTAAAAACTGTCAGTTGGATCGATCGCCCTGATAGGATGGCTCTTCGGGGATTTCAAAGTGGACCTCATCTCCCCTCAGACCCAAGTGGAACAGAGCCCGCCCAGGAACAACCAAGGAACCCCTCAGAGAGTATCCGGGAGTATCCGCGATTTTACCCCGCGTATCCGAAGGTGGCCGCTTTGCATGGCACGCGTTTTTGGCCGGGCAATGGCGGGAGGAGGAGGAGGAGGAGGAGGAGGAGAGGGGTCAAGGAAGGATCCACGTATTGAATCTAAAGATTTCAAGGGTAGAAGAGCATGCCGATGGCAAGGCTCTTCCCGTCTTAGCCCTTCCTCTTCCTTCGCTTCCCTAGCGTCTCCCGCCCTCGTCGTCTTGGTCATCTTTTTGTCTGCCGCCGATCTCATGCCTGTTTCCGTGAGCGCCTCTTCCCACCCGCCCCTGAGAATGTGCCTGAGAAGTTTCAGAGCCGAAATGTCGAGTGGCGGGTCCGTCGAGCTGGCTCCTACGTCCACCTTGCGGATCCGGGGGGGGGGTGAGGACGCAACGAACCCGGCCGATCTCGATCCTCTGCAGGCCGTTCGAGCAGCTCGAGCAGCTCGAGCAAAGGCACAGGCACAGCAGGAACCGTCGAGCACGAAGAAAGACGAAGGCAAACAAATAATGGGGATGAAGGGACGGGCCGATAGACTGGGCGCTAAGGCAGCAGCGAAGGATGCAAAGAAGTATGATAGCGACTCTGATGACTCCGACATGCAGCAAATCACTAGAAAAATCTCTGAAACAAAGTTGGAAGGAAAGACCTCATCAGGAAGGATGCCTGCAGCGAAAGTGGAGGATGATAAGCCAAGCGCTCAAGCTGCTGAAACTCCTGCTCCAGCTTCAGGATCAGCTGCAGCCGGACCTGCAGCAGAGGCAGCAGCAGCAGAGGCAGCAGCAGCAGAGGCAGCAGCAGCAGAGGGCGTTGCCACCGGCACTGAGACCAGCCTTTCAAGTCTGCGATCCTTGGCTTCATTGTTTTGGTTGTAATTTCTCCCCAGATTTCAATGAGACGAAAGCAACGAATAGAGGCGAAAGTGAAGAAGAAACCGGTGTTGGTGAGAGCTGACATGGTGAGTTGAGGGTGCTGAGATAATTGGCAGTTCTTCCTATCAAGAAGTTCATCCCCAGCACGGACTACGTCAAGAGTCTTGATGAGACGTACGAGTTGAAGTCCCACAAGCTGCAGGTGAGGAGGATGAGGGAGGGAGGAGGAACCTGATTCACTCGTGTCAGTATTTCATCGACGAGCTCCTGCTCGAAGTGAATGCTCAGGGCAAGAAAGTCAATCAGTCCTACTACCTGAGCCAGGTTTTCAAGGTGAGGGAAGGGGACGAGCGGCCCTTGTACGTTGCTCATGGCACTCCGCAGCACTCCGACGAGCTCGCCACGTTTCAGGCTGATTACAACGATGTGAGGGGAGGAGAGGAGGGGGGTGAAGAGTTTTGATTGATTACTCAGCTGGGACAAATCCTCGTGTCTGATGAAAATCTTCATCCTCATCTCTTCGTGAAAGATGGTCTTTCCCATCCTCCCCGTCCTCATCTCCTGACTTCTCATCTCCGCTCCTCTTCAACCGCCTCCTGCTCGAACATCTCCTCTCCTTCTCCATCCTCTCCTCACTGTCTTCTTCTGTCTCGTTTAACCTCCATTCCTCCCCTTCTACTCAAACTCCTACGATTATGACAACTTCTTCAGCTTATCGACTGCCGATTGCCAAGCACTACAATCAGATTTCCTTCCCCAGTGAAGTGCGGAGCGAATAAGAACCCCGCACTTGTCTCTGACTGCATGCAGACTGCATCGCTCAACGCCGCCCTCCAGCTGGTGGAAGACGGCGGGGAGGTCATTCTTGAAGGTTTCATCGTACCCTCCCTCCTCACTGTCTATGACATAATCTCCCCCTTTCCGCCCTCCTTCCCTTGGTCAACACCCTCCAAGTTGTTCTTCCTCTCCTCGTCCTCTCTTCGGTGTCTCTCTACCGCACACTTCACTCCTCCTCCCTGCTTCACACCGCTGTCCCTCCCTGCCTCCCTCCCTCTCCCTCCCGTTCTGACTCCCAATGCCCTCAGAGGGCGAGCACGAAGTGACCGGCGTGATCGGCTTGGGAGCCGTGGGTGAATTGGAACGAATGAAGTTGGCCAGGGAGGATGAGGTGGAGGCGGCGGACGCTACTCGACGAGTGCTTGTGAGCAGCAAGCAGGATGAGACAGGTGAGGAGGAGTTGTTCTCTGATACCCTTGTCTCATTCCAACGGCAGACTTTGTGATTGGACGATGGATCATGGGAGCTCGAGTAACGGGTCCTCTACCTCCCCCTTTCCATCGTTTCATCTTCCTCTCCTTGTGCTGCTGCCCCTCGTGTCTCCTTGTTTTCCCTTCTCTTCTCTTTGTCTGTTCCTTTCCTTTCTTGATTTCTCCCTCTTCTGATGTTGTTCTCCTCGTCTCTCCCCAGGGCTGTTTATGAAGTGCAATCTCAAGAGGAGCGCCGACAATTTGCAAGAATCAACGATGGTTTTCCTGGCCGGGCCCTGGAATATGGATGTTAGATCCCCCCTCTCTCTCTCCTCCATTCTCCTTCCCTCTTCTTGGTCATTCCCCTTCCTCTTCCTTTTGAATCTTCCCCTCGCGCTCCCTTCTACCTCGCTTTCGCTCCCTTCTACCTCGCTTTCTCCCTCCTTCTTCCCCCCCTCTCCTCCCTCCTTGCCCCCGCCTCCTTTAATTCCGTCATTTTCTTTGTCTCACTTGCTTGCAGCGGTGCAAGGTGGTCTGCTCTGGAGGATGTGCGCTTGTCCTGCGGGCAGAAGGGGTCATGTCCTGCTCCAACACGATGGTCGGAGGGGTCGACGAGCATGAAACTGCTACAGGTGGAGGACGGAGAGGAGGAAGAGCAGAGATAGGGGTAGAGACGAGGGGCGAAGTAGAGCAGAGCAGAGAAAACAGGAGGGAGAAGAGGAGGGAACGGGGATGGCAAGGACTGACCATAGGGGGCAGACTGTGTCGCCATGCTTGAGCAATCCAACGCGACGTTCAGGATGTGCGAACTGCGGCATGCCAGGAAGGACATCCATGGCAGCATCTTCTACGGCTACGGTGAGTGGCCGTGAGGGAGGAGTGGAGGCAGAGAACAAAAGCAGCGAGAGCCGAGGTAGGAAGGGAAAGGGGGTAGAGGGTGATGCAGAGGGGAGGGATGGCGGGTTGGAAAGGATGCTGGCAATGAGAGGGCAGAGTCAGGCGAGACAAAACGAGCTGGAGAGAGAGGAGGGAGCAGCACGAGGCAGAGGAGGAGGAGGAGGAGTGAGGGAGCGGGAGGCAGGAAAGAAGATTGAACTTTATGCTATCGGCAGGAACGGGTCTATCTCTGCTGCAACAGGCGGCAGTTACAATGGACAAGACAAATGTGAGCAGTATGGAGAGAGGGGTCTTCCTCTCAGACGGTGAGGAGCGACAAACTTCCATCCTTCACTGATTGCTTGCTAGATTCGAAAGCGATCATCACCAACTGCAGCTTTACTGACATTCGTGACGGAGTTTTCTCCTCTATGCATGTGATCTACCCCTCTCCCTTTGTTTCCTTGACCTGCTCCTCCTCCTACTACCATTGGGTGATTCTTGCTGTCAGTGCACTGGAGCGAGCCTGGAGATGTGGGACAACCAAGCTTGCTCGGTGAGAGGTGGAGAGCAATGAGGCGGATCTGACGATGGCGCTTGCAGAACCCTGCCGCGGAGCTTGCAAACATGGACAACCTCAGGTTGGGAGCGAGGAGGAGAGGGAGAACAGCGAGACCCGGAGGGCGTGAGAGAGCAGACGAGGGGGATGGAGAGGGTGGGAGCAGGATAGAGGGACAAGGGGAGGGTTGAGGAAGGTGAATGGGTCTGATTTTGTTGAGCAGCATACAGGGAGGGAGGAATAAGCAGATCTCCTCGTCATGAATCTCTCGCTGATGTTCTTCTCTCATTCACCAATTCATGTACAGTAAACGGTGAAACCTCGCTAACCTCTCTCCATCCCTCCTGTTCCCTCCTTTCCTACTCCCCTTTTCCTCTTGCTCACTTCATTTCCTCACTCCTCCTGCTCCCCTTCTCCCCTTCCTTGCCCTTCCCCCTGCACATGATATCTGTCTACCCCATCGACTCGCCCTCGCGGTTTCCTTGTCTCGCGCTGGTCGGCCAACTTCCGTCGCCTCCTGCTCCTGGTGACCTCACGAGGAAGCCGGACCGGATGCTCGAGCTGTCTAGGCTATCTAGTCTGCTCCTGGCGCTGGGCAGCCGCAACGACGAGAAGGAGGAGACGCGCTGAGACAGTGTCACCTCCTCGTCTTCCGCAGAGAGACTCACCCGTGACAGGATGTCGGCAACCTCCGGCTGGTTCGCCTCCCGCGCGATCTGTAGTGGGGACGCGCCTCCTGCCGTCTTGAGGCTCGCGTCGGCGCCATGCGCGAGTAGGACGAGCACGGCGTTCTTAGATCCATGCAAGCACGCCACATGCAGGGGAGCGACGCCCTCCTGGTTGAGGAAGTTGATGTACTTGACGGCTCCGTGCTCAACACAAAGATTGTTGATGCCATCCGCTGAACTAGAGTAAGCAGGATGCACGGTTGATGAGGGGAGCAGGGGAAAGAGGTGTTGCGAGAAGAGGAGGCATTGGGGGAAGAGGAACGAAGATGAGTAGTGGAGGAGGAGGTGTTGGTGTTGGAGGAGAAAGTTGAGGAGGAGGGTCAAGAGGGGGAACTTTACCGTGGTCATGCTCGCAGTAGCTGTAGAGCTTGTTTGCCAGTGCGTTCTTGCTCATCCAAGAGTATCTCCAGGTGTTGACGTCGACTTCCTTCCCTCGCTCCTTCTCCTCCTGCCGTCTCCGTAATTTCATCTGATTCTCGTCCGTCCACGGGAAGCATGTCCGATCTTGGAAGGTGCAGTTAATGTTTCCCATCACCTCACCTCAGAACAACCGAACGAGCATGGTGAGGACACAGCGGCAAGTCAGTTCACTCCCGTCGAGAGGCTCAGTGTTCATCTGAACATCAGGTTTTGACCCCTTCCGATCTTCTTGCTTCCGTTCCCATGAGATGCTGCCAACGTATAACAATCAGCTCCCCCTCTCCCTCTCTCTTCACACGCATTGCGGTGCTGTCTCTGCTATCATGTTTGCCTGAGAGCAGTGAGACGGATCATAACGGAGTCCTCCTGAGCCTGCCAGTGCCAGCAAGCTGCCTGCCTGCCTGCCTGCCTGCCTGCCTGCCTGCCTGCCTGCCTGCCTGCCTGCCTTCCTGCCTGCCTGCCTGCCTGCCTGCCTGCACGGAGTCGGGCGACTCGGCATCCCCGGGCGACCGAAAATGACTAAAACAGTAATCATTTGACGTTGCGGCCGTTTCAACCGTCATATCCGTTTCCAAGATACAATTGCTGCCGTTTCTTTTCCCTAACGAAGAGACGCGCTATGGCACTTGCAGCCAAACGCAGGCTGGCGGCTGGCGGCATGGCGGCCTTTGCCACATTGGGTAAGCAGATATGCTGAAGCACATGAACGAGATGTGAAAGTCACGTGCTGTGTTGGGTTGTTTGATGTCGATGGTGTGAGAACAACTGTCGAGAGGGTTGACATGAGTTGGATGCTTTGCAAAAGTTCGTGGAGCAGTGATGAGATGAGTGCATGACGTCTTTGAGCTGCTTGTTGGTTTGCTGATCATTGGTGTCTTTTTGAGCAGCAATAGCCGCAGTGGTCGCCATCGCTACCTTGCATGCTTCTCCATCTTCGCTTTTGTACAGAGGCAAAGGCACATGGGGAGGCTTTCTTTCGGACAATCATAGGTCGAGCGACAACGCGATGGATCTGAGCGAGAAGGATATTCAGTTGTTGAAGACTGCACATAATGAGGAGTTGAAAGAGATGAAGGATGGACTGGACGCGAAGAAGAAGGTCTCTAACTCGTTCAGTGTTGCCTGCTTTGATGAAACGCTAGGACGAGAAGGCGCTGGCAGCTAAGAGAGCTCGAGATGCTGTGCTCAAGGCTCACTCGCATTCAAGATCAACAGCAAAACAGCTGCCAGCACCGTATCCTCCCCTTCTCTCTGGTTTGATCAGCTCACCACGTTTGCAGGTTCAAGCTCAGGGTGGTGCACAAGGAAGGTACTCTGAGTGCAGACGACAAGAAGCTGCTGGCCATCGCGCGCAACGAGATCTCATCCGAGCATGCAAAGGTGGAGATAGTGGTCCGTGCTGGAGCCGTCTGAAAGCTCTCAGGATGCTCGTGCTGAGAAGCAGGCCAAGGAGGCCGAGCTGCGACGGGAGGAAGAGAAGGCTGAAGCAGCCAAGAAGGCGCGTGAGGCTCAGGCCAAACAGATGCACGTGAAGCAGGTGAAGTGTCTTCCCGTTGCTTCTACTGCTCCTGCGCTGATGAGTCTGGTCCTGCAGGCAGCGCATCCAGTAGCGCGCGTAGTAGCAGAGCCGAAGGTGACGGCCCATGTCCAACACGAGAAGGTATGACAGAGCTTCTGCTTCTCTTGTTACCCTGAGAGTTTCTCCCTCACTCTTATCTCAGAATGTTCTTCATCGCAAGTTGAACCCGAAGGCGCTCAAACTCCTCGCCTCTGCATATCGCGACCAGCGACACGACGAGTACCCTTTTGCTGCTCCTGCTCGTTCTTGCTGATCTTGGACCGGGCAGGGAAAAGGCCCGTAAAATGAAATCTTATGACCAGAGGGCTTTCGTGAAGCAATTCAAGAAGCATGCAATCGCCATCGACTCTGACGCTCAGAACGAGGTCTTGCCAATCTTGTTCTTGACGAGGTTACGTTCACAAGCCTTCTAGGCCAATATGGAGATCCAGAGGAACGCAAGGAATGCGATGATCGGGCTGCAACATGCCACTGCAGCGGACAACAGCGAGTACATGCATGCATGGGTGAGAAAACAGCTAGCTCGTGATCCACTCTCTCCAGCTGATGTTCTTGCTCACAGAATCGAATTCATTTCTGAGACAGCAAAGGGAGACAAAGGGAAATATAATGGGAAATGGAGGGATTATCTACACCCCTCCTGCTCTAATAGACAACCGACAGCTATCTTAGCCTGTTCGAGTCTCGATCTCAATGTACGAGAACCAGCAGGTCTGTGCTACATCCCCTCACGGCTGGAGTTGGAAGATGGCTGGCAACGTCCCGCTCGCCCGCAGAGAGTGGTACACATCGTTGGGGAGAGCGTACTGACGGATCTGATGCCCGCCATCTACATCCAGCACCACCCCAGTCGTGAACTTGTTGGTAGCCAGAAAGTACAACGCCTCCCCGATCACGTCCGGATCCCCCACGCACTTGAGCGGCAGGGATGCAGCAGTAGCGTCCATCATCTGCGTCTTCTTTTCTGCTTCCATGTGATCAAACCTCTCCGTGTCAACGAAACCAGGGGAAAGGCAGTTCACCCTGAGTTGGGGACCTAGCTCGAGTGCGAGAGACCGTGTTAGGGCCTCTACCGCACCGTTAGCAGCACCGAGAGGAGAACAGTTGAGCCCTGGACGTCTGTTGAGCACTCCACTTACGAAGACGATGGCACCCCCCGCTGCCATCTTCGGGGCACCGTACTTGGCGCAATACCATGGCCCCCAAAGCTTACCTTCCATCACTTCCCTCGCCTTGGAGGTCTCGAGCTGGAGGAACGAGCCATGGGCAGCTCTCCCGAGCGCGGTTACAACGAGAGCGTCGAAGGACGATGGAGGGAGCTCTTCAAAGAACTTCTTCACTTCCTCTTCGTTTGTGTTGTCGAGCACCTTGGTCCTGACCCTCTCTCTTGCCCCCTCACCTCCCGCACTCGCTATAGCATCTGCTGCCTTGTCCAGCTTCTCTTGGGACCTGGAGCAGATGATCACTTCTCCCCCTTGCCTGACTGCATGCCTAGCGAACGCGCTGCCCATCCCCGAGCTTCCACCAACTACCACCGCTCGCACCATCTCCTAAAAAGTTCCTCACAGTTGATACCTGAGGCAAGCTTGGAATTTACCTCTACGCCGGGACCGTACCGGGAGTACGGTCACAGGCCCTCCGACAGCGCCGGGCCCGCTGCGAGCCTCGGAGCAGCGGACGGTCCGAAGTTCACTGACTTCTTCGCCGTCACAGCCCGTGCGTCGCTCCGGGTACGGTAGCTACGGCGTACTACTACAGGCTAGGGGACCGAGTGAGCGGCAACTTGACCGCACGGTCACCGTGCCACTGAGTCATCGGACCGAGCCTGTCAATAATCTTGATCGTGATCTCGGCGGCAGATCTTTGTTCTTACCGCTACGACCCTTTCAAGCAACTCAGCTCCCCCATCGCATTGACGCCGGGTTGAACGTCACGGGCCGGTCTAATTTATCACTATGTTTACTGACATGCCTATTGAACAATCGAAGAGAATCGAATCTCCCAAAGTACGTGATTAACTGACGGATCTAATTTACTTCTGGATTCCAGCGACGACAGCGCTTTCAGTTCTGAGAATTAAAATCAGAAAAGGCAGATGCTGACTCAGGAGAAGAGTAGGATGAAAGCGGAGATGGCAGCAACAGCACATGCGTCAACAGAGCTTTTCGACTTACCCAGGGTACTTGTGAGCATACTGTTGGGCAACGCCCTGGTTCCTTGCCTTCTTGGACCAGGTGACGTTCTCGTGCATACCAAAGCGCTTGGAGATGGTGATGCCGCAGAAGGTGGTGGCGAGACCGCAAATGAAGACAATGGGGTACACCTGATGGAGGCAATGAGTCGACGTTCTGCAGCAGCTCTTCAACGCTCACATCAGGCTTGACCCAGGTGGAGAAGAAGTAGTCCTTCATGGAGCTGCTCTCGGCAGCAGTGGCAGACATGAAGCGCTTCTGCGCGGTGGTGTTGGCTCCAGACCTGAAGGAATTAAACAGTCAGTACGTGAGGCGACTTCTTGCAAGGATCCGATGTGAGCATATAGAAGTGCATCATGATCATCGAGACAAAGCGATGAATTATTTCAGAAGAGAAGTTGCAGAATAATAACAATAAGACCACATGAATCATGAGCACGGGGGAACAACTGAACAGGCAAGCGCAGCATCACAGGTCAAAAGATTGCTTTTCGAAGGAAGGTTCAAGGAAAATTAGGGAAGTTTGTGTGTCTTCGAGAATTTCAACAGCAGTGTCAAGAATGATGATGAAATCGGACCAGCAATAAGGAGCCGATAGGATGAAGCAAAAACACCAATGAAGTACTTCAGACACGAGGCAAGGAGCGATACAGGCCATCAGAACGTAGATAAAGAGGGAAACAAGGTCAAAAGACATAAGATTGGAAAGCACATGCTTGGGTGACTGAGGAGGAGAAAGAAACCATGCCTGGTAAGGGCGCGGGCAGCTGCTGGGAGAATCTTCGGCATGGACATAGCGATGGATTGGTGTGATTCAGGCACGAGGTCGACCCTTTAAAAAGGGGGGTGGGGTTTCTTCCTACCCACAGATTTCCTCATTCTACCCCCCATCTTCCCCAGGGGGTACCAACCTCAACATCACCCACCCCCAGATTGTAGTCACCTTTACAAGCCAGTCACTCGGACCCCTCGGTTCTACGACCCTACCTCAGAAGGAAGGCGAACACCGTCCTCGCCATACACCCCACACAGAAATTCAATCTTGCCTACCCCTACCGTACATTTATCACATTTGTACCCACCTCTTTCATAAGACATTCTTCCATATCACACCCCCTACCCCCTAATTTCGTACCCCTGTTACGGATCACTGAACCCCACCCACATTACAAGATTTTCGATCTCCACAATCTTGGGGTAGAATCCAAGTAGCAGCCCCTTGGCAAAAAGAAGGTGTAATGGAGGGAGAGAGGTCAAAGGTGAGGTCATTGATAGAATATCTTAGTGATTCATTCGAAGATTCTTGTTGCTATAGGTATAATAAATCCTTCTCCAAGAGCGTCGTGTGAAGCTCGCCTGATCGCGTGCAGACATATAGGGGATAGTAGGGGGGTAGGGGTTAGCATCAAACAGGGCGGTGAGAGATAGGGGTGGTTGGCTGGTGTAGTAAGGAAATAGCACCAATAGCAGGTAGGGTGGCTTCAAGACGATATTGAATTGGAGGGGTAGTGACCTAGAGATAAGACCTTCCTAGAGACCTGGAGGAGGCCATTGATTTGAATAGGTGGGGTTATGTGGCTGGGGAACAAATGGTTGGGTAGGGGTGAACACCTTGGTTCGAACTCAGGGGGTGGTAGGTTTTGAGGGGTGGGGTACAGGTCGAGGTCCAGCATGCTAAAGATGCTAGTGTGCAAAAGGATTACGAAAGAGGGGGTACCCCTACCCCTGTTGATTCGCGAGTACCCATAAAAAATCTTATCAATGCACCGGTAATTTACCAACCCCAAGGATTACCCACCCTACCATCACAATCCTTTGGCTGACGCGAAGATCGGGGTAAGTTGATCTATAGATGGGGGTGGGGGTGGGGTGATGGGGGTAGGGTAGTTTTCTTTGATGAGATGTTTCCTCACCGAGCGATGTAGTCAAATGAAGGGTAGGGGGTATTTCTCAACGATTGGTGGGGTAGTTATCTTGAGGATTGGGGGTGAGGAGGGGGAGAATGAAGGGGTAGGGGGTGGGTCTAGGGGCCACTTCGCGCACGTGGAGGATAGGAAAACCGCGGGTAGTGATGAAATGCACTGGGGTGGGTGCAGCGAAAATGAGTTAGAAACATGGGTAGGTGGTCAAGATACGGGTGTTTGTGATAGATAAAAGGGGGGTCAAGAAAATGTGTCCTCCTTGAGGGGGTAGAGAGGGCATTCAAATCACTGGGGTAGTGAGGAAATTGGGGGGCTTAAAATGGGGGGTGGGGGTGTTGCAGGGGTCATCAAACGTAGCTCAAGGTCCAAAACCGGAGCTACAACCTGGGGGCCTCAGGCCTCCGACCGTGCCATGACTGCTGATCGGACGGCCCGGCCCCGGCCCGGAACTCAGGCAAACATGTCTCATTCCTTCGGCGGCGGCCACCGCGACATCGCTGGCATGGCCGCGCGGGGGACTTGTCCTCAGTGCGCGCAGTTAAGGGAAGGTATCACAGTCAGTTAAGTTTGGGGGACAGCAGTCGGCAGGATTGGGTTTGGTTCTCGCTGTCTTTTCTCTGAAGTCTCGCCGGTTGGCCGCTCACGGTGCGACGGAGGCTGAGTGTCAGGGTCAAGCCTCCTAGACTCTCCTGATTGTCCTCGTACTGATTTTAACTTAACTTTGAGTAAAAAAAAGACCAGTGAAAGGCTCCGATCATCCCGACGAGCCGATCCCGGCGATCACCAACTGGCACCGTGACTGCCGCAGTGCGAGTCGGGGCGAGCCCCGGGCCCCGGCGGCGCCCGGCCGCCGGGGTCGCCGGCCCGGGTCAGCGGCCCTCGGCACTGGGGCGGTACTAGCCGGTCTCGCCGTGGCACGAGTCACTGAGTACCGTTCAAAGTCCGATCAGCGGCGGCTGGCGGACTCTGTGGGTGACCCGCGGACTCGGGAGTCGGCTCAGCGAGCTTGCTCCGAGCCTGGCTCCGACTCACCGTGATCGGCGGCGTGACGGGGACAGTGACTGCCCGGCACGGTCACACGCCGGGATCGGACTCGGCGCGGCACCGGCGGCCGGGGGCAGCCTAATAAGCCGCCGGCTTTTGAACTTCGCAAGTTGAGCAATTGCGCTATTGATTTCAAACTCATGTACACGCAGATGAATCTAGGAGGTCAAGGCTTCTCCCTCTGACCGTTGAACAGATGACGCCGTTCCTTCTCGAACAATGATGGCCTGCAAGGAGTCAGACCGCCCACGCAGGGGAAACCAGCAGCCGCCACATACCTTGTTCATGCCCGGATGAGATAGCCAGACCAGAGTTCCTAGTGGAGCATCTCAGTCAGCGGCATTTCACGGTGATGTGAAAGAAAACTCGACAAGCTCACCGCTCGAGTCCAGGTAAAGTTCCTCCTCGTCGGAGTTGACCAGCACGATCTTGCCGTTCTGTATCTGCCAATGGCCATTAGAAACAGGGGCCATTCAACGCTCTCGAGGTACCGAAGACTCCCAGTATCCTGTCTCGTCGAGGGGCCCGAGGCCCGCGGGCGGGACATGTTCTCCTCCATCCCTGGAAGGAGTACGAGGATGAGGACCGATGGCCTGCAGCGAGTCACCTCCTACCTCTCCAGCTGAGCCACCGCGTCTTGAGCCCCGAAGTCCGAGTCTCCAAGGTTTCCGCAGCTGATGACGTGTCATGATGTTGTGCAACATGCTCGCAGTGACTTCACCTGTTGCACCATCTCGTCTCTCCTCCTGCTCTACTCCTGAAGCGATACCAGCCGTTCCCATGGAAGACCTCCACGATCAACCCGCTCGCCGCATGCCTGTGCAGGAGAGGCAAACGTCACGACAGATTAGCTGGGCCATGCACGCAAACCTGAAGAGAGTGCAGCCGGCTCCGAATTGAGCTTGTCCCTGCAGACCAGCCGCATCTCAACGAAGCTTCTCCTCCGTCACGTACCCACCTGCATGTACTTCCATGCGGTGCAAACGTCTTGACCTATTGCGCCTGCCATGGCCGTAAAAAAGCAGAACATCTTCGAAGCGGCATTTAACCATGTCCAGCATCGCGATCAGACTCGGTCCGCTCCTACCCATCGAGGAGCCTCAGTTAGCAACACATTAAATGCAACTATCGCTGCCATACATGCTCCCTCTCGGCGATCCTGTTGGCTTCAATCTGCTGTACGGTCAGGTGTGTACAAGTACGCGTCGATCTCAAGCACCTCCTCTCTCCTCTTGGCTCTCTCTTGCAGTGCTTTCTGATAGCGTCACCCGTCAGTTTCACCTGCCACCGCCGAGCGTTCCAACTTACAGCATCCAGCACACGCGCTGCCAGCTTCTCGACCGCATTATTGATAATGCGCAGGCTGCCAGAGAAATCAGCAGGCGAGGGATCGAGACACTCAAGTACCGATGAGGGTGAGTTGCGGGCTTTCGACAAGTGGGGCAATCATTCTAAAGCCACGAGTAAGGCGACAAGGGTAAGATTCTTTGCCCAGGAGCTCTCACCTTGTTTTCAAGCCATTTCGTGAGGCAAGACCCACAGAACACGTGCTCATCAGCGCAGACCTGCGGCGAAGTAGAATGAGAATGATGATGGTGTTAGTAAGCGAAAGAATGTACTTACAGTGTGTGCATCCAGAACCAGTCCTTGGCAGATAGCGCAAATGTACTCCTCACACAATTCTTCAGCCTCGTCCTGGTCACTTTCGTCAAAGGAATCGTTCACCCCATTCCTCAGCCTCACCTGCATCGCGCCGCTTGCTGGATGTGGTTCGAGGATAGCTAGCATGGAGTCAATATCATGCAAGGCTCGCTGACCCCGGGGAAATGCCAGAATTTCTACCTGCGAGCTCAACAGCGTTCGGCCTCCTGGCAGGGTCTGTCGCCAGCAGCTTTTCGAATGTCAGCTCCTAAAGACCAAGAGAGAGAGCGGGAAACCTGCTCGACCACTCGACCTAGGGTTGGAGAGGCCTCGATCGATTCCTGAGGCAAGGTCACAAGCATGCCACGTTACAACACCAACTTTCTTACGTCGACCGTCTTTTGAACGAGGGAGGAATTGAAGGCGAAGACTCCTCCTCCGCACCTACAACATTCTCGTCAAAGCCCACTACAGGCAGGCGGGAAGCTCACCGGGCAGAAATCGGAACGCCAGTGATCAACTCTGACATGATACATCCCAGGGCCCACCTTGCATCGAAGACGTCACTGATAATCATCTTTAGCATGAAGAATGTACATGTCGTCCTTGGAATCATAACCCTTCGCCCCAGCCTGCAGAGACTTGGTAAGTACGAATGTAGACCCGACCAATGGAATCAAGCAACTGTAACCTTCTCAGGAGACGCGTAGGTTAGAGTTCCTGCTCTTGATGATGCAGCGGCAGCTGAAGGAGGAGATCAGACTTTGCACGGGAAAAAAGAAGCAGACAAGCTTACCAGACGAAATAACACACGCAAGACCAAAGTCAGTAATTTTGGCTTCGGAGCCATCCTAAAGGTGGTACAGTTTAGAATCGAAAGGAAGGCTCGATCAAGCTGTCAAAATACTTGTGTCAAGAGGATGTTGTGAGGTTTGATGTCTCGATGCAACATGCGGCGAGAGTGTATGTGAGCCAACGCCTGGTAAAACTTTCAGATGGAAGGAATTCTTGTGAAATCTTTGACCTTGGCGAGCTGACTACTCAAGCTTCGAATTCGTTCATCTCCTGCGCAATCAGTGCTTTACACTTGTGCACACGAATCAGGGCAGGATGGCACCGATGCGAGAGACAGTCCCGCGCGTATCTTCAATGAGGTCGCCGAGAGTTCCACCCTACTCATTCATCAATGAAACAAAAACATGGCTCAATAGGAATAAACCTCGGCAATCTCCATGACAATACAGAAGTACTTGGCTTTCTTGAACATATAACACGTATAGTAACGAATAATATGCTGGTGTCGCCATAAGTCAGCGCAGGATGCACAACAAGACAAATCGTTTATACCGGTGAATTAAGCCGCATTAGCATGTGAACCTCTCTTTTCAACGCATCAAGCTAAAGAAACCCCACGTCATTGAAAAGAAGTAATGGTGCGCGGCGACAAAACAAAGGAAGGAAGAAAGGTTGTATCAAACCTGCACTCCATTCTTTTCTGCCTTTTTCACATTCTCCATCTTGACAGCGTATATCTAAAGCATTCAGTGAGGCTCAACTTAATTCAAGTTGTCAAAGACCTGTCCATCCATAGTGCCTCTCATGCGATAAGTTTTACCAAAACTTCCTTCCCCCAGCAACGCCGACTCCTGTAAAGGAAGTGAGCATCAAAATGATGAGGAGATTAGTACAATGGACCTTGTCAGGTTCGAACGCAAAGTTACTCTCCGGTGGATCTTTTCCCTGGGGTGGTAAACAGGTCAAACGATGTTTACGATGATCTCCGCCATTTGAAAGAAGCAAGATATTACTTGAGACGATTCTGTTGCTGCTGTCATGTGCAGGACCTGCAGAAATGAGTCATGGAGTTGTGAAAATTCATGCAATACATCAGACCGCATCCATCTGTTGCTCGAGTTCTGCTTGACGACCCCTTGCTGCAATCACGTGCCTTAGCGAGTCCAATACGCACAAGCATGTAACATCATACCCGCATTGGTGGCTGTGATATCCTGCAAGATGCCAAGCCAGAGGCGAATGAGAAGTTAATGTCTAGATGCGTAAGAAAACAAAACTTCTTTTCACCTGACCCAAGCAAACCAATCCAGAACAATTCCCCGTAGGCGTGAAGCTGTCGAAGAAAAATTGTCAGGACTTGCATCGGTAAATGCAAATGCAAATCACCGAGCTGTGACATTCACACGGAGGTCTACTCGTCTTTGACTCGCTGGATAATCCGCCTGCTTCCCAGTGAGAAAATGGCCTCGGAGCTGCCTCAAGACACACCGCGTTAGCCTTGACGATGGAGAGGTCGAACGCTTCTACTTCTTCACCCTTCATGGCCCTCTGAAACACAAAGTGAATCCACTCTAAGAAATCCTCTAGTCAATGAATGTAAGTGGGGTGATACCTCCATTGCCTTAGAAAGAGAATCCCTGTCAGCACCATCAGTTTTACTAAAGCAGACTCTCTTTCTTCCAGACCTGTGTGACTCTGGAACAAATCCGTAGAGCGATTTGCCAAGAACCTATCACTCTTGTGTCAGAGCGCAAACTCTGAAAACATCATGAAGAACATCTTCACGACGGTAGTTTGTCAGCTGAGCAAGCATAGCATTCCACTGAAATCGTTTTTTGTCAGCAAATCACGAATATCCTGTGATTATTGAAACCTGAACAATATGCATTCGGTTGTCCATGCCAAGAACAGGCGCTTTGACTGAATCGATGAGGTAACTGAAATATGATTGGTCATGTGAGGGGGACCAAGAAAGAGATAATGCAGTAGTTTCAATCTTATGCACAAGGCCGACTTGTTTACCTCATTTCTGACACAACGGCTTCTTTGTCATGCTGCGTCTGACGTAACACACATCAATGATCGCCATGATGACATGCAAAGGAAAAGTAACCTGCATCCGCTCCGAGTTGAGACGTACTAGGACATTCGATCGGACCTGCAACGTGGCTGTTTCACAGATTGATTGCTATTCTACCTTACAAACCTCATCGGTATCCACAGATTTGATGATGTCATTGACCAGCAGTCCAAGTCCTAAAAGCAGATCGTAAGAACATGCCACTTTGATCCACAAGGTGCTCAGATATACCGAGTGCATTATCAATTTCCCACTTCAGCCATGGATTACATCTGGTCGACGTAAGACATTTGCATTCAAGTACAACGAAGCGCACCGATGCTTGATCGAATCTGAATATATCTCAAAAGAACCACGAGGGTGCATGGTGCTTCCACCCATCTGAACACCGTCAATTTGCAAAAGAAGTTGGCTCATTGATTTACCGTATCACGATTGATTCGAGCCGGCGCATTCGGATCACCACCCCATCTGATCGTTGTAGACAACTTGGTGAAGTAAATGTCATTGTGACATACGAAAACAAAAGAAGCAACCTCGGGGCGGAAAAGTATGATCAGTCCATCGCTCGTTACTGGAATAGCCAACAATCCTGCAAGGTATGAATACAGGCGAGACCATACTTTTCAGCATACCTGCTGACTTTGGGCACAATCGTTGAAGACTTTGATCAACAATTGCCATGCTGAAACACGTCTCAATGGATTATTGCCGCACGATCACAAAATCCTACCTATTGATCACAACGATTCCTTCTTTTTCCAAAGCTGCACCGAAGCACAAGTTACACAAAGCGCACAGGGCAACGAATGACGTAAAATCCAACTGTAATCCTATTCTTACCTTTTTCATAGGTGGTACGAATTAGAGAGCAAATTTTCTTTAGGTCCTCCTGATAGCATTGACATTCGTCAACTCCACCCATGATCGTTTCATGCATGATTAATCTACATTCCCTACCTGTTCAGGGGCATCTCCACATACACTGATTTTCCCAGCATATTGTATTGCAGCGCTACTGACGCCCTCCAACAAATCAGTTAGGTTGGGCGACGATGTCACTACACAAACAGCACCATGTCAGCGAATAGAAACGTATTATATGACAGTATTTTCTCACCTAATCCTTTTAATCTGAGCCCAGGATTGTGACCTATCACCGAAAGTTGCTAAGTTTTGTTCAAGACGATTTAGTTATTGCAACCTTGCTGATACATGAGATCGCAGAGCTTTGCATGTAGATGTAATGAGTGCTGCAAAGCAACTGGTCATGACTCGTCCTGGCGAGGTGAATGATGCTGCTAACCTCGTGACGATGATGATGCTCCATGTCAATTATGCTGTGGAAAGTCATGGATCAATTCATTTGCATGGGCGAATCAGGTTGAAACCTGGATATTCTCATCGCCAAGGCCTGTGAAGCACAGAAAGAATTTTGGAAGAGGGAAAGCAAGTCAGTTGGCATCCCCTTCCTCACAGAAAATCTATACTTGCGCAAGAAATTCGCAAGCCATTCTCATCTGATATGAAACAATCCGAGACTGAGGTCTTCGTCAAAAGTGTTCATTTCAAATTCATTCTAGCAAACCTCCGAGTGATGACAAACTATGAGTCCCCAGAGCTGATCTTTGACCACCTGCATCAACCATAGTCAACCTCGGCCGAAATTCGAACAGCTTTGAACGAAGATGTGTACCATAGCTAATACTAAAGAAGCTCGTACTTGCATGTTGCAAAGGTACTCCAGATGGCATCTGAATCCAACGACGTGACTCTTGGCACACATTGGTTAAAATGTTGCCTGTGAGCTCTTCTGAGTGTCGAACCGTTCAGGTTGATGGATTCAGCCTTTGCAATTAGATTGTCCGTGACCTGTTCAATTGAAACAATGATTTCATCCTTATTTCCAATCAATCCAACTTACAAGCTTCGCATGCACAGCCTGAGTATCAAGTGTAAGCACGATGAACGTGGGGATTGACATCGCAGTGCAAATGGAAGAAGATAGAATTTGACATTTACCTGGCTGTCCACAATGAGACGTACATGTTCATCCCGTAACTGATGAAAGGTCATGGCTCATCACCAATAGAACTTCTCAGAACCTGATCCCTTGTTCGTTGTGGAAGGTCTGTCGCTGGAAAATGCAGACCTGATCATTGCATTTCAATAATCCATAGGGCCACAACACGGTGTAACCAAGCCACGACTCTGAAACATCTGCAGCTTTACACTCTGCAATGACCTTGAAATCCGGTCAATGCCTTTTGAATTTGAGAGTAATCAAAAACCTCTCCATGCATGTCTTCATGAAACTTGTAAACCATGACTCTATTATATCTGAAACGGTTTACATATCAGACTTTTCGAGATCTCAGCATGATGAATATACCCCGTGGTATTGAATACTTCTTCGACAACCTTTGTAAAAAGTCAAAGATTGCAACCACAATTCAGATAAAATTCTTCGATACTTGCTGACACATAGCAGTCAGGTTCGTGGATGCGTTCAATTTCTCAATGGCAACTCGTACTCTCTGTTTTGAGAGGGTCAAACAGCACAATACTTACAAAGCTAATTCACCTGATGAGCAGCAAAGGAATTTTCTGTCAAATCAAATTCCTCGATATCCACAAGGAGACCAGAAGAAGATCTTTGCACATACCACCAAGCATGAGGGCGAGCTAACAAAGAAAAAATACGAACCTATGAAGAATGAGGTTTACAGTAATGTTTCCAAATTTCTTCCCAGAGGGATCTAGTCAGGATTTCAGGCTCAACAAATTCAACAATCCTGAAGAGTACCTAAGCCAAGAGCTGTTACAGTAACGGGGTTCGCGAGCGAAAGGTCGCTCATAGCTACGGCTGAATCCAAGCGCTGCGATGATCTTAGGCAAAACGAAATGGCAGTGCTGAAACGATGCACCTCTCGTTCTTTGAACAAAGACATCATCTATCAAAGTTGTAAGACAGACGTGAGCATTTGCCAGATCGATTTGAAAATTTAAAGTTCTCTTGTCATACCTGGGTTCCCAGCATATCCTTGTATGGGATTCCGAATAGCTTCTCGATGTTGTTGCTAACAGCCCGTACAGCTGTACATAACCAGGGATTACAACCTAACATCCTCTGAATAACATCAGATTACTGAAGTTGTTTAATTCGTCGATCAACATGAAATATCCATGCGGCTGCAATCACTGTAAGCTATCCGACGATCCAACCAGATTCAAATCACTTGTATTTCGCCAGGATTGTTCAAGAGTCGGGTGTAGGTTTCCATCTAGGTGGTTCAGGTTAGTATCACAGCGTTATCCAGAATCATATGTCGATCACTTCTTCGACAGATGGAATGGTGCCATGAAGACCCTCGGAAGAGCCCCCTGACCCGTTTGATTTGGCTGAAGAACCTGAGATTTTTAAGATGAAAGCTTGATAATGTGAATTCGCGCAACTTACCAACATACTGCTCGTGAACAAGTACGTCAGCCTGAAGCTGCCTCGCTCTGACCTCCTAGAAATCATCCTTTATGAGATAATGATGAATGGTGTGCACAAGGAATCACATGTGTCAGCTGATCCATTTGGAATGCTCTGAGATCTTGAATCCGGAACGCTCCTCTGGGGCAAGTAAACGATGTATGCCGCCGCTGACCAAAGGAAAGGATTCTCAAGGGCAGGACATGTTCTCCTGCTTCATATGTGAGTAAACCCCTCCATTCGTTTCCAACTGCATGTAGAGTTCCAGTCTTATCATTACAGTAACGCAGGCGTTCGATTTGTACTTTTCGGAAATGAAAGCATCTTTGATCGCGCGTAACAGCGCTTGCGCAAGAACAATGACAAGTTTGCAGCTCAAATGACGAGCGAGCTCTCACACATCCAAACATGAAACAATATCCCTGGGCCTCCCTCATGGCAGCAACTCCCACAATTCAACACAGCGTCAATTTCCGTCCAGATTGAAAAAATCACAGTTCCGATCCATGCGCATGGTTTTCGGCATCGCATCATACAGGATTCACATCAAGCACTGTCAAACATTCATGGTAGAATTACGATCTCTCGTTCTCTCCATACTCATCCTCATCGTCGCATTCAAATCGCTTATCACTCTCCGAACATGTAAAAATCGCAAACACCCCTTTCCCCTTCGTCAAGCATGCCCCCGGGTCTATTTGTCTTCTCTTTGTGTGCAAATGATCTTCGTCTCCTATTCACAACATGTCGTCTATCCAAACTTGTTCTTCTCTGCCTCCTCTGCATCCTCTGCCTCCTTTCCCTAATTCCTGCATTCATCATCCGCTGCTGCCATCCCTGCCACTCCATCCATCTCCACCACCCCACCCTCTTCGTGGACTTGATCAAATGATCTACCCCCTTGAAATGGCCCATATCCAGTGCATTAGAACTTCGTCAGACCCCCACCCATCCAAATCAACCAAAGTAGCCTACCAACTACCATCATCGCTACCACCCATCCCTGATAGTACCCCGTTTGTTTACTACCCTACCACGGCTAATCATGACCCCACCCACTCAAAATTCGTAACCCACCAAGAACCCCACCCGAATCATGAAAGTAGCTCCACCCTACCATCATGCTTACCTACCCCGTATAGTGCTCTCTGATCCACCCCCTCTGATTATTGAGATAACCCACCCCTGTTGCTCTTCTATTTCGTACTGGGAAAGTTTACTCAACTCCCCTGCATACACCCACCCTCTTGAAAACGAAAAGTTCATCCTACCCCCGTCCCCTTCCCACTACCCACCCACCCCATCCATGTCCAAAACACTCACTTTACTGGATTTCATCTGTGTGTCCGCCACCCCGAAATTCCATGACCCCATTTCTGCCTGTAAACTACCCCACCTTGTCCGAACGTCCTCGAGCCATATGATATCCGAACCCACATCACCCCACCCACCCTCTGATCGCCCACCGACTTTTGTAAATTTACCTCTTCAATGATGATGACCCCTAGCAGCTCACAATTTCCGCCCCCCCATGCACAACACCACCCACCCTGAACAAAATGATCAGCCCCGTCACAGAATCCAGACTTCAGGGGTAGGGTGATGGTTCTCTAATAGACCAGCCAATAGAGACTCTTGTAGAGTACCTGGGGTCCCTACTTTGGGGCTTGCAACCTAGGGGGTAGTATACAAGGGGTAGGGGGTTACCCCGATCGGGTCGTAAGCCCCTTGGGAAAACAATTTTACTCATATTTTCTCGCAGTAGTGACGGCCGGCCGGCGAATCGCATGCCGGCGGAAGCGGGCCCGGCGCTTGCCGTGCTGAGGTGCGCTTGCTGTTGAGTGTAAACTATCCCTGCTCCTCCCCGTCATCGAGATGCAGGGTCGGGCAGCTGCAGCAAGGGGCGCCGGATGGCTGCTGCTGATAGCATGCGTCTTCTCCCTCGTGGAGGGTTTCTCTTATGCTCCCCTCCTCCGTCCTAATGGCCCTGCAAGCTGCCGTCCACCAACTTTCACCTCCGTCAGTCCGCACGCCACAAGGACAGAAAAGCAGTCAGAAACCCTGATTGACTACTATGCGGTACTTGGTGTTGCTAAGACTGCAACACAGAAGGAGATCAAGCAGGCATACCGATCAAAGGCCCGTCTTTTGCATCCGGACACAAGCTCTGAAGATGATTACGATGTGGAGAATTTCCTTGTGTTGAATGAAGCATTCGAAGTCTTGGGTGATGAGGAGCTTCGGAGGAGGTACAACTTTCAGATGCGGAATGGCCTTGCTCCAGACTTTTCAGAAAGGGTTTCAGAGTTTCGCAAGCAAGCTGGTCCGACCTACAACAGCGTTGCAGACCGAGCTGAGGAATTGTTCTCGGATACGCGCGCGTTCCTGTTGTTGTCAGCAATCCCCACCATGCTTTTGTTGTTTACTTTGACCCTTTTCCCTGACTTTCTTCATGATCTTGTAATGAAATGAATGTTTATAAGACGTTTTCATTTTTGCTTGCCTCTCTTCCAAAGAGGACCTGGAATGAACAAGGAACCAAGAACCATCATTCAGCCTTCAGGCTTCGGCGACGGCAGTGACGGAGGTTTGCTCCCTCAAAGCCTTTCAGGATCTTGGGATACAGGTGTTATTGCAGTTCAGATGCCGTCATCTTCGAAAAGGAATTCCTTCTCCCGACCGTACGCTTCCAAACCTTCAATGCTATGCCAGTTCTGCTTCGGCCGTCAAAGTTTGAAGCGAGTCACCCGCATGCAGTGCAGCTGTTCGCCGGCCCGTCCATGTGCGGGCGGGCCAGGGGCGCGGCTCCCGGGTCCGCGGCACGACCGTCGGACGGTGCCACGGGCCGTGGGCCACCGCCGCCGGTGTCGCTCGGCGGCGACGGACCGTCGGCGTACCGTGGCAGTGACTCAGTGCTCCGACAGCAGTGCCGTCACTCAGTGAAGCGCCGGTCGGCGGGCCAGCGGCGGCTGACTCGGCGGCGGCTGAGCCCCGGCCCGGCGGCAGCCTGCCAGCGGCTGGCAGCCGCGCGACGCCCACTCAACTGGGCCCACTGGCCTGTGCGGCGCTTGTGCACCAGGGCCGCCCGTTTACGGCAAAGTTAAGTTAAAAATCAGTGCGAGGACAATCAGGCCCTGAGACTCAGAGTCGAGGAGGCTTGACCCTGACAACTGTCGCACTGGCCAAACGGCGAGAAGAGAAAAGACAGCGAGAACCAAACCTATTCCTGCCAACTGCTGTCCCCCGGCAAAACTTAACTGATACCTTCACTTAACCGTTAACTGCGCGCAGGACCGTTGAATTCCTGGACCGGATGCGTTTGCAAGTCGGATCACCCGGCTGAGACGTCGTGCGAGGCCGAGAGACCATCCAGCGCTGCCGTTTCCTTGCCAAGTTCGCCGAGCGATCCGCCAGCCACCACAGAAAGCGCACAGCGGCAACGCATCGTCCTGCACTGCAAGAGTCCATCGGCTGAGTGACAGTGCTGGCGATCGGATGATGGGAAGAAAGGCCTTTGGCGGGACTCCCGGGACGTGCTGCCACCGGAGCGGCACTGTATGCATTACGATGCCCTCGGATCTTCCGCTGTGCCGCGTGCTGCTTGCAGTTTGCTCCGAGCGAGGTCCGGTATTCCATCATTGTCAAAAACATGTGACATGCTGAAGTCCAGGATTCAAGTTAACCCATGCCATCCGCCTCCAGTCCCGTAGCGGTCCAGTTGCGGAAGTTCAAAGTCCCCTACATGATGATCTTCAGGGCCATGTTGCCACTCTGGCGCCTACCAGGGCAGCCCCTGACCCGGCCCGATCCGATCTCTGCGGTCCGGGCGGCGCGGCGCCCACTCACGCCCACTGAGCGGCCGGGCGCCGCTCGGCCCACAGGTTGAGAACTGGGTTGAGAATCCGACGCCGTGTAGGAGGGTGATGATTCACTGTAAGGCAACGTCCGTTGATCCCGGCATGCTAGGGATACTCAGGACAGGGAGGAGGGAGAAAGGGAGAGCATGACGTCAAGCGGAGGTATGACAGAACATGCCAGGGGAGGAGGGGGAGATAATGGGGCAGGAACAATTTCACAAGACCTCAAGCTGCTTGTTGACGAAGGGGGGCAGCTGTTGCAAGCTTTGTCAGAGATGGAGACCAGAGAAGGCCTGGACTTGCCGGAGAGCATACTTCACAGCATCACCTTAGCAGATAATGAAGTAGCAAAAGGACTGCGGCAGCATATCGCGGAAAGGACAGAGGAGACGTTGATAAAGGTTACAAGTGTGTGGGTGGCTTATCAATGCAGACGAGGAGAGAACTCCAGCAAACCTCCGTTGCTTCCGTTGATGAATGCTGAGAACAAGGTCGTTGATGCCTTGAGAATGCTGTGCATGATTGAGAAAAATGAAATATTTGTGATTGATCGAAAACAACAAGAATTTTCAGAAAGTCAATCGGTCATGCTGCTGGAGGTGGTAATCCAGAGCCGAAACCGGCAGGTTCTGGTGGATAAGCTCAAGATTGCCGCAGACATCTTGACGGCAAGGTTGGAAAGCAAAGTTTATGTGTGGCTAGAAGATCCAAAAGACTTGACTTCTTCTCTCTTCCAAGAAAGTGCTTCACGGAAGGGTACAGAGCAGAAACAGGTCGAACACTTGTCGCTCAACTTGAGGGGAAAGCAAGTCCTGCGCGAGGGCTCCATCTTTGTTCTTCAGAAACAAACACAATCTGGATCAAAGAAGCCGATCAAGTGGAAACTCGTCCATCTGGTCGTTGAGGAGAGCGACAACTCGCTTCAAATGCGCATGTTCGGCTCAGTGGGGGAGTGCAGAGAATACTACGACAACAGCAGAAGCGATCGATCTCCTGGTGACCTACTTTCCCCCCTCCTCAGCGTAAACCTTAGAGGCGCATGTTTCGGAGCTCATCCCTCTCACTCTCTCTCCTTCATCTTGCAGCTCCCTGGGCTCCGGCGGCGTCTGCAGTTCAGGTGGGAAGTCCGAACGCAAAGGAGAATCCTGACCAGGAGGCGGCAGGTGCGAGAGCACGAGCAGTTTCTGCGATTGGATACAGCACTTCAAGCACGAGTGCTCCTTGCAGGAGTATCATTTCGAGGAGGACGGCGAGGACGTGCAAATCAGCTCGACCCATCGGGGCCAGAGTTTCTCGGATGAGGCGAGGAGGGCTATGCAGGAGGTGGGGGCCTGACGGAGGGGAGAGTCTCGATGATTGGTATGCGTCTGCTGTGACGGCTCTGACTGCTGTGGTGGTAGGGATTCAAGGAGATTGCAGATGCGCTCAAGTTCACGCTCGAGCCTCTCTCGACATCGACCCAGGAGCTGGTCAGGCTGCAGGTACAGAGGCTCGTTGGCTTGATCCCTTGGATGCTGACAAGTGGGGCTCAGCAAGAAACTGTGACGAGCATGAGAGAGCAGTGGAAGAGCGAAGAAAGGCTGAGCATGACGAGATCGAACGCACTCAGCGAAGCGGCAAACTGGAACGATGTGGCAGTGACTGGAGAGGTGGAGGCAGAGAAGGAGAAAGTGGTTTCAATGAGGAAGGTGAAGCGAGAGAAGGAAGTCGAGGACCCTTCTATGGCGGGTGGAAGAAATGATGCTCTGACCTACCAGAACTCTTTCGAGGAGGAGGAGGAGGAGGAGGAGCAAGAAGACAAGAAAAAAAAGGACAAGGACAAGGACAAGGACAAGGACAAGGACAAGGAGGAGGAGATGGAGATGGAGATGGAGCGGAAAGGGGCAGATCATTCAGTTTCCAAAGAGGCTGACGTGCAGGTTCCCAAGTCATCGGTGGAGCCCCCGGGGATTCAGGAACTGAAATCTCGTCCTCGCACCGTGGTCTCCCTGAAGCCAGGAAGGAGAGGGAGAGAGAGCATGAAGCACAGCGATCCTTCCCTCTACGGGCACAGGAACAGTGAGGCCGAGCAATCTTCCGATCGCATCTTCTCTTCTTTTGATCGGGAGCGGAGCAAGATGTCGAGATCCTGGGATGCTTCAGGGGTGCAGGTGCAGGATGTGATCCCTCGCCGACGGAGTGCCGTCCACTTCAAGAGCGAGAAGCACGTGCGGGAGGCCCTCGTGGAGGTGACTGGCCACCTGCACCTCCCACCTGACGCTGCAGGCAGATGAACAGGTATCTCTTTGCCGCCTCCTCCTGCGTCAAGCCTCGTCGCCTCTGGTACATGCCCACGGAGGAGCAGATGGAGCAGCACGGGATGACCGACCTGGTGCCCAGCTGAAGGCAGTAGGGAGTGAGCCTGACACGTCAGCAGGTGCACGCGATCAAGATCTACCATGGCGGGTTCGCGAGCGTCGCAAGAAGGTTCGGGATGCGCATCCAGGTGGGTCAGAGAGGCGCATGCTGAGACCTGCTGACGTGGAGACGCGGCAGGGACCAGCCACGCGCTCCAAGATCTCGTGCGGCCTCACAAGTTTGATCAGCGAGTCAGTTGAAGACAACGTCCTCCTCTTGGAGGAGGAAGCTGATTGATGGGTCCCGTTGGCTTCCCGGTGGCTATCACGGCCTTCCGCAGGGGGAGCCCGAGTCTCGGCCGCGACTGCCGCTGAGTGTGGCAGCACCGTGAGGCTGCGCGATAAACCGCGATGGAAACTGAGCGTCAAGCGTGCCACGCCGTCCGAAGCTCTGTCTCCGTATGGCCCGCCTGTGCCGCGTGCTCAGTTCAGTGCCCCGGCGGCCGCCGGTCAAGCCTCCGAGGCTTCGCCGACTCTCGGCCAGCCTGCCCAGTGCCACTGCGTGCCTGAGTGTCCGCAGGCTTGATGAAACTTGACTTTGAGTAAGCGGCGACTGAGCACCGAAGCACTGGCACCCGGCCCTCTGGCGAGGCTAACCGTTGAACCTTCGTTCAATGATTGATCGATACTATTGAAATACTATCAAGTTGAATGAAGCAGTACTTCACTGAGTCAACTTAATCTTTCGCCATATTACGGAACTTGAACATTCACAGAGGCTGCGGACTCCCGACCGATCACACCCTGCCGGACCCACCGGGCCACGCTGGTCAGGCCGGGTGCCACGGTGGCGGCGCCCGGCCGCTCGGTGGCTCAGTCGATGATCAGCAGTCACTCAGCCGTCGCCGGGTGCCGCCCGGCATGCCCTGGGCTCGGCCCGGACTAAAGGATATCCGGAGGCATCCACGAGTATCCGTGTCACGGTCGCATGGCAGGAACTCGCACTGAAGGTGAGAGGCAGCAGGAGGAGGAGGAAGGGGGGGGGGGGGTAAGAATGCAGTGTGAGGGGATGGAGATGATGGAGATGGAAGGAGGAAGGAGGAAGGAGGAAGCTACCAAGAGGAAGAAGGAGGGACGAGGAAGGCGAGGAAGCAAAGGAAATTGGGCAGGAGACTTGGGCAGTGAAGGGAAAAGAAGAGGCGATGCTTGAAGAGAAGCAGCACGTCGAAAGAAAGTATGTGAAAGAGCATGAAATAATAGATGACGTAGGAGAAAGAGAAGACAAAAGACTATACCTGACAGACCAGAGAGAATTCTTCTGCAGGAAGCAATCTTGTACATGTTATAGATGGTTTGTGTGATAACCCTCAACGAAGAATCACTTTGTTCTGCACAGAATGTAAACTGGAATCCACTGGGTACTCTAGAAGCTGAAAATTCCGATGTCTTCCCAACTCCATGCCCATGCCCAACTTAAGATTCTCGAGAAGAAATTGCACACTTCCAGGTGAACATCTGATTTGCATCATGACAAGTTGAGTTTGGTGATGAAACAGATTTGAGATATCCTTTTACTCGAATCTCATCACTGCCCATAAGATCGCATGTCTAGTGATTCAGGTCGATGTGAATCCTCGATCTGACTGCGAGCTTAACCCTCCGCTGTCAGACTACAAACGTGCTCGGGGCTTCTCTCAAGGCTATTGATTTCCTCTTTCTCGTGATATGCATCTTCTTTATGGTTGTGCACTCTGACTCTATGGGTTCTCCCTTGGATTGACATCCTTGCAGTTCGAACGGCAGATCATGAATCTGTTCCCTCAAAGCTCTCCTTCCGAGCCTCTTCCACACATGAGCTGCATCAAGGTGTCGTGGCCTCCAGTGGACACTCGAGACGTCCATATGACGTCTGTGTCTGGTAGATCGGCAGGCTCCTCTTGACGTGCATGTACAAAGTGGACGCGTTCTATGTCATGCTCTGCCTCTTACCTGTGGACAAGCTCTTGGTAAGGATACTTCTTTCCTCATGCTTCCACGTGAGCAGTTCTCCGACTTTGCAGGTCAACTCGCGGTGGTCGATCCTTTGCTTCCTGCTGATTTTCCTGGATCACTTGCTGCGGATGACTCCGTGGAGCAACAGCAAGAGGGAGGGGGATCTTAGTTCAATCATTAGCGTGAGATCCCATGATGAAAGGAGGAGGAGGAGGTGCTGATTTGCTGTGACGCAGCAACATTATGATCAGCTCTGGTTGGTTGCCTTTGAGACCTACGTGTATGCCGGAAGGTCTCCCGTTGTCTTCTTCTCGGTCTTTCTGCCTCGATACCTGCTCCCCTTCAACTCACCACTCGATTGCAGGACGGCATCGACACGTCGGCAACTCTTTACTCTTCAACCTACATCCTCCTTGCTTCTATCATCTTTCATGTAGATCAGTTCCCGGTGGACCGGACTGCCTTCTCACGATGGCTGGCAGGCAAACTTGTTTGTGGCTCGTTCCTTTGTGGTCTCGTACAGTCTGCACTCAGCAAGGGCCAAGCAGGTTGCTGTCCCTGTGCGCCTTCTCCCATGCTGAAATGTGTTTGAAGCCCTCCAAGACAGCGAGCGGGGCGAAATCAACGGGGAGAGGTGAAGTCTGAGTTGGGATCTGTGCGACCGCTCACCTTGACGGAAGGTTTCATTTCTGGGATCCTGATTTCAAACGTTCTGGTCTCAAACGCAGAGATCATTCATGACCTCCTGGTCTTCCCTGCCTTGACTGTCGACTCTTTCGCTCGCCTTACCGTTATCGTTTCAGATCCTCCTTGACTTTGGCATCCTCGCCTTCTTCGGGGTTTGGATATGGAAGAACCAAGTCTTCAGCGAGGTGTGGCATGCCGATTCTTGCTCCTGGCACCCTGCCTGATACCCTCCGGCAGCTCTGTGCTATGATGATGCCGTTCCATACCATCTCCGTCATCATCGCCTTGAGAATACGACAACTTGATAGAAGGTAAGTCGAACTCTCTATCAATCCTTTACTGACTTGGGTGCGAAGCTTGTACAGGAGGAAATGAGTGATGGGGTAAATATAAATCAATGAATGTTTAGATCCTACCGCCCGCTCCTCTTTGTGTGTCTGTCCTCTCAGTCGCCACGTTTCCCTCCCCTCTTCTTCTTCGATCCCTGACCCTTCAGGATGCCGCGGATACGCGACACACGTCCAAAGAACTTGGCCGGCAGCTGCTTCCTCTGCTTCCTCTGCATCTCCTTGCGATCTGCCGGAAAGTCGGCATGTCCGTAAATGTCTTCGAAATCATCCACAAAGCCCTTCATCCCTTTCACCTTGGCGCTGCTGACACAATCAAAAGGAGGAGGAGGAAGAAGAGTTGCGAAGAGAGTAGTTCACCTGAGGATGGAGTCAAGCGCTGAGTCGAGGATATCCTCGTCCTCGTCCTCGTCCTCGTCCTCGTCCTCCTCTCCTGGCTTCTTGGCCGTTGCGTTGATGTCTTCTTCCATCTTGTCTTGCACGCTGCTTGCAAGTTGGACGTACTTGTTGCCGATCTCCGCTTGGTACCTGCGAACCTCATCACAACAAGGGAAGTAGTCCAAGGAGAACAACTCGTCGGAGAAGAGATGCGACAGGGAGGAGAAAACGCGATGATAAACTCGTAGCACGTGGGGCCCCAGCTCGTTCAGGAATCGGTCGCCATAGTTGATCATCTGACCGGCACAGAGGGCCAGGCGGAGATCGAAGTCGAACTGAGAAAAGCTCCGGGCCTCCTCCTTGAGCACGTACGCCTTCTCAAAGTCGCTGGTGCTGAAGGCGCAGGAGAGTGAGATCCTCGGCCGGGAAGCTGCGTTGGGCTTTGCTGCAGATCCCCAGTGGATGATCCTGTGAGTGTGGAAAGTGCATCCTCCTGGGCTGAGGGGTACGGATCGGATATGCTGATATGCTTCCTTCCTGCATGAGAACACTCTCTCCATGGGGTCCTGCTCCTCTACATCCCCTTGGTAGTACCCCGGATCATGAGGAGCTGGGACGAAGTTGAGGCAGGAGTTGTCAGGAGAGGCCTCGGTCAGGGCCAGCCAACAGGTGACGTACTTGGCCACAAGGTTCCCCTCCTCGTCCTTGACGAAAGTCGCCTCCACGTCATGGGGGAGGCCCCGGGGTACCCAGTCTTCTGGCTGCCTGTCTCGATGGGGAGAGAAGCCGTGCTGTCCCTTGCTCGGGTCGACGTGCCAGGCGACCACGTCGAAGTTGCAGGAGTTCCTGCCGTCCGTCACCTGCTTCAAGTTGTTCTGCATCGCCCCGACCGCCTGCCAACACTCATCGTATAGCCCGATGAAGGTTGGCGGCCAGCCTTCTGCCACCAGGTCCTCGATCCCTCGTCTCAGCAGCTCCACGTGCGACATGTCGAGGAGTTCGCAGCCGCCCACCTTGGAGTACCCCTCCTCCACCAGCTCCTGCTTGACCCTCACGCGCTCCCCCTTGCTGAGCTTTCTCTTGGTACTGAGCCCCTTGTTGTCGATATGCAGGTAGGGGCAAAGCTCCTCCCAGTACCTCCTGCTTCCTATCCGCGCCACGGCTTCCCGCAGCGGCACTCCTGTGATCAGGGGAGGCGCCATTCTTGGATGGGAATCGATCACGCACGTGGAGGAAAGGTCATGATTGAGTGGTAGGAGGACGACCAAGAGCCTCTTGCCTTTAAGGGGAGGAGAGGAGGAGGAGGAGGAGGAGGGCTTGGGTACAGTTTCCTCTCCTCTCCTCTTCCGTCTCTGTCATCGCTCCCTTCCCTTCCCTGCTTCTCCCTCGTTTCCTATCGCTCCTGACCCCCCCTCAACCCCGCCACGTGATTTCCGACCCAAAAAGACTGGGTCGCCGGGTCGCCCCTCCTCCCTATTGGACCCCCCCAGGTCTCCGACTGCTCCCTTGTGACCTCTCCTACTCCCCTCCGCGCCTCTCATCACTTCCTGATCTGTGTGCTCCATCCTTCTTGCTACTCACTCCCTTCCTCGCCTCCACTGTCCTGTGCTCACTGCCCTCTGGCCCTCTGCTCACTGCCCTCTGCTTTGGTCTTGTTCGGTCTTCCTGCCTCCTCCCTCCTCCCTCCTGGTCCTCATCCCCTATCTTCCTCCCCATCTCCCTATCTCCCCTCTCCCCTCTCCCTTCTCCTCCTTGAGTTGACCTCCGACCCTCTTCATGCAGCAGTTGCACTTCTGGCCATCCTCATACTGAATTCCGGCCATCCTGTGCCCTCCCCCCCTCCTCCCCCTCCCCCTCCTCCTTCAGCCTCAAAGTATGATGTTTCTAGCGAAGCAATTATTAGGGTATGGACACCTAAGAGAAGGAGCAGGAGCAGGAGCAGGAGCAGCAAGGAGGCCATGATGAAGAGGAAGAGCGGAAGTATCAGAAGTGGAAACAACATTCTGCCGTAGCATAAGTGGTTGTGGCTGCCGCGGAGACGGTAGCGGGAGCAGCACCAGGAACCGCAATGTAATAGCAATATTAGAAGCATCATGGCATCGAGGAAGTAGATTAGCTGCTGCTGCCGCTGCCGCTGCCGCTGTTGCCATGCTGCTGCCGCAGCTGCGCTGCTCGGCGGCTGGTTCTTGTCATCAGCAGCCTGACTGTCACTGAGTCAAGTAGCAGACTCGGAAGCGCGGCTGGGGTCTACAGCAGTTAGGAATGGTAGGCGAGCATCATGGCATGTTGAACAGCTGCGGCTGTCAGTACGGTAGCCGCTGAGCCGCTCACCGTCACGGTAGCAGCCCCACAGCCGCGCCGCTCATCGCGGCCGGCCCATCCGATCAACAGCGCGGCACCTTTGATGCCTTGAACTTCACTGACAGTCAGGCCAGCATACTAATACATCATTGTTGAACATGCTATGATGGCGGCCGCTGAGCCGCGTGACTCGGCCCTGCCAGTACACATAGTGACCCCCCCCCCCCGCGCGCGCACTGAGTCGCCGTGAGTTGATATCCAGCTGAGCCCGGGCTCCGCCGAGCCTGGCCGTCACTGAGGCAGTGACTCTGCCAGTAATCATGGTTCAACGGTTAGTCAGAGTGATCGTCTTCAGGCTCGGAGGCCGCAGCACCAGGACTTCAATCAGAGGCAACACCAATCCAACAGCAAGCAGCTGACATGACCCCCTTGTTATTTCAGCTCTTCATCAAGGCTCTACCTCCTGTTGTCGTGAACCCCTGACTATCTGCATCATTTTCTATATCTATCACTAAGTAAATATGCATATCCTTCCACCCCGTGCTCTTGGCTGCATTTACACAGATTCCTTTGTCAAGTTGACATGCGATAAAGCGACATCTACGCCTCATGCAGGGGAGGAGGAGGGGGCGGCGAGAGGCTCTGCCGCACGGAATTCGAAGAGGATGAAGTCCATGGCTTGATTTGATCCGCATGAGGCAATCGTAATGCAGTAGCCTCAAGATTCAGATCGAAATGATGAAGAGAGAGAAAGAATTGTCTATTGAAGCGTACAGAGCAAAGTTCAAACCCCCACCGCTCGCGACGCATATTCTGAGCCATGTATTGCCAGAGGCCCATCATTCGATCCTGACCCAGTACGACCTTCTCGGGAGCAATCACGAGCATGCTGCAAATTCCAGCCGCTCATGCGGCTCCCAGACTGGTTCGTTCGCTCGACCGAGCATGAAGCTGATGCACACAGGCAGGTTGGCATCGCATGCCAACGACATCATCATGTCAGCGCCTGCCATCGGCTCTAGCGGCGAGCTCACACTCAGCACAACAAGACTGGATGTGAGGGGAAGGGATCGCGCAGTCGGCGAGAGCAGGATTAAGGATGAGGGACTCCTGGAAATTGCGACAAAATTTTCTTCGCCTCCTCAGGTAGGAGGGAGCGATGCCAGGAAGCTAGGCTGACCGTCTTCCCTCAAGTCTTCAAAGAGAAGCTCTCAAGAGCCATTGAAAGGTCTGACCAATCCACGGCAGCACAGCAACCTTTCCGTCGAAGTTTCACACACTGAGACGTAAGGCCCTGTGCTATGCAAAGTTTGACTGTATGACTATGAATGTGTTGCTCAGGGAGTGGATGAATCTTGCTGATCCTCTTGAAAGAAATGCGGTGGTACAGGAAAGGGATGAAGCAAGCGGAACGAAAGGTAGTTGTGATCTCCCTTCTGCTGGTATTAAAAATATGACTCTGCAGATTCCGAGCCTTTCTTGAATGGCGTGCCGCATCCTGGAGAGAGTTCCTCTGCATCATCCATGTTCCATCTATCACAAGGACTTGCACAAACGCCTGACATTTCTCATTCAAGGTTGAGGTCCTTCCAGAAACACAGCAGAAAGAAAATGGACGATCTTTTCCCGTTTGTCTCTCCTATCCGATATCGGCACATGTCCCTTAGCAGGCGCCTTGAATTTGGGGTGAAGCTATTTTGCTTGTGCTCGCGGAGAGCTGAACTGAGTGTGGCAGAGCGCTCCAGACCTCACGACCCTGAAAGGAGCCATCGAGCCAAGTGAGAAAGATGTGCCGGAGAAACCAAGTTCCACGGACGATAGGTTATACCGTAGCAGAGACAGGTCGACATGTCAGAGCTGATATTGTTCATCATGCGTTCAGGGTCAAGAATCTACTTGCAGAGCATGAAAGCCACTCCAAGCGGATCTCAAGACAACTGACCGACGTTCATCGCCCGGTGTACTTGGTGACACGATGACAAGGCACATGTCGCTTGTTTCTTATGGCGGGTCAGGCGCCTCTGCATATCTACGAAGGATTTTCCCTTGATGTGAATCAGAGCAACTCTCGTGCTCATCGAGAGATGAGAGGAACCTCTGTGCCCGGAGATTCCCCGGGTTCAATACGAAATGTTCTTATCAGCCCTTCCAAACCGCAGCTCTTTTCTGACGCATGTGGCAGATGGTTCGAATGAAGACCGACCTTCAGCAGATCATTTCTCCCAACTTTCTCGGTCTGAATGTTTCATCCTTGCACAGAGCACGAGGAGGTGACGTGAAAACATTATGACCGACCAGTGTACACTAACAGGCAAAATGACATCATATAGTTGTTTGTTATCCCAATTATTCTGCACATGAATCACATGATCTCCTTTCACGCTCATTTGTCTGGAACAAAGACAGGAACCATCTCGATTCCTTCCTTTGTCCAGTAAGGAGGAGGAGCCTTGCTTTCAATCACTCGTTTGTTTGCTTCGTTCCGCCTGCAGCCAACGTCAGCCACCAGAGTGTTTGACTTCTAGAAAATCCGCTCCTCTTAGCAACCGAACACACCTGAAGCTTGTTGGATGAATAATGTTGTAGCTCTGAATGTCGTTCATCTGATCGCGGTAGCGCCCTGCCGCCTGGATCTCCTTCACCAGAGCTTGTCTCTTCGACTTCAGTCGCAACAACACTTTCCCTCTTGCTGAAGACAACGACTCCTCAGCAGGTTCGCCTTCTGCAGCACACACACAGTCTCTCAGTCACACTGGAGCAGCAGCAACCCCTCAGATGCCGCCCATCCAACTCGATCTTGTCCTACCTGCCTCCGGCGCTCCCTCTTCTCCTGGAGGCCCTGGCGGACCTGACTCCCCACTCTCCTCTCCAGGAGCCCCTTCCTTCCCTGCCTTGCCGGGTGGTCCTTTCTCACCCGGCGGCCCAGGCAACCCTGAAGCATCCAGAGTCAAAAAGGAATCTTGTTGAAAGGAAATCCAGCTTCAGGGAGATGAGCGAAAGCAAGGGACAAGGAGGCGAATGGTGAAGAAATGGGAAGATCCTACCTGGAAATCCCGGACCAGGCATCCCCTGCGGACCAGGAGGACCGCGTTTGACCTGCAGGTTGAGCAGTCCTTGGTACTTGTCCTGTGACCGCAGGTAAGGAATCCGTGGGGCAGGGCACTCGCTGCATTACAGCGAGGAACTTGTTATTGGCTCTGACGATGGCGATTCGATGATCTAGGTTCGCAATCTCCATGGTGTCCGTCGTTAGTTCCCTCGTCATTCTCTGTAGGCTGGGGGAACTCAGTCAGTCGAAGTTCATCGCTATTGGGCCAATACATGTCCTGCATCTGCGACGGAGACCCGATCGCCGCTTCAGCTTCCTTAGGATCGACGTCCGGGTTGTAGTACTGCTCTGCACCGGGCATCAGGCCAGCTGTGCTCTGGCTACGTGCCGGGTAGTACCATGGTGCTGAGTCCGCAGTCAATCTGCATGCCAGCGGCGGAACAAGGGGGATGGGGAGGGAGACGGGGAGGGTCACCTGAGTTTGCCCCGAGTGAAGTGACGCGCTCATCCCGTTGGGAGATCCAGCTGGCACATGCGAAAAGCAAGAGGGAGAGAGAGAGAGGAAGCGCTGAGACAAGCCTCCTCCTCCTTCCGCCCATCCCGATCTTACGCTGACTGCATGAAGGGGCGCCTCCCAGTGGTCCACCTCCCCGCTCTGCTCCATATTGATTCAGGTTCGCCTCAGAGTGAACAATGGCCCGCCTCGCAATCATATGGGATTTCGATGAAATGCCCGGGGCGCACAGGGAACCGAGTGGGAGAGAAGAGTAGCTGAGGGAGGGAGAAGAGGATGAAGACAGAGTTGTGATGAGAAGAAAGCAGAAGTGCGTCCAGGAGAGAGGAGTCAGTGGAGGAGAACGAGGACGGATGTGTGGAGATCATAGACAAGGAGAGAAATTTCGGGCGAAAAAGAGGAACAGGGTGAGCGATGTTGATATCTTACACTGCAGGCGGGACTGATGTGTTGAGAGCGACGTTGGATGATCGTCACGGGCTGATCCTGCATCTCTCTTGTTGAGCGAGACATGGCCAAGCAAGATACACGCCAAGGAGGGTGGAGCATGAACATCTTCATGCCGTCGCCTCGCCTTGGGCATCAGTCACCGAAGAGGGGTGACTCGTCCAAATCCTTCGATTCAGATGTACCGGACTTGACAGAGATCAACAGTTACATCCAGGTCAATCCGTCGTCTGTTCTTCAAACATGATCCCCTCCACTTACTATACTCCTTCACTCGCCCCTCGTCACCGGGCCATGGCCCCATGTATCAGTTTCTGACTGTATGTTGCCAGTCAAAGGCCAAGTCTCAGTATGGATCTGTCGTGGCTACCCTGCGGGAATGTTGCAACGACAAGAAGATAGGCTCTAAGGCGAAACATGCTCTGAAGGATCTCACCTTCTTCAGACCCTCCGGCAGCAGTGGGTCCCTCCTTATCCTCCTACTGTCGCAACTCAATGAGGAGGATAAGGTAAGGAGCCTCTCTCGTGCTCACTTGCTGACTGTGCGAAGATCTCCAGCAAGGATGAGCGCAAAGTTCTCCGACTGCTTCACTTCTTGTTGTGCCGATACGTCGAAGAATTCCCCGATCAAGCCAACCAAGTGAGAAGAAGGTTGTGGTGGCACCGTCTTGACTTGACATGTTCAGGTTCTGAGTGTCATCGAGCGAGGTAGCAGCTCCTCAAAGTCGGCTCCTCAGCGAATGGCGAGCTATCGCAGCATGGGATGTCTGGCGCGGCACGGGGGGGCTGAAGGACATGTCGTGACGATGCTAGCAGAGCAGCTCGAGAAGGTGATTTCATCTCAGCAGACATGACGAGGGTGACTGACCTGCTGTCAGATTCTCCTCTCACAATCAGCAGCAGAATCTGGCACGAAGCAATCGGGAAGGAACAGGAACTTTGACCCTGCCGTTCAACTCCAAAGGCAGCTGACCCTCGAAGCAGGATGTCGATCCTGGGAGCCCTCAAGCGTTTCTCTGTGAAGGACGACTCGAGCAGTCAGGTGAGTCTGGGTTCGAGGTGTTTTCGTCCGTCCCAATATGTCGACATGATGCGATGTGGGGCTGTGTGAGCACCAGCATTAGCAGTCAGCTTGATCGTGAGGAGGGAGGCGTGCGTGATGGAGGGGGCGGGCCTTCGATTCCTTGCGATCCTCCTCCGACCAACGGCTGATTCCAGCTGGCAGGAGAGGTTTGCTCTGGCTGCCTCACTTTACAGCGGTATCCGAGCGTGCGGACGAACAAGATCAGCTCCAGCTCAGGTGAAAATTCCCCGCCGCCCTTGTGAAACATGTGTATTACTTTCCCTGTCCTCCTCCCTCCTCCCTCCTCCCTCCTCCCTCCTCCCTCCTCCCTCCTCCCTCCTCCCTCCTCCCTCCTCCCTCCCTGCATTTTAATTCCTTGCCTTGTCTCTCTCCTCCAATTCTTCTACCTTTCCCCCTCAACATGGGGAGGATGATCGCATGTGAGTAGATCGTGCTCGCTGGCTGGCGCTTTCACGACGTCATGATCTTGCGGCACGTCCTTGCGCTCATGCTCGAGATGGCTCCAGTGCATGCCATCTCCGTGCTGAGCAGCCTGCTGGAAGTTCTCTCCAACCCAGCGCACGTCAAGGTGCTCCTTCTCCATCCTCTGTTCTCTCAGCTCACCCCCTTTCAGCTGATTCTCAGCGACTCCTCCTGCGGCGTGTTCCTTGTCCGGCTGATCAGGTGGAGCAAGACGGTGCAGGGAGGAGGAGACGTCGCTCCTGCGCAGGAGGAGAAGGCAGGGGGCATCGTGAGGGAGATCGCGCAAACTGCCCAGCAGATCCTTCAGGGTGTCGCTGACATCCCGTCTGACCGCATCTTCCTAGAGCTTCTGCAGGTGCCTGGCGAAGCTCCTGCTCCCATGCGATCTCAACTTTCACCTTCTTCTCTCCTCCTTCCCAGCTGCCTTTGCCATCCCCGCCCCCCCCCCCCCCCCTCTTTTCCCCCCTCCTTCTCCCCCTGACTTTCTCGCTCTCCTTCTACTCGATCTCTTACGGTCAATGTCAGGCCTTCGACTTCAAGGAGTTCCCCTCAAACTCGATCACAGGTGGCCCTTAGCCTGACCCAACGCCTTTAGCTGACTGTGGCGATCCAGCTGTCATGAAGCGGTTCGACCAGATGTTGAGGTCCAACCGCATCCCCCAGCAGACGGTGAGCTGACAAGAAGGACAGAGGGAGTTGGGAGGAGGCTTCAGCTCAGAGCTGCTTGACAGGCCGCCTGCCGGTACCTCAAGGGCTTCCTGTGCGACAACATCGAGATGCTGGTAGGGCAGCAGCTGGAGTGTCAGGCGGAGGCGAGCTGACCGTGCTGACCTGGTAGGCGTCCAGACCCGAACTTACGGGGGAGATTCGAACCACGTGCACGCACCTCCTCTTCTCTCGCTGCTCCTTTCTTCGATGCCAGGTGCGTTGCCTGCAGGGTAATCCTGCCTGACGTCCTTCCTACCTTTCTCCTCCTCCCTCCATCCGTCCCTCCGCCCCTCACTCCCTCCTTGTGCTCTCTTCCTTCATCTCCTCCTTCCTCTGTTCATCCTTCTCATCTTCTTCACCAGGCCATGTGCGTCCTTGTGTGGCTGTTGCCCCATCAAGAACTCACCAGCAACTTTCTCCTCCAAATTCGCAATGTCGAGGCCGACAAGCAGTCAAGCGTGGTGGCAGACGAGGGGAAGGCGGGAGGGGCGAAGCATTTTTTCCCAAAGGAGATGATCAGCCAGGTGCTGAACGAGTTGCTGAAGAAGACCAAGAAATTACCATCCTTCGCTCCCATCCTTCTCGAGGTCCAGACTCCTCCACACTCCCTCTTGCTTCTTCCTTCCTCTCCTCTCTCTCCTTTCATCCTCTAAGTGCCCCCAATCCTCACCAGACCCTCCTCCTCCTCTTTCAGCTTCGCTCTAAACTCCACATAGCTCACCACCAGGTGTCCGGAAGAAGCTGCCGGTCGTTTGGATCCTATCCTTCTCGCAGACGTGAGCTTTCTCTTCCTTGCCCCCACCCTCCCGTCCTTCCTTCACCTCCCTCGCCCTTCTATCCGTTGCTCTCTTCTCCTCGTCCCCTTCCTTGCAACCGGCTGACCCCCTCTGCTCAGTGCTGGAAGGCGCTTGCGAGCATGCGGCCCATGCTGGAGGGCTGGAGGAGGAAGATCGTCAAGGTCCAGCTGCAGGAAGGAATGAACTTGACTGACAGGCAACGCAGGGGATGCTGAGCCTGAGGGAGAGAAGCTGTCCTCGAGGAGAGATGCTGAAGCTTCAAGAGATCGATCGCATCGCCATCTGGTCCCTCGGTCGGCTCGCTCCTCTCCTCCTCTGTACTTGGGAGGAGGCCCAGGGGGAAGGGGAAGCAACACCCTCAAAGGCTTCGGGACTGAGGGCTGACGAAGAGGTGGATCCCGAGACGGGGATGGCGACCTGGCAGGTAACTGCTCCTGCTCCTGCTCCTGCTCCTCCTCCTGCTCTGCACTTAACCTTGTCTCAAACTGATGAGCGTCGGGTGAGCAGCTCGTCCTGCAGCATCTCAAGCATGCAGCAGCCTTTGAGAGACTGGAGACAAGACATCTCGCAGTCCATGCTCTCGGTACCTTCTCTCCTCCTCCTCCTCCTCCTCCTCCTCCTCCTTCCGCGCTCCTTTCTCATTACCTCTCTTCCTCTGCCGTCTTCTGCGCTCCTCTCTCTCTGTCTATGTCTGTCTGTCACTGTCTCTCCCTCTCTCCCTTCCTTCCCCCACCACCTTTTCTCTCTCTCGCTTGCTCTCCTCTCCTCTCCCAGTCTCACTAGCTCGCAGGCACCATCGCTCTTCAATTTGCAGATCCTGTTCGCATCTCCGTCTACGAGCATCTCGTCGATCTGACCAACGAGGAGGTGGAGCTCTTCCTGCCTGCGCCTCCTCTTCCCCCTCACGCATCTCCTTCAGGGATATGGCCTGATGGGCGTTGCTGCCTCCTACCTCGCTGCTCTGGACGAGTGGTAAGACGCATCATCTTCCCTGCGCTCTTCTTCTCTCTTCCTCTTCCTGCTCCTCCTGCTCCTCATTGGTTCCTGCAGGTATGATGCTGTACAAGAGCTCGAGGAAGGCCGCGTCCTCGTCGACGTCCAAGGACTTTCAGCTCGTCAACGCGGCTGGCTCAGTGGAATTCGCTCACAACTCCTCGCCTTCAGCTAGCAAGTCCATCCTGGTCGTCCCTCCTCTCTAGTACCCCCTCTCCCCACCCCTCTCCATCTCCCCTTGTTCTCCGCCCACTTCCCGCTGCTCCTAGCAAGGGTGCCAGGAGCGTATAGCACTTCTCTTCTTGGGATTTTAGTGTACAGAAACAGTCTTCCTCCTATGAATCTCTTCCCGCAGCAGCTCCTCCACTGCCGCCGCCGCCCTGAAAGAACATCCTTGAAGCTTGTCAAGAACCGCAATGAGGCTGAGACTGCCTACCTTGAGTACGGCGATTCTTCAAGTCTGCTCTGCATGAATCCGAGCTGCCACGATCATCTCAGTGCTCTCCTTCAAGCCGCCCGCCACCTCCGCTCCATTCCTCCCTCCTCCGCTCCTCCCTCCAACGTACCTCGTCCAGTTGTTTCTGGATCTCCGCGTCCTCCCATGTCTCCCGGCTCGCACGGAGGGTCGACTCAAGCAGAGCAGCCTGTGAAGTTTCAGAGAAGGAGGAGGCAGTAAAGAAGAAGAATGGGACGAGGGGAGGAGGAGAGGGTTATACCTCCATTTCATCCGCTTCTGATTCCCTCAACGCAAACTGCAGAGGAAGTTCAGCGTGCTAAAAACCATCGCAAGCTTCGATCGCCAAGCAACAGTTTCCTTCTCCTCACCTTCTCGAACTCTTCCTCTATCCTCTCGTTGACAGGATTCCTCGTCTCGTAACCAGGAAGGCCGAGGCCAACGCCAACGGTGTGCTCTGAAGCAACAACAGGTCACGAAAATGGATCACCGACCGAGGAGCAATCATGTTAAGGCTCGGGCAGGAGGGAGGAGGGGAGGGGGGTAGCTCCTACGACTTTACCTTTGGGGTCGATGACACTGTTATAATGGTTTCCTCGGTGGTAACTTAGACGGAGAGGGGCGCTGCCGCTTCCGTATCCCTCATGAAAGATCTTCATGGGTACCGCCGATCCACGATAAACCTAGAGTGGGAGAGTGAGGGGGAACACGAGAAGCAGGCGCAGAAGTCTTCAAACGCAGAGGGACAATGAGGAGATCAACAGAGGATTTTCAGATTCGTTCTCTGACCTCAATCGGACGATTGTAGATCTCAGACAAGGCCTTGAAACATATCAGTACCACGGGCAGCGGGAAGGAAAGGAAAAGACCTGCATCTCCAAATTGTTTCCAAACTCCTTGTCATTCCTCTTCCTTCGTACATACTGCATCACAGACTTCAGCTGGCAAGAGAGGCCTGAGGAGAATTGACAGTCACCTCATCGAAATCCTGTGTCACAAACTGTGAAAAGTGGCCTCTCTCCGCAACGAGATAATCCATGCAGAGTTCCCGAACCTGATCATGGCATGAAACATCAGGAAGTTTCATCTCAGAGATTCCACGAGACCTCTTCGTGCATCTCAGGGTCCCCGTACACCTGCGCGTCTCGTTGTCAGCCAAGGAGCACCATGTAAACTTGAGAGCAAGGACCTGGTCGGAGATCGCACGGAAGAGACAGTTTCCGTCCTATCACAAGGCTCAATTGCAAATCGAGGATCACGACAGAAGGAGAATGCGCTGCTAGACTCACTTCCTTCATCCGTCGGATCTTGAATCCTTTCTCCTTCCACAAAATATTCTCCAGCTCCTCTGCTTTTGAGGTCAACAACGGGATCAACCACAAGGAACGCGAAGCACCCTCGCTCAAGTTGTCTCCTCTCCTCCCACAGTCATTGCACGCTTCATCCTGGAGCATCCAACATCAGATATACACACACAACAGATGCACAACTGCAGCCATCTTACAGCTGAGTTATACTCGTCCTCTGAGCAATCCTCATGAGACGTCTTGGCTGCCGCAGGGGAGTGAGACGGCCCCAGTCCAAACTGCTTCCTCTCGATGGTCGACGTATCCCTCCAGTTTTCATGTGAAACAACGCCCGCCAGTTCTTTCTCGTCCTCTCTTGCCTCATGGCCACACATTTCACTGAGTTCTCCATAGCTCCTTGCTGGGGCGATGAAACTTGTCGTGTCATCCCCTGGAGCGCCCAACGTTGAGTTCTCGAATACATTCTGCCTGCTTCCCTCATGCACATTCCTCCAGATGGTGGGTGAGTTGTTTCTCGAGTTAGATCTATTCTGGTTGCTTGCATGATGGTTGTTGCTATTGTTGTTGCTGCTGCTGCCAGTGCTGCTGCCATTGCTGCTGTTCTTACTCACGACATGCTGTTTTACAACAAGACGCGTCATCCTGCGACCAAATCAGTCATGAATCAACAAAGGACGATGCAAGTCGGCAGAGGCCCGCTAGACTGACTGATATGCTATGTTTCGTCCTAACGCAAACTTGGCCAAGTGAACAAGAAGGACAAAACCGATTTGGCCATCAAGCTATCCACATTCTTCTTTGCATTTTTGCGCATTTGACGCTGATTCATGTACACTATCACAGCATGACATTCAAGCGAAGCTGTAACCCTCTCGTGTCTCTCTGCCTTGCAAAACACAACAAAGGCGCATATTGCCAACCTCATCCAATCCTGCCGCTTCATTCCCTTCATGTCCTCCCCTTCCCTCAAACTGCTTCTTCTCTTGCTTCTTCCCTCACTTTCCCTCTCCCTCTCCCAAAACTTTCCGCTTTCATCCCTCTGCCTGCCACCGCCATCGCCATCCTGCGAAGCGGGCCGACCATGGCAAACCCCCTGGATGAATCAGATCGAATCGAAGAGATTCAGGTAGAACTACGATTAAATCAAAAATCTTTCGATTTGATTCAATTAAAAACCCACCTTTCAAGGCAATGCGACAAGGTAGTTTTAAAATTAAAAAAGATGTTATTTTGAAACTTTTTATATTATCAGATACAAAGTGGTACAAATGTGCGTGTAAATTCCCAATTAATTTTTTTGAAATGTATATCAGTTTTTAAAAATATTATTGAAAACTGCAAACATTGTAGAAGACCTGGTATATTATATAAGAGTGCAGTACTGTTTAATTAAACCTTTTTATTACTAATGCGACCTCGCGAGCGTGTTCATCCTAATAGAAGAAGTTAGCTGGGAAGCTCCTCCCTCCTCCTCCTCCTCCTCCTCCTCCTCCTCACCACCACCACCACCACCACTTTTTTCTACCACGT